AATTTAGTATTATTAGCAATTAAAATAGTTTTGTGGTAATAATATTTCCCTACTTCAGGCTAATAAAAGGTTTTCTGCTTAGTCAAGCATAAAATATTAAATTTAAGCTATATTCTAATAAAACCTGAGTGTTTGTGTGAATAAATCTAAAGGCTCAAGCTTTTTATAGGGTAGGAGGTACTGGGACTTGTAGCCATAGTAAGCAGTATTAAGCGCTTAGTTTCTCTTGAATTTTCCTCTTTAAAGCCAAACTTTTGCCACCCCGAAAGTATGCAACGCAATGTTGAAAACTCATTTATCCTCAAACGCACATACAGACTTCTATTCGACGGCGTGCTCACGCGTAATAAATGTATTACGTGCCCGCTTGTGGTAGTGATGCCCCTGCCCACCTCCCCGCGAAGCTTATTTGGGCAGGAACGAAGGAAGCCGCCCTCGGAAAACATCCGCAGGCCTCTGTTTGTTACGCTTGTTGAACAGGTGCCGATTACAAGTGCCAATTTCGTAGCTGCGAGTTAATTGAAAACTTTTTAATTGTTTAGGCAGCGGCAACATCTCGAAACAGACTTGGCTTAGTTCTAACGGCCCGGCCCCCGGCTCTGATTTACGACCCAGGCCTGTCGCTGACAGTTTCAATTAGATGGCGTCCCGTCCAGGCCAAGGACGTGGTTGGCTGGGTGAATCCCGATCGGCGCCACTTTGCCAAACAATCGAGACCAACGGCCACATCGACTTTCACATCCTTTGCTAAATGAGCTTCTGCACTTTCGCCTGTTTGTTCTTGGCTCTGAAAACTGTAATTTAATGTGCCCACATTGAAGCCGCACATGTCCTGGGCGATGGTTAAGGGATGCACCCTAAGAAAAGTGAGGTTCTAAGTGTAAGGAATTCCTTTCAAATCCACTTAATAAATTTTAACCAATTAAGCAGAAAATTGATATCGATTTGTCTGCAGTTTGTACAGAAATTGCAATCGCTTTAAAAGCCTTTTCCACTTCAGGCAATATTATTTTTGAATCTATTTCTAGTTTGATTTATTTAGTTTTCGTGTTTGCTTATTGGTACTTCAGTTTGACTGCTCCTAGCAGCTCCTTTTTTTGCGAGTGTGGGGCTGCTCAATCATCCCCACTTGGCTCTTCACACTTGGGTGACGTTGTGGCTTTCAGTTGTGTCATTGATTGGTTTGCCCAGCATTTCCTTGTTTGTTTGTTAGCACTGCCTTCGATCGAGTCCAGTAGTAACTGCGGTTTTTGTGTTTTGTGCCTTTGCCACTTGCCAACAATGCCAGGGGACGTCAGGACACGAACTCAAACATACACACATGCAGACGACCAGCCCGAAATCCCTTTCCCACAACCGCTGTCCTCGTTGGCTAACCATCTCTGTCCAATTGTTGCATACGGATTCAATCAATCAATTATGCAACCGCCTGTCCCATTGTTATTGCATAAAACTAGACGGTTGCCAGGAGTGCAGAATCCAAAGTTGATTGCAGTCCCTGCGGCACTGATTTTGATTGGGGGAAAAAGCTCCTCAGCTTTATAGGGATTTAATTTTTTCATTTCGCTTCTAGGGATACTTTTGCATATATGAAAAAAAAAGTTGAGTGCTCCTGGCATCCCCTTAAAAGTTTTACAAGTGCATTTTATATGTATATATTATTGTGCAATTCAAGCGGAGTTGAAAATATATACAAATCTACTTGTAAATTTAATATTCTACTAATTACCTGAATATAACAAGTATAGACTCTCAAAATAAATTTTCAATCCTAAGGAAGTTCCTCATAACAAGTTTTCTCAGTTATTCATGTTTTTAATGGTTTTTCAAGGCAAACGTATCGTTGAATCACTTAAGAGCTGGCTTTAATTTCACTGAAGGCCTTTGTGTAATATGAGAATGCATTCTGGATGTTTGGACATGTCAGCTGCTCTCATGCTCCATTTGTCAACTTGCACAGATAACATTTGGCTGCTCTCGCAGGGAAACTCATTTCGCATTGTATCGCCAAGATTTCGCCCATTCTCCATATGTCATCCCAGGCCCAGCCTCATCCTCATCCTCATCCCCTCCCTCCCTGTTGTCGGAATGTAACAAAAGATGAGATGCACTTGAGCATGCTAAAATGCGTTATTAAGTGCATAAATATGCAATGCTGAACCTTTTGCACTCGGCAGCAGCACCACCACCCTCTTGGCGGCACTTTGCACCCCGAACCCTAAGCCCCTCCCCACCCGCTTCACCTGTCTAACAACGGTCGTTTCAGGTGGGCTTTCAAGTGGGAGAATGCTGGCTATATGGGGACATGTGAGGAGAGCTTTTGAAATTTAATAAAATGCAAATTCAAATGCAGAAACCAGTGAGCCAGACATGTGCCACATGCCACGCCCCGTGCTCCCATTGTGAGTAGGGAGCAGTGGCGAATCCCCACTTGATTCCCTCCCCATCTCCAGCCTCTGGCACACACGCTAATGAGTTGAGTTTTGTCTCCAAACACACAAAAACACAGAGAGAGAATGTATTATGCAGTTGGAGCAGAAAGGATGCAGTGGAGCGACTGCCCCCACCGAATTGTGGTAATGGCGAATGAAATGACATACACTCCATTTCAGACCCTTACATATCTTAAATCAGATGTATAAACAGTATATTTAGCAAGCAGCCAAGTATAAAATGTAAGTTACTCATTAAAAGAGGTGAAAACATACCACCCTCTACAATTCTTTTTTTGAAACAAGCTGTATTTTTTTAATTATTTTAAATGCGAAAACACACACATGAAAGAAAGTCCGCTTGGGGCCCAGGAGGCATCATCTCCAGCGGCAGGCAAGCAAAAAAAAACATACTGGAAAAAAATCGATATCGCTTTTTGGGCTGGCATTAAATAGGATCAAAAGGTGGAGCACGTGCGCACAGCCAGGAGGCGAAACGCACACAGATATATCGGCATAGTCCGACTATATCCCGGTGTGTACACATGTAAGCCATCGGAACCTTTGCCGCCGCACACCCATAAAAGTTGCCAGTTGCCAGTCCCATTCCCATTGCCATTGGCATTGTCTGGTCGGCCTGATCCGCCTTTAGCTCGGTTTCTTGCTGCTGCTCCCGCTCCAGCTCCTGCCGATTGCCTTGGCTTTGGCTTTGAATGAAGGGTGGCGCGATGCGACCTTAAGTAACCCGCAGCGGCACCCCTTTTGGCCATCCGGCCCATTCACACCTACGTGTGCTTGGCACAAGTGGCAAAATGTTGTTACGTGAGCATTAAACCATATTTTAAGTTATTAAGTTATTGACAAAAGCTCACGTCACCCCTTCTGGCATCGTTGGCTTGGCATTGGAACTGCCATTCGGCAGGGGATTGGGTTGGGTGCGCTTGGCCTGGCCTGGCTGGGAATGGATTGGATTGGGTGGGTTGCTAGGGCACTCGGAGAGAGACTGACTTGGAGGCGGACGACACTTGTGCGCTGCTTATCCCTTATTGTTTACAATGCCACGCCTAGCCGCACAAGAACACTGACAGACACTGCGAGAAAGTTAAGCTTAAGCTTAAGCTTTAAAATGCCAAAGTTGTGAGGAGAAAATCTCTGAAAATATCATCACAGTTACTGGAAACTGTCTAATAGTATGATTTATTCAAGGACCAAATTTCAACATATTTTTTCGATAGTTTAAGAATACTTTATATAATACTTACTTTTTTTAAATATTCAACATTTTCTGAAAAGTATTTTTAAAGCCTCAAACTGAACATGTATTATTTTTCCGCAGTGTCTTCTACACGTGTTTCCTTCTATATATACACTCGTATAATGCCTGAATTATATGTCTGAGCATAAAAAGTTTTGTAAGCGTTACCACGCATAAAAAGAAATTTTCAATTCCGCACAAGCTGCTGGCTCTCTTCTGAAACTGTTAAAGTTTCAGCTTCTACATGGGAACCGCTGCAAGTGTCGCAAATATTGCTAAATTTCTGTTGTAAATTAAACATAAATATTGTCGGTAAGCTGTGCCCTAGGGGGCCAGTTCCATTCCCTCGAAACGCTGCGGTAGAAGTCCAATCTGCCAAGCTCCCCAACTCCGGCGTCGTCGTTCACTCACATGTCCTTTGTGCCGGACACTTCCCTGGCTGCTGCTGCTGCTGCTCATCTCCCCCTTGAAGCCATTATCCCGCTACGGTTCCATCCTCGTCTTTTTCTGTGTGGCTGTGACATTTTTACTGCTCCTGCTGCAGGCTCCCAGGTAGCAGTATTTCGTATTTGGAATTTCTTTCCACCTGCAAGCGACAACCAACAAAGGAGACCGTCAGCATCATGGCATTGCAGCCACAGGACAGCCACAAGGATGTGCTTTCAGGCGGGCAGCAAGCCGGAAATTGAAATACAAGTTATTAGATTTCTTTGACAAAACGGAGCGCTGGGCACACAAGTTTGCTTCGATATAGGAGCCACTATATATCATATATATTTGCCACACTGAATATGGGAAGCCTTTGAAACTTTCGAAATACTTAAAGGATTATTTGGTGTAGGGTCTCTGTCGTAAATCACTCACTCTTGATTTTTCGCCTCTCGATCTGGGAAAGCTATTATGCTTTCCCAATTTTGCTATTTTTTTTTGGCCTCGCCCGCTGCGTGGAAACAAAATACAAGGCACATAAATTGCCAAGGCAAAGGACACATTTGGGTCTGCTGACTTAATGTCCAGGCAAATAAACACATTCGCCGGGGTGTGGGCGGAAAACTGCCGCTGTCGTCAGTTGGATTTCCACTTTTTCGTAGCCGCTTTTCCTTTGTCTGCAATGCCGAATCAACCACCACCGCCGACGCAGATAATTTGCCCAGGGAGTTGGTTTATGGGCGAGGGTTGCGTATACGGTGTGTGTGTGTGAGTGTTTGTGGTTCGGGATGAGGACGATGGGGGTCAGGGGCCAAGCCAACGCCATGACCTACTTTTCCCGGCAACTTTTTCAATTTGCCGAAGAGTGAGTGTGCTGTGTGATGTGCTTGGGTTAGGCCAAAAAGTTTATTTCGTAAAATACAATACACAGAATGTTGGACTAAAGACTACTCATAAAGCTTTCCATGGATTAACTAATGACTTCCCGCTAGTGGTGCAGGACCAGGAGGAGCAGCACTCCCAGCCAGACCACCAATTTTGAATCCAGCTGCCGCATCGCCGAGTCCTTCTTCGCTGATTCGTTTATGATCCGATTGAACTCCATGTCCTCTGGCTTGATACTCGGCTGCTCCTCGTCATCGCTGTAGATCACTGGCGGCGGAGTTGTCTTCTGGCCGGTCATCAGGAGCAGTTGCATCGTCTGCACAGGTGTCAACACCGGAGTACGACTGTTCGTGGAGTCGCCACTTCCCTGCCAGTGTGGCGGTGGCAGGAAGGGAACATATGTGGCGGGAGCCTCGTTAGCGCGGTAACCGTAGATGAACATTTGGACGAACAGGGTCTCCGTGTCAAAGTCCGTGATGACGGCCTTGAGGGTGTTCCTCGAGAAATGACTGTACTCCGCCACGGGAGCGATGTAGTCAGGGTCAGAGATGTTCTTATTTCCATAGTGCTGAAATCAGTATAATAAATGGAACCAATATATAAGTGTTCTCCAAGCTATTTAATCTGTACAAAGTCAAAGACATCGAATATCCGAAATCCAATTCAAAAACTTGATATACTCACATCCATAACGACAAACTTGACATAGGTTATAGAGGCGGAGTCAATATAGTAGAATATGACCGATTGGTTTCTCTTCTTCTCATCGGAATCATCGGACGCTGTGTGGTAGCATTCGTACACCAGTCGGTCGCCTATAATAATAGGAATTTAGTATCGTCCATAGGATGTATAATCTCTTAACTCACCCGGCTGCCTCTGACCAATTTCAATGATCTTGTCCGGCGTATCAAAGTGATCTGTGGGTGCAAATGGTCCCTCCGTCGACTCCTCGGCCTCCTCGTAGGACAGATCCTCATCCAAGTCCTCCTCTTCCACCTGTAGTGTCTCTCGATGGATATTGTCATACCGTTCGGCGTCCGAAATCTGTTCGACCTCAAACTCAAAGGGTTCCATTTCGCCCTCGTACTGCTGGTCGGGATTGACGATCATCGAGGGATCGTAATTGACGGCGGTGTCATTAAGGCCAAAGATCATGATGGTAACATCGAACGCTGTAGGTGTTGGAACTGGAACGCTGGCCTCTGTTCGTGGGGATTCATCGCTCTCATTGCTGCCCGCCAGCCTGACCATGCCCACGATGAGACGGTTCACCAGGCTAAATATCACCTCCGCCGAAATGTTCTTAACGAATGAAAGAGAGAGGGGAAGACCAAATCAGAAATCCCATCAAATTTGGACAGACTCAATCATGTGTGACCATCGCGGCAACATCCATCAGCGCTTTGCCATGCCACAATTTCCGAGATGTTTACTCGGACTGACAATCGGATTCGGAACGACGTACATTATGTACTTTGAATAATTTGATATACGTGTATTTTCGGGGAAAAATCTCGCGTCATAATTGCCTTTAGAAATGCCAAAAATTTAAAATGCATTTAGCGAGACTTTATTTCGTGATATTCTTGAAATAATATATTCACTTTAAGGTCGTTCTCCGCCACTTGACTTTTCTGTTTTGCCAAATTGCCATACTTTGCAAATATTTCAATAAGCCACTTTGTGTTTATTAGCCTACAAGTGTGGGTTATACAATTTCAATTATCGATCCAGACGTCTATATATTTGGAATTTATTTCGCATAACTCGGTCGAGCTCATAACCTAATCATATTTTAGGGCAAAATAAACTAAACAGATCTTGGTAAAAGATACAGGGGGAAAATGTATTCCCTTGCGGCCTCAAACACACTGGATATAAATATAAACACACATCAATGACTAAAACTTGTTGTTGTCGTCGGCTGGTGACGAAAAAAATGCCAGTTCTGTTTCTATTTTGGTACCGGGCATTTGCAAAATAAAGCACAACAAGGGGTCAGAACGACAAATGCCCAGAGTCAACATCGAATACCCGTACATATCGCTCAGTTGTTCGGAACCCAAAATGCATGATTTATGCCCAAATGAAGCGGAAATATTTGTATTGTATACATGGTCGAATTCTGTAGGAAAATCGGCATCATTGTAGCTTTTGTCGATACAAAATGAAAATAAAACTTTAGTATCTGAAAACACTGAATGATTTACCGCTGACCTGAATCGTTTCTCTTTTTGAGTTAAATTCACCTTTAAATACGTAGGAATAATGCAACTTTAAGTTTTTAAAAGAATTTTCAAGGGCCCTAATCCTTTCCTATAACCATAAGCAATGCAAACTCACTTCCTCTGACAGAATTTCAACACAGGTGATCGGCTCCTGGATCTCGTATGTAAAGTCCACACGGGGCAGCTCCTCGGAGCCAGCAGGACGCGAATGACGCACATCCTTGACCAGAAGCTGGTCACCGGGAATCCGCTTTCCCACGCCAAAGAATCGCTTGGCCTCAAAACAGTCGCCGGTCCTCAGCAGAAATTGGCAGCCAATTAGTGCCAACAAAAACAACTTTGCACCCATTTTGCGTAGTTTTTTTCCGTTTTGAATTTAGTTTTAAGTTTTCAGTTTTCGGTGATCAGTGTTCGGGGAATGTTTAGCATTTTCAAAAATATCCGCCGGAGTCGAGGGATCTTTGCACGCGTCGCGGCAAACGAACTTTTGCAACTGCGAAGACGGAGACCTGAGCGTCGAGTGCTGACCAAGTGCTGATGGATCGGCGAAGCTGTTTTTGTAAATTCAAATTCACTTTCGTTCATCGCAAAAGAGAAAAATACAGAGAGAGGAAATGTTTGAGAGCTAGGCAGCTGAGAATTCACAAAATGTGCTCTCGAAAGTCTTTGGCAATCCATTCAGTTTCTCTATTTTCAAGATGTTTTTATTTGCTTCTGCACTTGACCCGAATGGAGACGATATGTGGCGTTCCAGGCGATACTCTGAACTCTTTGTCAACGACCCCAAAAATAATCCAGGTCCATAATAACAAACCACAGCCGCCTGTCTCAGGGATGGCGTTTAAAATTGGCTACAAAAGTGGCAAAAATAGCCCTAAATGAAGCGTATATATAGATTTGCTGCTATATATAAATGGGGGGACTGTTTTGCATAAGAGTTCTTTGACTTTTTTCGGGGGAGCTTCACTCAAGCCATGTTGGAGATGGCGAAAAGGTGTGAGGCTTATTTGGTTTGTTATTAAAGTCTTTTGATATCCTTGTAGGGTATTATAATTTTGATCAGAGGATTGCCAGGCGGAAAATGTTAACATATTTTCATATTATAGCCTTAATTTTATAATAATCTTGCCAGAGGAATAATCACTAAGTATAAAAAATTATATGAAAATGAAAATGTTGAAACTTTACGCACTCGGAGTTTTTACATATAAAAGTTTAAATATCCCCAGTAATAAATATTTAAAAATTACCTAATTCTACTTATTAAATCTACTTCAACTAGCAAGGGTATACAAACTTTACCTTCCAAAAGTTAGCTTTCATTCTGGTTTTCTGTTGTGTTTATAAATTGGCTTTATTTAGTTGGATTAGTGGAATATTGGCGATCAGCCTTCCCAGAATATTGTCAGATTTTGTTAAATCAGTTTTATAAATTTATTTGGGTTATTTTGAATTGCATTTTGTTTGTGGGCAGCTTTTGATTAACTTAAATATTGTATTTGTATTTATTTTTATTCACATCAACTGCATAAAAATCAGGATTTTTATTAAAAAGCTCTAGCTCTTTAAATATTTATCGACAAAGCTCTTTGAACTCTTTATTTATTTACCTTTTTCGGGTAAATAACGTTTAATTTTGATTATCTATTCGCCATTTGTAAAGCGTTAAACCAAATATTTAATTTAGTAAATGCTTATTGGCATTAGATGTCCGTTTAGCCGCAGCTTTGTCCATTAGCCCCGTGTTCGGGAAGATAGTGCGTGGCGGGCTGCCATTGGCATGCATAATGAATTGCAATTATGGTTAATGCGCCCGAGTGCGGAAAATGGAGGGTCGGTTGGCCAGGTGCCGCCTGCCTCAGAAATGGCCTTTTTAATTAAAAGCGTGTGCCGGGGAGAGCGAGTGTGCTGGCGAGGCAACATATTTGAAATGGAGCGGCCCGAATATATGCAGTTTTCATTTGCCAAATAGCTGCAACATAATTTATGGAGGCTGCATAGCCACAGAGGCGATGCTGTGCTGCAGCGCAATCGCAGCAATGGCATCTGGGCCAGAAACTGCGTCTAGTTTGGTGCAAAGTATTTGCATAAATATATGTATATTCCAAGGGAAACTTGCATCTGAGTGATTGCCAGGTAATTTCTTTAGGATGTCAGCCTCGCCGAGCGTCTAACAAGTTACAAGTAGCCCCTTAAACATTTTAGGCGAAGCAGCGGCAGCTACAACGTCCTTTAACAAGGATGTCAACGCCTCGCCTTCATGTCGGCGCCCTGACACTGAAGTTGCTGTCCCTTGCTGGCGCTGCTGCTCTGTTGCTGATGTTGTCGCAGCGTTGACAAATGAAATTACAGCATTTAGGGAAAATTGCATTACCCACTGCAATGGGAGGAAATTCAAGCCATTTGACTGCTTAAAGCCAACTTTGTCTAATTGAATTGCGTCCGAGTTTTCCTTCGTTTTTCATTGCATTGCAGAAAATAGATTGGTTTTTATTTCGAAATGTTCGCCGAGCTTATTACACTGAAGTGTGGCTGAAAACATGCACGGAAAGGCATGCCGATTGCTCGAGTGCCTCAAGTGCATCTATTCTGGCCAAGAGCACGGGCAGCGTCATCCGGTTCAAGTGGCCCGGCGAAAGGTTAACAACACTCCACAAAGAGATGCTGAATGCCGCTCATAATTGTTGCCATTTGAGGAGCCTTCCCGACGTGCTCGATGGTGCCGTAATGAGCCAGTGAGCCATTGAGCCACTCAATGGCCTGTCGACGACCATCGGACATCGGCCATCGGCCATTCCTGGGACACTCATGCGATTGAGTACATGTGCGCCCTGGGAAATGTGTCCAATTATATAATTGAATTGGCCATCGCAAGGACATCGGCATATGCACATCAATCAATCTGGCTAATAAAGCAATTAACTGGGCCGACGCCGCGCGCCGTCCTCTGGCCGAAACGGAAATTACAAATTTTTCATAATTCTTGTTTTTGCCTCTGCGGCGGCATTTTAATTTATGCCTCACAAATTGGATTTGGGCCCCGAAAACGCCAATTTGGCTTAGCGGGGATTAGCCAAAATGCTGAAAGCGCCCGAATTATGGTTTAAATTGAAATATTTTTCGCTGGGCATTGCGCTTATCGCGCCCTGAAATGTAGGCTAAGCTTTGCTGTGAGCAGCCAAGCCCGGAAAAACAATCAATTGAAGGGGGCCGGTGGGGCGCTGGCAACAATCTGTTCAAATTGTGAGGCAACAGCTCTTACACTCACAGGAGGAGCACTCGGAGATGGAGGAGATGGCCTGAACTGCGGCTGAGTGCCGCTGCAGCAGTTGATAAACTGGCAAAGAGTTTTTCAAAGAAAGCCCGCCGGGAGAAAGAAAGGCGCAGCTGGCAAACAAACCAAGTTAAAAGTTGCACAACGAATGCTCGACTGCCTGATGACTGAATGAAGCTTTTGAAATGTTAATTGGAAGCCTTAATTGGTTTTAATTCAACGAGCGATTGCTTTGCGTTCTGCAAACGGCAAATACCGCGATAGTTTTTATTCACCTTTGTAAGCGCGATTTCATTTAAATTCCAAGTTAAATTGAGTTATGGCTTGCATAATTTCATTTCTATATTTAATTAATATCTGGGAGAGTACGGTTGCCGAAGGGGTTTTCAATTCTATTAATACACCATTCATAAATCATATTAAATTATTTTAAATAGCAGTTTAAATAAGCCAATTAGTGGGTTGCAAAAACTGGTAAATTCAGGTTTACTTCTTTTATAGTAATGCTAAACTGGGGTCGCAATAAGGTCTTACGTCAAGTAATAAGCTTCCTCAGCTCGTCTTAATAATACCGAGTTAAGGTGAAGGGCATTTACGCCAAGGAGTAGTCATTTGCCAGCTTATCTCCATGGTGAGCATACCCCATTCGCTGGCCAGTTGCGGAGAACGCAAACGATTTAGTAAAAAATGGCCAGCTTGGGGCTGTAAAAGCTGGCAGCTGGCAGTTTGAGCGGCTCAAGGAATAAGAGATGCAGTCACAAAGTGGAGCATATTTGCGCCAGCCTGTCGATGATGCTGCCAACATGGCAATGTGTGAATGGGCCAGGGCCAGGATTTGAGCCTGCGGTAATCCATTTCAGGAGCCAGCAGCGACCACTTGACTCACAATTGCAATTGCCAGGCTTAGGCGACGACCTGCCACCAAGCTGCAGCCTGTCGACATCGTTCTCATTGTTCTCTCTCTTTTTCTCCTTATCCTGCAGGACGAAGGATGGAAGTTAAACCGTACCAACTACTACCAGGAGGGATGGCTGGCCACCGGCAATGTGCGAGGAATCGTGGGCGTGACCTTCACCACCTCGCACTGCCGCAAGAATATGGACTATCCGCTAAGGACTAACTATAACCTGCGGGGCCATCGATCAGATGTGAGTTAGAAAGGATTAAAGCAAGGTTTATAACAAAACCGAATGAATTTAATTTACCTTTACAGGTCATCCTGGTCAAGTGGAATGAGCCTTACCAGAAGCTGGCCTCCTGCGACAGTTCAGGCATCATCTTTGTGTGGATCAAGTACGAGGGCCGTTGGTCCATTGAGCTTATCAATGATCGCAACACGCCGGTTACCCACTTCTCCTGGTCGCACGATGGCCGTATGGCCTTGATATGCTACCAAGATGGTTTCGTTCTGGTGGGATCTGTGGCCGGACAGCGCTATTGGTCCTCCATGCTCAACCTAGAGTCGACGATCACGTGCGGCATTTGGACGCCCGACGACCAGCAGGTGTACTTTGGAACCACCCAGGGCCAGGTGATTGTGATGGATGTGCACGGTGCGATGGTGTCGCAAGTACAGCTCTCCAACGACGTGCCCATTACATCAATGGCCTGGTCCTGCGAGAAGTTCAAGATGGAGGAGGGCGAGGAAGCTGAGCCCGGTGTAACCAATGCGGGTGAGTTTTAATCAATAACATAATCGGGGGAATTTAATAATAAAGATTCTGGTATTTTCTTAGCTAAGCGATCCTTCGTGCTAGCTGTTAGTTTCCAGAACGGATATATATACTTGCTAAAGTCGTTCGACGACGTCTCACCCGCACATATCAACACCTGCCTTAACGGCGCCCTTGGCATGGTCATGGAGTGGAGCAACTCCCGGGAGCTGCTCGCCGTTGCTGGTACGCTGCGCACCGGACTGGACGGAGCGAAACCGGAGGAGCTGGGCACGCCCAGCAGCTACACGAACCTGGTCAAGTTCTACACGGAGACGGGCACGTGCCTGTACCAGGCACACATTCCCTGCACAAGTGCCACAGTTTCGGCCATCACCTGGGGCCACAACGACAAGCGGTTGTTCATAGCCACCGGGACACAGGTGCACATTGCTTGGGTATCCAGGCGGGTGGCCTCCCTGCAGCTCCTCTGCCGGCTGGAGATCCAGGCGAGCGTAGGCTCCGAGACGCTGCTGCCCCTGCTGCCGTTGCCTTCTAGGATTAAGTCTCTCATTGGCAATCTGTTTGCTCAAACGATACGAGTAAGTCTATAGCAACATTCAATGAATAAATTTAATCAATTCATCTGCATCCTTTGAAGTGCTGTGTACCTGACCTGAAGTCTCTGCGTGATTTCGTTTCGCGACCGCCGCTCTGCTCGACCCGGCTTCACTGCACCATGATCCGGCACGACGATGACTCCAACCTGAGCTCCGGCACTTGCTACACGCTCTATTTGGAGTACTTGGGCGGCCTGGTGCCGCTTCTCAAAGGCAAGCGCACGTCCAAAATACGACCAGAGTTTGTCATCTTCGATCCCCAGGTTAATGGTGAGTTTTCCACTTGACACTGGAAGTCCTGAGCCATTATAATTATTGCTTTATCCTCTCGTCAGATGCACCCTTGTACTTTCAATACTCTGCCGAGGCCAAGAGCTCCTCCGGCTCCAGCCAATCCACTACAACAGGCAACAGTGGGCGTACAGACTCCTCGGACAGTGACTACGAGGAGCGGTCTCGCTTCGGCTCTCCACGGACTCCACGCAAGAAGCGAGTGCGACCGAAGAGGCGCCACCAAGCAGGCGACCGACTAAGCGCCTCCGGAGGCGGGGGAACCAACGATCCCGACAGCTTGGATGAACTGGCCTACGTGGACACACTGCCGGAGGTAGGTGGCACTCTTGGCAGGAGAAGATCCACGCCATCACTGATTCAAATTATTTGTTTCATTCTCAAGCAGGAAGTCAAGCTGGTGGAGGTGACCTCCAACATTTGGGGTACCAAGTTCAAGATCCACGGACTTGCCAAAACCGTCCCAGCCAATTTAGGCCAAGTAACTTATAAGACGTCCCTACTGCATTTGCAACCGCGTCAGATGACGCTGGTCATCACAGAGCTGCGCGACGACTTTCCACCTGGTCCCGATCCCAGTTTTAATCCCAATATATTCTCCGAGGACGAGGACGAGCATCACCAGCACCAGGCCAACCACCACGATGCAGTGCCGCAGGTGAACGTGACCAGCGCGCAGGACATGGCCTCTCTGAAACCACCTACCATCCCCCAGAGACGGCTCACGGATGGAGCTTCTGCACCCTTAATAGCTCCAATGTCGCCGCGCCCTAATCGTATTCTGGCGCGGCACAAGAATTCCTTGACTGTGAATGGAGGAGAGCGCGGTGCTGGCTCCTCGGCGGGCTTGAGCCCCCTGGCGCGAGCGGAGAGCTACGACGATGATTCGTCCAATGAGTCCCAGGAGGCCGGAGCCACGGGCAGCCAGTCGACCACTGTGTTGCTGCACCAGGCGCCCTCCAACGGCTCTGGTCCTGGTCCCAGCAGCGGCAGCAGCAAGACGATTACGCGTCCAAAGACCATTAGCAGCTTCAAGAACAGCTACAGCCGCTCCAGCTCCAACTCCAGCTGCCAGTCCCGGCACGCCATCTCCCCGCTGTACTGCGATGGGGCAGTGCCCACGCTGCAGAGTCCCAAGAATGCGGTGGCGCCCTCGGACATCATCTTCGAGCGGCCAGCCGTGCCCGCCGCTGGACAAACCACTCTCATGTCGTACTCCAGCAACGCGGACTACGCCAACAATGTGGTGCAGGTGAAGAATGCTTTGATGTCGGAGCCGGTGCGTTCGGCCAATAGCCATGTCAATCCGGTGCCGCTTAATCTGAACCTCAATCTGGAGAGAATGGATGCAAGGGTCAAGTGCATGGCACCCGCAACGGCCTCCACCTCCAAGCGACGTGATATGCTGTACATCGACGAGGAGACTCAGTCGCCCACACCCACCACGAGCGCAAATAGCATGAAGCGTACGCCCACGGTGGTGTCGATAGCACCTGCCCTGCCCGACTCCATTACACGGAGCTGCAGCGTGGGTTATTTGGACTCGGTGGCCATTACGCCGTCCGACGAGGCTCTATCCGCCCTGCGAAAGGATGCGCCGAATAAGCGGCTGGTGCTGGTGGACAAGCGGAGGAACCGCCGGAAACGACAGCAACAGGAGGATTCCCGGCGGCACAAGCTGCAACAGACGGGAAAGTCCAAGAGTCTGGACTCCTGCGAGCTGCTCTCGCTTCAAACGAAGCTGACCAGCAAGGAGCACGAGCAGGTGGTGCGCAAGCTCCAGGAGATCTCCGATAGCAGTGCCTGCAGCAGCGCGGCCAACACGTTGTGCTTCAAGTGCCGCAACAACATGAATACCAGCAGTGCCTGCAAGCGTTGCCAGCCGTCAACGGGCTCCGCTCTGGATGAGATTACGTCCGCGGTGGCGGCCACAGCGGAGCCTGCAGTCAAAGAGCCTCCGGTTGTCAGCGTACAGGCAAAGCCGGCGCCCAAGAAACGCTTCGATGTCATCACTAGCTTCACAGACTCACCGCTCTTCACGAGGAAACATCGCTTTGGATACGGACGGAACAAGGAGACAGCGGGCACGGAGAACTCCACACCGCTGCTGGGAAGGAAGCAGGACAATGGCTTCAGCTTTGTGAAGCAATTATCCGAGGTACGCTGGCGACGAAAGGAAGCGCCACAGGCGCAAATCAATGGGGCCAGCAATGCCAGCACGCTAGAGAGGCAGCCGCCAGAGATCGTAGGAGCAACATGTGGGGCAGTGGAAGCAACGCCAGTGGAGGCCAAGGCTTCTGTTTCCTTGCACACTCAGGTAGATGTCTTAAATAAATTGGGGGATAGGAGTTAGTGGTGTTCTAATGTTCTGCCTTTCTAAATTCCAGGCCCTAACCACCTTGGAAAATATAATAAGCCGTCTCCGTGATCTCGACGAGGGTCGTCTGACACCTCCTTCCACGCCCCAGAGACTGCCGCGTAGTTCCCCAGCATCGCCGGCGGCCAGTAAAAAGAACAAGCGACAGCAGAGCAACTCCCCCATTCGCCACATCTTAAATTCACCGCTTCTAAACCGCCGCCAGCGGAAAAAGCAGAGCATAATCGAGAGTTCAGATGATGAGGGCAACCAGACAAATGGCTCTGGCGAGGAGAGCAACAACGCGGGTAATGGGAAGCAGTATCGCGACCTGGAGACTTTCCAAAAGGCTCAGTTGCGTCAAAAGGTGAGCTCAGTTTACAGACTTTTAATTTAAAGGCTGCTTAGAATGAATATAGTATCTAATATAATACCAATAATTACAGCTTAAGCGCGGCAAGATCGAGCCCAATGGCAGTGCCAGCTGTGCCAATCCGGCGCCAGTGCGTCGCGAGTTTGTGATGCACAACAAGGCGCCCATGTGGAACGAGATGAGCCAGGTCTACCAGCTGGACTTTGGGGGTCGCGTTACCCAGGAGTCGGCCAAGAACTTTCAAATCGAATTTCGTGGCAAGCAGGTGAGTCCAGTTTTCGAAATATAACCCTGAGATAAGTCTTATAGAATAATTTAAATCTTACTTAAAACAGGTCATGCAGTTCGGTCGCATCGATGGCAACGCTTATACTTTGGATTTCCAATATCCGTTCTCCGCCCTCCAGGCCTTTGCCGTGGCCCTGGCCAATGTGACACAGCGACTGAAGTAAACGGAGATCGCATTGCACCGCATCCTTCAGAAATGTCGCCAGCTGATTGCAGCCATTGCTTTTTTGGCCTACGCTATATATATTTTTTATACCAGACGATAAGATGGACGATTAGCGAAAATTGCTTCTTCATTTGTATATATTGTATATGTATATTGTGGTCTTTAGGTTTCCGAATACCGTATTTTAATGATTATGTATGTATGTGAACACGTACCACCACTTGATTGAAGGTTTTGCCATGTGCAGCACAATGAAGCACCCATGGGTGTGTGCGCATGGGTGTGCAACTCACAGTCCGATCCATTTTTGTGCAATATTTGTATGACAAGTTTTTTGGATTAAGTGTAGCCGAGTGTAAATGTTAGGCGTAACGAATGTATTTTAAATCAAACTACTTTAACACGAGATAGACGGATGATCAGTCGGTTTTTAACACTAGTTTGTACAAGAGCAGCCTTTTTTGCATAGAGCTTCGTTTCTCGCTTTACTCGACTTAAGTGCAATAACTCCTTTCGTTGACTCTTAGATCTAAGACAGGCATAACCGAAGGATACCGCTTGGCCCAGCACTCAAGCCATTCATTGCGAGTAAGGACCCGATCGCCCGATCACTGGATGCTAGCATATTTTTTATATGTGTAAACTAATTGTGAATGCTGAATCGATCGACGGCAAGGAATACAGAACTTTGTGCTTTTCCTCTCAACTCTTTTTGGTAGGTAGGCTTAATTTCAAGGAAAATTCGTTATTGTAATTGTTGTGAATATTGAAATAAGCACGAGTCGTAAACGATTTAGGCGGTCAACTACATAAATCATTAAATAAATGTATTTTACGTGAATAAAGGCTTTCGTTTTATAAATATCAACAAAGTATTGCACCTAGCTGTGAAATTTTGACTGTGTCACCTCTTTTGTTTTTCGATCTCGATCTCGGCCTTTTCCCAATCCGGAATGGTTTTCTCCTTGATGTGCCAGGAATCGGTTTTGGGGCCCTTCACCTCAGCTGCGATATGGGGATATCAGATTAGGGCTATTCAAAGATTGGAAAAGCGGAGAACTCACACATCTTGAAGCGCTTCACGCCATCCTGCATGTCCGTTATCATTTCTGAAGTCACATTCATGATCTCGTTGTAACTGGCCGCATGGAAGCCGGGACGGTTGTAGGCATTGGCATTCTCCAGCAGGGCATTCCGATCATGCATCAGCGAAGCTATGGGAAACTTGGCTATCGAAAAGGCCAGATTCACAGCCTGACCAAGGGCAGTGCCCGTGGCCACCACGCGATTGACCAAGCCCATCCTCATGGCCTCCCTGGCGTAGACGCGTCTCCCCGTCTCAATGATGTCCAAGGCGTTCGAGTAGCCAACGGCAGCGCTCAGACGCACTGATCCTCCATCGCTTAGGGGCACTCCCAGGCGCCGGTTAAAGAACCCCAGCACAGCAGATTCCTCCATCACCCGCAGATCGCACAGGAGCGCCAGTTCCACGCCGCCGGCCACACAAAAACCGCTGATGCCGCAGACGAGTGGCTTGCGGAGATGTCGCCTGGTGGGACCCACGGAGCCCTCGTGACGCAACAGAAAGTTGAGGCTTCCGCGCTGGGCCTCCGCCTCCAGTTCCGCCAGGTCATAGCCGGCGGAGAGGGAGCCACCGATGCCGTAAAGTACTCCCACCGGAGAGCTATCATCCGCCTCGAACTGGCTAATGGCTTCGGTGAGCTGCTCGGCGGTGTTGGCATCAATGCAGTTACGTTGCTGTTCGCGATTCAGGCCTATAAGGGTTATGTGGGAGTCTTTCTCCACCAGCACTGTGCGGGCGGGGGTTGGACCACTCCCTGCATGCCTTTTGGTCGATACATAAAGGTGTCTTGACCCCAAATTCAATTTGTTTACACCCTTTAAAAACGTACAAACAAATCTGCCCATTTCGTGGACCAAAAACAACAACTAACCATGGTCGTAGTTTGAACCGGTTTCTAGGGGTTCATGTTTCGGAAATATACATGTAAAAAGGAAAATCAGAGGTAGTAAACACGAAGAGATGTAATTAAATTGAGCTATAGGCTCTTTTTAATAAGAATGAAGACAAAATAACAGTTGGTTTTGTGGCACATAAATAAGGAACACCCCTCTCCCAGCACCCATGGTAACCAGTGTTAGGCAACGTGCACGAAAAGTCTGGGAACACACCAGTGCTACCAGACTTTCCATTATGTCATGAGCGATATTTTTCGAAAACATCGATAGTGAGAAAAAATTCAGACATCGATGTTTTGCCACCACTAGTTTGATTCGGGTTGGAAAAAGAAACAAAAAAAATTAAACAAAAACTGGAATCACTCGAGAACGCTGCGATTCCCATTAAACATATATTTATAAGTGAAAAACGCAACGAAAAGTGCAAGTGGCGGACGAGCCAGCGCTCCAAGGCAGGCCAACTCACACAGTGATACAAGTAAAGTACAAAACAGGCGCGCCTGCCAGACAAAGGATAGGTGAAAACGGTAAAGCAATATTCTCCCGGTGCTCCTCCACAACAAAAGACTTTCTACATCTGCGGCGATCCCCCCGCGCCGTCGCCACTCCCCGTTGCATGTGGCGCAATGTCTCAGTTGAACTCTAATTGAATCGGCAGCGGCGGAGTGGCGCCCTCGCCCATCGTTATTAGAACTTAATTGTGTCTATTTTTGTGCGGTGTGTGCGCGTCTGCCGGTGGCTTCCGCGTCACCAAAGTAATCCCCGCCGCCCCAGCCCCGCCCACGCCCACGCTGCACCACTGGAAGCCCCCGGGGGCAACTGTTGCCATTCGTCGTTGGCACCGCCCGCTCCGCTCTGTTCCCATTTATCTGTGGTGCCGCAGTCTGCCGCCCATCGTGGTCTATTTTTGAAAAATGTATTTGCGAAAACAACGAAGTGCCGCAGCCGAAATGAGACTCTCGTTTTATTATGCTTCATGGCCCTGCTGCGGTTTTGTTATTTGTTTTCTTTTCTTTTTTTTTTGTTGTTGGGCTTGCGGCCGGGACACACCTTTCGTTGACGTTCGAGTGCCCAGCCTTTGATCATCCCAGAGATACGCCAGAGCAGAGCGAAAGGCAATTAAAGTATATACAAATGTGCGGTCAGGCTGCCGGGTTTATTGCCTCGAGTAGAACTTAATTAATTGAATTAAGCTGGCGAAGACGCATTCTCACAGTTCCATCTTATTTTTGCCCATAGCATACTCCGCACACCAAAACACACACATACACACACACACACACGGCACACACTCACGACTCACGATGTCAACCGGAAGGCCCATAAAATGTGTTGTCGTCGGTGACGGCACTGTCGGAAAGACCTGCATGCTAATCTCCTATACGACAGACTGCTTTCCCGGCGAATATGTGCCCACAGTGTAAGTTTTCCCTTCTCCCAGTGGCCGGATCACCTCCCGGATAACTCCCACTTTGATCGCCCCAACAGCTTTGACAACTACTCGGCCCCGATGCAAGTGGACACAATACAGGTCTCGCTGGGACTGTGGGACACGGCGGGACAGGAGGACTACGACCGACTCCGACCGCTCTCCTACCCGCAGACAGACGTCTTCCTGATATGCTACAGCGTGGCGAGCCCCTCGTCCTTCGAGAACGTCACATCGAAATGGTATCCGGAGATAAAGCACCACTGCCCCGACGCGCCCATCATTCTAGTTGGTAAGTTGCCAGCTCTCAAAGGGGAAGTACATATATAAACAATAAATACACATTGCAGGGACCAAAATCGATTTGCGCGAAGATCGAGAGACACTGAGCGGCCTCGCTGAGCAGGGGCTGACGCCACTGAAGCGCGAGCAGGGCCAGAAGCTGGCGAACAAGATACGCGCTGTCAAATACATGGAGTGCTCTGCCTTGACGCAGCGCGGCCTGAAGCCGGTAAGTTGTCACCGGCACACCCTCGCCTCTCTCTCTTACTCACTTACCGATTTCCCCACTCCCCTGCCACCTTCAGGTGTTCGAGGAAGCGGTGCGCGCCGTGCTCAGACCAGAACCGCAAAAGCGACGCCAGCGAAAGTGTTTAGTTATGTAAATAAGGTAACATGTTATTGGCGACAGAGATTCCTCGGAAGCGACACGTAAGCCGGCGAGACGGCCGACATAGACACTCACGCAGCGTCCTCATCGACAAATCAAACAACAGAACTCATTCACTGGGCCTCATATTTATTTACATAAGTTTAAAATTACTCCTAATGTACCAGGCTCTTGGTGGCACCGGTAGGCAGCTATAAAGCAACGATAATGCGCTTGAATCTCAAATCTGGCGTTGCTTAAGTATTTCTTATGGGGCCATTAGGAGTAAATATTTTTGGCACAAAATCACAAAATCCCTCCCGCGACAACTAAAACAGAACAACAGAGAATCGTAAATCTAATGCAGATACATATGTAGAAATCTAGTCAATTGAATCGAATGTATTGTACTAATAGTAACAAGCAGCGAGTGCACATTATAAGAACCGCAGCCAACTCACAGCTAAAAATTGGTTTCGCATATCACGAGCATCTATGCATTTCCTAATTTCCCATTTAATGTATTATAGTTATGTAGCCAGACGTTCAAGCAGCTGAACTGTCCCTGTTTCCAGCTTACCAAAACAGAACTTGACGACGAGCTCTTGGAGAAAGCCACTTCTTACGATATTCAAGCATGCGAATTTTTTGTATTCTAACTCGACCCTCGAATCGTAATCATAATCATCTGACGCGCATTTGAAAATGTAACACCTGTTGTTTATTATTTTATAATGACCTATTTATTATCCTAACTTTAAAGAAATGAATTGTATAAACAACTTTTACGGCGTAAGTATAGCAAAGGATTATGTAAATGGAGAGGCGAACAAACTGCATTTAAGTGTGGCCCGACTCGAATAGGCAAAGAAACAAGAATCAAAAATGAATACAACAAAAGCCCTCAACTTAAAAAAAAAAAAAGAATACAATGAGCAAGATGTAACGAACTCCCAGGACACTTTTTGTACTAATTATATAAACAAATCTAACGAAAGTCTTATGTAAATGAAATGTAAACGAAGGCCGTTTGGCTCCAGAGAGATGTAGCAGCCGTAAACTGATTTAATACTTACGAAATATATACTGTAATTATTTAAACCAAGAACAACAAACCGCTGTATTTTGTGCTTAACTTTGCCTCTCAGTTTCTCGTTTATTTTGTTGTAAATGCCACGTTTCGTTTTCGGTTCTAAACAATTAACAGTTTGATCAAATTTGTTCTGGATATGTATGTATTTTTAGAAGTGCGTGCCTCGATATCAACTTGTGCTCGAATCTCGAAGTGCTTCACTTGGGATGCGTCGTCTCGTGCAATGTTGTGGTGGTGGAGCGGCTAGGAAGTCCTCGGTGCATCGTCTTAGTACAGGCGGAAGGGCTTTGTGTGGACAGCCTGTCCGGGCTTCTTCTTGGGACCTGCACTCTTCGGACGCTTGGTTTCAGAGTTGAGCGAGGGCATGGAGACGGAGAGCACGAGGCACTCGGCTGGCAGCGACATGGACGAGGTGAGTGTGGTGGCGCGTTGGATGCGCGGCGCCTTCCAATACTGCGGGGATTCGGATACAAAGAGGGTTCTTAGAGGCGGTTCATAGTCCAAGGTGGCGGATGCAAAATAGTTGTCGCAGTCATAGCTCGATTGAGATGGAGACTTACAATTTGCTTGATCAAATTTATTTTCGATTTTTGTTTTTTTCGATTACCAATGCATCCAAATGAGGAAGAAGAGGATGTGTGCTCGTGCGTGGCTTTGTTGGAACGCTTGCGGCGTGGGCGTGGCTTGCCAAATGTACTTAAGTTTCTCCAAAATTAGTTGTCTCAAATCGCAAATCTCAAACCGATACAAACCAAACTGTTGAAATATTCGAAAAACTAAGTGCAACAACAACTCCGGGATTTAATAAATGAAAAAACGTTTTTTTGTTTGTTTATTATGCTTAAATTTTGCCATTGTTCTTACATTTTGTAACAGGGTGTAAATAAATCGTGAGAATGATGCGCTTGACTAATAAGATACAAATTAATAATAGTAAAAATATGCTTATACGTGGTATTATCTGTTCGGTTCGGTTCGGTTCGGTACTGTTCTGTTCTGTGTGGCTTTGTTCGTCGCAAAAGTATCTAAACGGTTCACATATCATCGGGTCGCATTATCTTAGTCGTATAACATTTAGACGTCGAGTGTAATGGGGTGTCGTTCAACATTTTCAACTAAGCACACGGTTTGTTCGTACGAATCTTGTATAATTTGCTTAAATATTTAGATACTTTTATGTATACGTATATATATATTTTATGTATATATGAATTTCTTGTAATATATTGAGATATATAATTACGTCTGGTATCTGACGATAAAGAGTGCATTGCTCAACTAGTCAATATACTTCGATCTGTATACCAAATACCGCTTCTATGTGGGGTGGTGGTGGTGTAGATGAATCTGCATCTGCATTCGCAGTCTGCGTGCTTGCACCTCTATCGAGTTTTCGGGTCTTATTACTGGATTGTGAGGGTGTGTGGAAATCATTGCATAACTTTTTCTTTTTGTGTAGCTTTTTGCTTAGATAGTACATTTCAAATTAGCTGGTTCAATGTTCGTTTCGCTTTCAATCTTGGCTATCTTAGCTTGCAAGGAAAAGATATCGGCTCGACATGCATTTCGGGCATTTCGGGCATTTAGCTTTGTTGATTTAAATTTTCATCAGCGCCAGAAGCCGTCATGGATGGTAGTGGACTCTGCGTTCAAGATAAAAATATAAACGTGAATGCGTATCGATTGCTCAAATCATAAGGTTAACTATTACAGAAATAAACCATAAGCCTTGTTAGATCATGAATTGGTTTTGGAATGCAATGGAGTAAGAATGGGGGTCGCAAGCAGTTGCCCTTGAAACCGTTTCGGGGTCTATAGAGTATGTATGTTTATGGTTTGGATGCAGGTGGCCCGGCAAATCAGCTTCGGTTCGGTTAGTCTATCACAGCACTGTTAAATATTAGGTATATCAAACTATCTATGCATGTATATAATGTACGCAACGGACACATCTTAGAAGAACTTGCAACGCACAAGGACTTACGGGGCTGCGTGATCGTGATCGTGATCAAATCGAATCGGATCGGATAGAATGTTTCTAGAGTGCTTAAAATAGCGTCGCATTCGGACCTCCAGTATACTATGCTGCAGTAGCACTCGTAATAGGCTTTAAATAACTCTAATGGACGTAACATGTATACGAATTTCGAATTTAATGCACTTAGTTTCGTATGACTAGCCTAATAAAACGTGTATATATATTCCTATAATAAACGAAAGAAAAGGTTAAGCACAGAAATGAAGAGTACACTTAATAATTCATAATTAATCGTAATATAAAATGGATGTCAGTATTGATGTATGCACATATGAGGTCAATGTGTGAGTGGCTTTTCTTTCAATGTTCGTGTGTCGAGGGTGAGCGGGCAAAGCACTTGGCTAGATGACTTAAATGCTGGGCAGCCTTTCGCTTAACCGTCCAAAGGGTCAGAGTCTGGGGTACGGGGTTTCGGTTTGAGCAATCGCGGATCAGTATATTGTTCAAAATTTGTACTATCCTACGTTGTATAGGGTTCTTGACCGTTGCCATAAATAATACTTGTGTTCGCTACATACTAGGGACTAGGGGGAGTTAACAAACATCGGGCTGCTGCCTTCTGCCCCTGGACAGTGACCTGAGCTGGGGCTGTGGTTAAATTCAATTTACACCTGGCCGGATCGCAAGAGCATCCCTCCTCTCCGGGGATCTGCCCAGGGGCAGGACAGCGCATATCCTCAACATACTTTGTTTAGTGTACAATTTAAAATAGAAACTCTTGCAAACTCTGTTGAGTTCGGGTGTTTTTTAGTTCTTGTTCTTAGTTTTGTCCTGTTACAGTTATCGTTTGGCTTAAGGTACAGTTCAGTAGTGTTGATGGATGTCTTTTCTATACTCGATACTGTTCGATATCGAGCTCGGGCTCAATTTCGATTTCGATTCGGCTGATTAAAGCTAGGAGGGAGTTCATTTAAAAAGCGACTCGAATATATTGTTACACACACAGTCTGAGTTACAGAGACCGAATTCTAGGTGGATCGTGGCAATCAAGCGCCCTTGCGCCGCAAACTACATTAGCAGCCGGTTAAAGCGAGGGGAGACAGAGAAAAAAGAGAGAGAGATTTGTTTAGAGTATCTTTTCTGGTACAACACATGTCAAATTGATGGATGGAAAGCGCTCTTGCTACCAATTTTGTTGTTTATTGTCATCGCCAATGAATCTCAGTTTGGGTTTGTGGGAAATTCATTTTTAAATGCAACGTAATGGCAATTAACTGAACGAAATGATAATCTGAACGAAACGAAAGGTTACGACGAACTAAACGGATATCAAATGCCCGCCATCGAGACCTAAAAGTGCCAACAAATACTTTGTCCAGAGGTTACTTCTCATTAATTACGGATAGGTGATCTTTTGGTGGGAGTTCTCTGAAAGCGGTTCCGGGTGGCAGGTGGGAATGGTGTCTGTGGGGGGGTTTTGGGTTACGTGTGAGTGTGTGGGTCTCTTTTGGGTGTGGTGCTCTGTTAAGTGGCTTGATTGTAAACCATAAGGTGTTAACGCAATCAATTACAATTACGGATTACACAAAAATGAATTTCTCGACGCAAACACAAAATGGGATATCGATAATATTAGATTATATCTTTTGTTTCCTTCTTAACGAACTAAAAAAGGTCTAGTAAATCAGGGTTAGGTTTAAGTTAAATTCTATCGTTCGATACGTAACTACAACGAGCTTATGTACACGTAGTTTACCTGTGTTGGTGGTGTTGTCAGTGCAACAGAGTGTTCAACATTTTTCAAATAATCCTTATCATCGAAAATCTTCTTTTCACCGCCACCGGGCTTGTGCTTTACATTATCCAAAGAGCCAACTTTGCTTTGTGCCTTAATTTCTATTTTTTGCGTTTGGATCTGAAAAGTAGCACCGGCACCGGCAACGTACAGAAAACGATTAGCAAATGAATCTTTCCAAAGTGTTTCGAATCGACGACCCCATGGGTCACTTCGACTTTGCGTGGTTGGGTTGGTGGATTATTATTTAGGACACGGGACGTCGGCCAATCGAGGACACACAACTGAAATTTGGAATTTAACACACAAAAACACAGGGACAGAGCACGGGGAACGTAACAAATGGATATCATCTAAGGTAAATAAGGTAAAGGTACAAAATATACTCTACTATCTACTAGGTAGGTGTGGTGCCTTTTGGGACATATGTATATCAAAAAGTGAGGCTTAGGTGTTCCAAAAAGATCAAAAATAAGAAAGACATGATGCATCTAGGGGTTCGTACAAAAGCACACATAGGATGCATATCAGATGTACACAGAGGAAAATAGTTATCACGACTACTTACATCCTTGGGGTTGTAATCCTTTGAATTCGTTGTGTTTAATGGTTTAGTGTAAAACAAAATACATTTTCCAAAATATTGTTTAAACATGTTTCGGTTCGTTAAAATAAGTATGGAAAAATTAAAAGTTATTCTCGATTATTCAGCTATTCGGTATGGGTTAGGAACTGAACAAAATGATTTCCCTCTACGCTGTACAATGCTGACCCCAATGCTAGGACAGGTGTGTATTACTTGACTTTTAGTCAACAATCAGGTGGCAGGCATATGTATAGTACATCTGGTGTGGGTGTGTTACCTACCCCGCTAAAACTCTACCTCCTCCTCATTATACAAATTCTCATCCAGGCGCTTGTTACTGGCGCAGTGGCCGACTATCTTTGAGCCCTCGCCATAGATGATGTTCATCTTCCTATCGTAGCTCTGGAAAGTGGTTCAAGGCATTGGTTTAGGGGTGTTCTGCGTGTTAGTTGGATGTAGGTCTAGGGTTGACCTCCAGAAGGAGGGTTTAACTTGCAGCATGCTGTTTAAAACTAAGAGAACATTGCGGCCCCACATGCACTGAGGGAAGCCCATGCCCATGCCCATGCCCATGAACATGCCGGGTTATTGTTGGCAACAAAACGACAGAGTAGAGCATCCAAAAACCAACGAAAGCCAACGTCAATCGGAAATCATACTTAACCACTACAAAAATCAATGGGAGCTCGTTCGGTCTCTGGGTCAAACTCAAACATGAAACGGTGGGTCACATGACGGGTGGGGGGGAGTATAGAGGGGGCCTGCATACCTTGATGTCGCCGCCGCCGGGCTGGTGCTTCACGTTGTCCTTGGAGTTGACCTTCGACTTGGCCTTGTTGTTGAAGTCCATCTTCAGGGTCTCGATCTTCTTGTCCCCGCCTCCGGGCTTGTGGGCGGCGTTCTCCAACGAGCCGATTTTCGACTTTGCGTTCCACTGCAACTTTGTTGTTACTATCTACGGATTTGCAGTGCCGGATTGGTGGAGGATTGGTGGTGCGAGTGTGTGCGGAATCGTTGGTTGTAAGTTGTAAATAGATACAAGGTAGGTAAACGATTATAAGCCAGCGTCAAATATCGATCCAATGATAGATATCCCGCTGCGCCGTCTGCCGCTGTCAATGTCAGAGTCGTCGCACCCAACTCTGGCACATCCAGCTCAACGGCGGAGGCGCAGTCGGATGCGGATACGGATGGGGTTGGAGCTTGTACGCTACATAAGGCAACGGAATTATGCTGCTAAGTGTCGCTGCGAATTGGTAATTGCATTTCCTACAACAAGATACGAGAGTCAAGATACCGTGCTGCCGCCATCTATAATGGGCATAAGTATATCTCAAATCAAATCGCAAATCGACCGTGAAATTGAGTTTGCCAATACAATACGAGTTACTTTACAGTACGCGACTATACGTTACTTTTCTTTTTCGAGAGAGCTTTTCTCGGTATTACAAAAGCCATTTGTAGATGAAAGAAATTTACAAAGATATATGAGAGAGAAAGAGCTAGAGTTATGTCCTGGGTTGCCCCAGCAGGAATGCTTTGAATGGATACACCGGTCCCTCCCCGGATTACCCTCTAAACAGGAGCTGGAACTTCCCAAACGTACCTTCTTTTCGCCGCCCTTGGGCGCATACTTGTCGTTCTTGGCCTCGATGCGGGGCGCCGCCTTGATTTCGATCTTCTTGGACTCGATCTTAACGTGGCCACCGCCCGGCTTGTAGGTGGCATTGTCCAGGGATCCAATTTTGGAGCGAACCGCCTTCAGGTTGGGCGAAGGCGCATGTCCGACCTGTACCTTGTTCATTGGAACTGCAAATGGAGGGAATAATATTATTCATAAATTATTGTTATCATGGCAGATTTTTTGATATTAAGGAAGAGAGCTTTCGGTAAGAATACCAGAGAATGTCCTAACTTCAGTGATATAGCTCAAAGGCAGAGTGGCTCGGAGGTATTCGGCTTTTTTAGCAAGCTGGTCGAATGCCTTTGCTCTGGGACACTATTACTCAAGCTCTTATAATAAAAGAAGTATCACTCACCTTTCTTTACTGGCTCGGGCTCTGGGGTCTTAAGGAGCAAGCGGTTCTTTGAGGCGCTGCGCGACTTGGGTGCCGATTTGTTCGAGGGCGTGGCACTCGGTGGGCGGGACGTGCCCGGCTTCGACGATGTCGATGTGGGTGTCTTCACCGGTGAACTGGGCGAATTGGGTCCGTTTCGATCCTGTCGAGAGGAGATAATCACAGAATAAGGGTCACAAACTGGCTAACTATCTCAATTCCCTTCGTGGATTACTAGCAAGTAGGTCGAGTCGGCCATGATGACGAGATGCATCTTGGGGCTATGGGGCTGTGGACGCGGTTTATTAACTATTTACGACTCGCTCTCAACACTCCCTGGCTTTCCGGAGCTGTCAACGTAATGCCATTGGCATTTATGACTGCCGCCAGATCTGGCCGGGCCAGTGAGCCATCCGCCTGCCGATGTCGTCGTCGATGTCGATGTCGGTACGAAGGACTTATAGTTTATGCATTGTTTTATCGATTGTCGCCGCTTCGTGTCGTTTTTGCATATGGATGGCTGTATTTATAGAGCCAACAACCGCTTTGCAGATATATGTGTGCTATGATTCCGGCCCCCTCTCTTCTGTAGTCCCGTGGTAACTCACTGAGTCCCCCTGCCCTGCCCCATTTCGTGTTTGGCACTTATCTAGGCACAGATATCACCAGGCATATAAATCGCTTTTCTGTGTATTTCTTTTCGACGACCGACTGGCTTCTTTTTGGGAGTTTCTGCCTCGCACCTGCTACCTGCTGGGCTCACGTACCTCATATATAGTATAGTATCTGGGTGAGAGTGAGAGATATATGTCTGCTCGCCCGACTTTTGTCGCACTTTTCTGCGGGTTTTTCCGACGCGCCAACTACCGTCTGCCAAGACAAAACTTAGTCTGAACTTTGGCGTCTGCACACGAACACGAGCCAACCTGGGAAACTGACAAAATGAGCAACTGGCGGAATTGTCGCAGACAAAAGTCGGGCCAGCTATATGCTATTTTCTATATGGTCTCCAATGGAGCGTGGAGCAGAGCTCTCAGAGCTCGCCCGCTGGCAGCCCCGGCCTTTTACAGATATTTATGATTTGTGAACAGAGACGGTCAACGGAATTAAATTAATTTGTCGCCAGTTCCAGTTAATTTCCTCTCAATTAACGTAGACGCAGCAGCAGAAGAAGCCCCAATTTATGGCCAACTAGTTAACTGGTTCAAAGCCAACGCAAACTCACCTTCTCCTGAGTGGATTCGTCCACGCCGCTGTCGTTGTCACCCTCTGAAATGAGTTAATAAGAAGGGAGTTAGATAATATTCAACATAATATTAAGTTCATTCAGGTCACGATTTTGGCGGAAATGGATTTAAACCTAAAACTGATCTGTACACATAAATTGTTTTGATTTGGAATGAAATTTATAGGTTTTTAAACATGTAAGGAAATAATATTTACTATGTTAAAGCAATCTCCTTTGGTTCTTGAATAGAAAAACTAGACCTAACGTAATCCGTTTCCGCTAAACTTCAGTATTTATGCTCACTATATCTTATTTCAGATTTAAATAATTATTATAAACAAAAACTAATAACTCCTAGATGGCTTCACTTATGGCATGTATCTACTTAGATTGTTTTTCTTACTGAAACCGGGGCCCTTCTTGGCCTCTACCGCCGGGGGGCTCGTCTCAAAGGGCGGCTCTGTCTCCTCCAGCAATGGCGAGCCCATCGGATCGGCCCTTGGGTTGAATGTCTTGAGCGGGGTCACTGCCGGACCCATGATCACGTCATCGTCGTCGTCGTTGTTGTTGTGAGCACTCGCTGCCGAAGGTGGGCGTAGTTGCTGCGGTGGCTGGTGTTGCTGCTGTTGTTGTTGCTGCTGCTGCATGTGTTGCTGCAGCTGCTGCTGCTGTTGCGGTTGCATGGGCGGCTGGTTGAAGGGCGGTCGAAAGGGTGCCTGCAGCGGCTGACCCGGCAGCGGTCGTGGAAAAGTGGGCGGCGGTGGACGCGTCATGTTTTGTGGTGGCGGCGGCCTGGCACCTGGCGGCATACCCGGTGCCCCGGCTGCCGGGTTCCAGGGAAAGCCACCCGGTGGCCTTGGCGGTCCCTGGCCAGGCGGACTAAGTGGTCCGCCTGAGTTGGGCAAGCGTGCCTGCTGCATGCTTTGCTGACTTAACTGCGGAGGCGGCATTCCTGGCCTCATACCCGGCGGTGGCGGGCCCATAAGCAGGTTGCTCTTGCTGTCTGTGGTTCGCAGTGGTGGCGGCGCCATCTGCCTAACCGCCATATTGGGGGGCGGCATGGGAGGACGCGGTCCCATACCCACCATTGGCCGGGCGCCGGCGAACGGAGGACGCGGCTGGGGCGGTCCCACCGCGGGACGCATCTGCGGTGGCAAGACAAAGTTCTGTGGTGGTCGCACATACTCAGCATTGGGTTTACTCGGCAGCTTGGGCGTGGGATTGGGATTGGGATTGGTGTTCAGGGTGGAGGTGGTGCTAGTGCTGGGCTTGCTGTGCGAAATAGTGCGTTCTTTGGGCGGTGCCGCGTTGTAAGCGGTGTAGTTAGCAGTGTTCTGCTGTGGCCGCTGCTGCTGCTGCTGCAGCGGCCTGGACTCGTAGAGAGAACGATCTATATTGCCGCTTGAGTAATCTGCCACTGGTTGGGCACGAAGTGGCTGCTGTGGGGTACGATTAATGGAGCTTTGATCCGAAGTAGCTGCCTCGTAAGTGGGACGCTCTGATGGTACCGTGTTGGTTAGGAACTCTGTATTCAACTGGGATCTAATCGGCTGCTTGGAGCGATCTGAGAGCACTGAATCCATCTCATATGCAGGACGATCTGGGATGGCATTATTGCTGGAATAATCAGTGTTAATGGGAGATCTTAGCTGTGGCCTGGCGCGTTCTGCTGATGACTCAGCGGCACTGTTGCCGAGATACTCGGGGTTAAGTTGAGATCTTAACGGCTGTTTAGAGCGATCTACGGATACGGCGTCTGGTTCATAGCTTGAACGATCTGTTGGGAGAAACTCCGTCTTCAACTGACGACCCTGTAGCTGCTGCTGAGCTGAATCTTCTCTAGCTCCAGAGTACTCCTTCTGAGAAATCTCCTGGCTGGATCGGGTCTTCTCCGTGCCGTACATCCCGGAGCTGGAGCTAGGACTTCTCGCCTGCGGTGTCGGTGCAGAAATGTGCAAGTGTCTGGTAACCCGATAGCTGGCAGGGCTCGAGGAGCCGCCAGAGTGTTGGCCAATGCCACACGTGGCCCCGCCGGCGCCCACACCCGCGCCTCCAACTGGCCCATATCATTTGCATATGTATGGCCATATATCGTAGGGCCACCAACAAGGAGCGGAGTAGCGAGTGTCAGTGTGGGTGCCAGGACTCATGTATCCGCGGCAGACGTATCAATACGATTCACATTGAGTGGTGCTTTCAAATTTGATGGCTCTTTCTGCATTTGTTTACATTTTATTGTTTTGGCATTCTCGGCAAGTTCTGGGGCTCTCGTCGTCGGTCGGCGGCGGTCCTCTTCGGTTACCATTAGGGAATTTTGTCATGAATTTCGGTTGCCAGTTGTAACATGACCCAAATTGTTTTTGTGACTTATTGATTCAACAAAACTTTGTGTTTCGGCTCCGCTTTCGGCAGTTCTAAGTCGCACAAATCGAATGCAGGCCGAGAGCAAATCGCTGTTTGATTTATTTCGCAAAGGGTTCGATCCTGATCCGACCCACAATGATGTATGCAAGGTCGCCTCGCCGGAATAATGCGGCCATTAATACCGCTGTCATATTCAAATTATGCTCGTAAATCGCTTGTGCATGGGCAATTGGCGGTGCTATAGTGCTGCTCTTGAATTGCACAGGTAGGCAGGTACAGGTACAGGTACTCGACTTGAACCACCAACCGAAGGACTCACCGCATCGGTATCACTCATGTCGGAGGAGGAGGCGCTATGTGGCACTGGGACCCTAACGCGGACTCTGGACTCGTTCTCGTTCTCGGCACTGCCTGGCAATTAACTTTACGCGGTCGCGGCGGAAGAAAAGAACCGAAAACTTTCACATTTAGTTTTGGTGTGTTACCTTTGGAGGGCAAATCGATAAAATAGCACAGACCCACCAAAAAACGGCTCGTAATTCCCTTTAAACTGCTGCTGGTGCTGCTGCTGGAGGAGCTCCAAACTGGGGCCTCAGCACGTGCAACATTCAACTCGCAACTGAACTTGTGTCGAGTCAGAGTCAGAAACGGACTCGTCGTCGGATCCGCCAACTTCCTGGCCAACTAAAAGCACTGAAAGGAGGCCTGTCAGGCAGCGGGGCAACTGCAAATTAGGGCCACAATGATTTGTTTCCCTGTCGCGGCTGACATAAACCGAAATTCCACACAATGTTCATGTCAACCGCAACAACGACAACTGTCATTTGTGGCCAAATGGTCTTGGCCAAATTGATTACCAACAATCGCTCGCTGTGCGCGGGCAGGGGCGGAAAGCCAACAATTGCAGGTGCAACTCCGGCCAGGCTGCGGCACATAAACCACAAAAGTTCGGGGGAGCCCCTTCTAAGCGCTACTGCTCCGCTTTTCAATTAGATTCCCCGCTCGCAGGGCTAACCAGGGAAATATTGTTAACAAACTTGGTCCTCTGGCAATTGAATTTCGCTTGGGGGGAAGGGGCTTCGCGGCTTCGGCTTCCCCCGGATGTGGGGAACTACTGCCACTGCAGTTGCGATTTTATCACGGACACACCGACAGGCGACAGACGACCGACCACTATCAATTGTTGCAGTTTGCCGTAAAACCAAGCCGTGCAATTGTATCGATTTTTCTAGCCAAGAGGGCAATAACTTGGCCACGTACAGTCTGAGAAGGCTAATGCACTTTGCACTTTGCGCTCACCGCAAGGATGTTGAGGGAAGTCGCTTAATTTCCGTCTCGATTCAGACACAAACTCCTGCTTAACCTGGTAAGGGTTGCCCTTAAGCAGTTATTACTTTTCGATATTGTTTTATATTTCCTTTAGTTTAGTTTATTTTTATTTAAATATTTTATTCGGCTGTGTTCTCCGCGACGCCAGCTCTGACTGCGTTGTGTTTGGCGCGAGTGTTAAAACTCGACTGCTTTTATTTGCTTTGAAAAATTTCGAATTACAATACTTAGAATTTGTTTTGATACGCCTGCCCCTGCCCTGCCGCTCTGTGGACTGGCGAAGCAGCCGCTCGTAAACTTCTCGGGGCGCATAAACAGAAAGTGTCCTTGCGCAGTTCAAAGAGCAGGATATTTTCGTGGAGCAAAGGCAAAGGCAAAGCCAAGCCCGAACCAGAGCTAGCTTCGCCTGGCTTATTCTATTGACATACAAATTTATTAGTGGGGCGCCGGGGAAAAATGCAAATTCAACACGCCAATCCGGAGCGGAGCAGGGAGGCCCAGCCAGGCCAACATCGGGGTAGCGTTGATTTTATATGCAGATTTCATTTGACTTGATTAATTTAATGGGCCCCCGGGGGGAGGCATGGACGCGCATTTGTGCAATTCCTTCGCAATCCTTTGCTCCTAATGCCCCCCAAACACACACACACACACACAGTGCACATACGGAGGGAGCTGTGTATGGAATTGAGGCAGCTACAGGCACCGCCTGCCACGCACCGCATCATATTTATTATCCAGGTGTTGTTGTCATAGGCTCCCCTAATTGTTGTCTATTTACAGGCAGCCAGCACGCAAGACGGCAGCGCAGCGCTCTAATGCGTAGACATAAAAGTAAACCAGAGACGATCCCAACTGACATGAGGTTGGCTGAGAAAAGACCTCTTCGGTGGTGGTGGTCTCCTGGCTAATATCTGCCTAGTTCTTTAGCCTAATTCGATTGCCAAGGTTAGTTGTCTGTTGGCGAAAGAGTTTACTTTCGACTTGGTTGCCTAGGTTAGTTTATACTTGTATTAATCTTGTATTGTTGTTTATTAATATTCTAATTTGATTTAATATTTAGCCATTTAACATACCTATATAAGTGAAGCCATCTTGAGTATATATTTATTAATTACATGTCAACCAACTTGTGTTATTCCGTATCTCTGCATACATACCTGAAAAAAGAAACATTTTGTTGATATATTTACTTATTTTGTCAAATATAGTTCTTTTAGTTTAAAGATCCACATTAAATCTATATTTTATCTAACAAATTTTCTACTTTTAACTTTTTTGGGACGTGAAAGCCAAATAATTGGCAGCGAACAGAAACACTACAAAACGAGTAATAGGGAATCTCCTGAGTCCTGAAGTTGGCTTAATCATAATCAGTTGATCTGATTGTAGAAGAAAACTAAGACAGTAAGCCAAATTATATTAATTTAATTAATTTTTCAAATATTTTAAATTTTTTCTCTTCACAGTTCTGCTCAAACTTGAAAAATATGAAAGAGAAAGAAGAAAAAAAGTTTTTTTTTGTTTTTGGAATTAACGTTTTATTTTCCCAGTGTAACATAAGCAGCTCAAGTAAGCAGTTCGACCAAGCAGTTCAAATATTGTAAGTCTGGCAACGCCAAAAGATTTTGTTTGCGACTTAAGTGTGACCTTTTCCGGCGAAGCTACACACTACGCGGGAAATTTAAACTATAACTAGGAAAAGCATTTTACCATTTTGTGTTTAAAAATCGTAAGAAAAATAATTCACGTTTTAACGTATAGTTTTTTTTGTAAAAATTTTAAAATATTTCCATAGCGAAATATCCAGTTTAAGTCCCCCTTTAATTTAAAATAAATCTATTTAGTTTATTCAATTACAATTTGTTAAAAATTATGTAAAGCGAAAGCATTTAATTGGAAACACACGCAAACCAAGGCCGAATTGTTGATGCTTTTGTCACTCGTCGGCGTTTGGGGGTGGTTTTGCCACCCCCAAGTGCTTTCATTTTCCGTCCTAACCGCCCGGCATTTGTTTTGCTTTTTCGGGGGATGCAGCCGGTCGGTCGAGTGGCTTTGCCTCGCTTACGTTGTATCTATCGGCATGCCTTCCCCTTTTGGTTGGCTTCCTTCCCTTGGTCAATTCCGTGCCTACGCTACGCTCATTGATTATTCTATTCAGCATTCCTGTGAGCATTATGGCGGGGGCGGAATCCTCATGTGGTTGCTGGGCCCGCAAACTGCGCATGTTTGGTCAAACTCGAGTTATCCTGCGGCGTAGAAGATGAATCACGACTGGGTTTTGGAAGAAACCCAAGGCAAGGTGCAGGTGTTTAGCGCAGAAAGAAATTTGAACATCAAGGAATATTTTTATATCTGACTTACTTTGAGTCGAAAAAGAAATATGTCCAGTCAGTTCAGATATGTGTCACAAAACCAAACAAACGTATAATAAAAGAGTTTCATTTCCAGACATATATCCATCTTTAATTCACACTTGTGTCTGTTAATTCCAAGCTGAGAATCAGAATTGTTTTCCCTGCGGCAACACCTTATCAATTAATCAAGAGCCAAATTTATGGCTGTATTATCGACTAGGACCTCAGGTGACGTGCATTTCATGTCGAACATGGCTAGATTTATTGTCGGGCGGTGGAAGCTAGGTGGCTGGGTAACTTTAACATTTGTATTTTTGACGCACTTCGATTATTGATTGCCTTCCACAAAATGTGGCAATTGTCAGTGCGGCAGCCGCACGCACGATACCCGATGTCGGCCAAAACGGGCAATGCCGCCCCGTATATGGTCTTGGCTAAAAACTACAAGCAGAACAACAAATTATGCGGCGTCTGCCCAAAGAGGCAGTGGCCACTGGGGTAGCAATGGGGATTGGGCAAACGGCAACCCACCCAACGGCTCCTAAGAGACTCCAACTCCGACTCCAACGAAAGTGCAGATATGCATGGCCATAAGCCCGTGGAAACTGGTGGAAAATCGCTGGTAAAATCGAGTGAATCGAAATCAGAGCAGGTCCCCGGTCCCAGACAGCCACCGCTGGCCGAGTTTATTGAACTGGAATATCGGTATTGTCAGGCGTTGCTCGGCGGGGCGATGTTCGCGCCGAAGCCATTTGACAACTCTTTTGTGGCTTTAATTAGAGGGCAGCACGGAGTACTCGGAGTACGGAGCTGGAGCTGGAGCGGGATTTGCGTGTCGCGTGTCTAGCGACACTTTGTTCGCGGGAAAACAATTAGGCAAACACCCAACCTGCCACAGCACCCACCAGCCAGCCTGAGCCGTAAACCCTGAACTCTTGAGACTCCTGAGCCACCACCCGAAACTCGGAGCCTTATTAATTTTGCAGCAAACTTTATTGATCAAACTTTTAATTTTGTAATTAATTAATCAAGCCGAAACTGTGCCGCATTCCGCGTTTCAGGCTGCGAGATGCATCCATCAGATACACAATGCATTAATATGCCGGCAGTTACGAGACAATAACAACCTAATGAACGCTCATTGTGCGCCATGTGCATGCTAATTGTTGCACCTCCAGGCATGCACGCGGCTTTCTAGGGTTAATACCAGGTATTCGCGGCCTAAGTTCGGCTGACAGTACCATTTTTCCGACTAATTAATTAATCGTAAAGACCATATGCGGGCGGGAGAGCCAAGCGTATCCCAAAAGTCACAAAATCTGAACAACCAACTTTCGTCTTGCTTGAATTAACTGAAGCAAGGCGGGGCCACCGAATGCCTCACAAATATGGCTCCAAATATTCGGTAATTGTTTCTCCGAGCGGAAACCTTAACAATTAGCAGAGTTTTTAAAGCCGTTGGGTAAAAAGTATCTACAAAAGCACAAAAGTATCTAGCGCACGCCCCCGTTAGCTCGGTTCTCTGAAGACGTAGAGGAGAAAAGAGAAAAACACGGGGGAAAATCAATTGCAGAGCCAAATGCAAATGAGAAACGAAACTGTCGCTCAGCTGGCAGCGTTTTGTGATAATTGAAAAGCCAAAGCGAAATAGGCGACAGAAATTGCACCGAATCTTGGCTATTTTTAAAAGACCGCGAGCGCAGAATAATAATAATGTGCAAAGAGATGGGTTTGTTTTCTTTTCTCCATTACGTCACGCGAATATATGTTTTGCGAAATATAAGTGACACAAAAAGAAAGTGTCCACTGGAAAGCCATTTCACCTGCTTATCAGCCAGGGCAGAAGCTGGCGAAGTCCATAATCGCAAATCTACATGATATAGAGCCGGTGTCGGCGGGTGACTTCATGCGGATGAGAACGCTGATAGTAATCAACAACTATATTTTTACTCTTCTGTCATTCGCACTAAACAAAGCTAAAGCGGCGCTGCTTTGTTATTGTTTTTTATTATTATTTAACAGAGAGCCGGTTTGCTCTTGACTTGATTTAATCATCAGCCGAGGCAGGGGTGTATCTTTGGCGCACTCACATAACACCCGCTAACCCAATGAAGTCTATTGCCGACTGGGGAATGCCCTGGCAGGAACAGCTCGCAATTATATGTATTATAGTGTTTACCCAGCGAATTCCGCCCAGCTAACCGACCTTTCGGTGGGTAGGTGCACTCGCTGCTTGATTCGAAACGAGGTCAGCTGCAGAGCGACCGCAACATCAACGGCCGCATCAGCACGAGCTCGAATGGCTGATAACTTTTATCGCCGTGCCCGTATCCGTATCTGTGTCTCTGTATCTGATAGATACACACTGGAGCCTCGACAATGCAGGGAGCACAATTAAAAGCTGTCCCTGTTGCAGGTCGTTACCCCGCCTCCCACACATCCTGCGCTCCACCCCTATTAGAAGCAGCAGACAGACAGTCGAGCCCCCTTCAGACGGCCTAAAGCGGCGGCTGAGCAAACAGATCTCGCACACAATAGCTTGGAGAACGCCGAACCTGCCAAATCTATTTGCATAATGTCCCCTGCCCGAAACCGGCTGGATCGAGGGCATGACGTGAGCCGGAGCTGCATGTTCGCCTGACATAACCGTAACTGAACAGTCGTCAATGTCCTGGGGTGTGCCGGCAGCACACTTCCTTTAATTGAGCCATTGCCAATGCAGTCGGAGATGGAGAGGCGTGCCTGGAACTTTCCCTAATTGATTTTCTACGGCGAACGCGGCGTATGCGTAATGTGGAGTGAAGTCACTTTTAGCCTCGAGTGTATCTTACCTTTCTGCTCCTGATTGGCCCTCGCAGGTGCGGGCTTCTGTGGCTGCTGCTGCTGCGGTTGTTGCTGTTGCAATTGTTGCTGTGGCGGCGCAGCTTCCTGTTGCAGCTGCTGGTGCGACTGGGCCTGGGATTGGGAATGGGTGTCGCCTAGTGCTGGCACAGCATCCAGCGCCGAGCTTTTCTCCAGGACATCCGCCATGTTGAAAGCCGAGCGAGAGAGTGTGTGTGTGTGTACGTATGCGTGTTTGGTTGCACTCACGGAAAAACGGGATGCGGTACTTTTGTGTGTGTATATCCTGGCGGCCGAGTCCTTTTCACTTTTGCACTGTGCACTGTGGCGGTATTCGGTGTTTCTCGGTTTCGTATCTGTATCGCAGCGTTTGGAATGCCTTTGGATCTTGGCTCTCTATTGCATTTTTAACCCCAGGGGCAGAGCGCAAAAAGAATACACTTTTTCAGCGTTGCGACACGCTCACTCGCACTTCACTCTGACACTCGGCTAATTTATTTGGATATTTGCTGGTGCAAATTTTGAGACGGCCAGGCAGCGCAGCTCCGTCGGCTGTTTTGTATCTTTTGGGTTTGTTATCTCGGTTCCAACTGATTTTCACGGGTTGAAAATTCCCAGCAAACGTTCGCAGGCGGCGCGCGCCGCTGAGCTTTTCCGCAAGCTGCTCAGGCAGGGCTTTTTTAGTACACGGTAAACTTTATGGCTTTTGTTTTAGCTCAAAGGCTTGTGTCCCCACTACCCACTTAAAATACTTGAGCTGCTTGCTTGAACTGCTTGCTTTACACTGGGAAAATAAAGCGTAAATTTCAAAAACCAAAAATAAAAACAATTCTTTACTATTTTCTTCTGTAAAGAGTAAATGTTGGACGAATCGGTTTGAAGTTGAGGGGACTCAAGAGATTTCCTATTACTCATGGACTTGTAATTATTTTTTAATAAAAAATTAAAAAAAAAAGTTCAAATGTTGTGTTACTAAATGGTACTTAATTCATTAAGCTGACTTTAGCTGTTTTGCCACAATATTTTGTTTAATAATTTTTCTCCCTTTAAAAATGTCGTTCTCTGTGGGAATCCCCCTTCCAACTCCCTATCAACGGCATTGTTTATCGATTGTGCAACCCCTTTTCCGGCTGCACAGTTATTTCTTAGTGTTTATTTAAATACATTTTACTTAATCCACTTTCACACATTCACATGTTAAAACCTCGGAAGAAGAATTCTTCTCGTGTGGCTCCGGTGGTAGAATTCGCCTAAGCCGTGTGGCTCCGGTGGTAGAATTCGCCTAAACATTATTTTATTTGCTATTTGGTTTATTTACGTCTCATAAAAAATAATGATTAACTATTCATGTTTTGTTTGTGTGTGTGTCATCATCACCAACAAATCAAAAATTCATAACAAAATAATTGTGCACAAAAAAGTTTAGATTTTTTCAGTTTTTTTTTCGTTATTTTATAATTTAAATTTTTTTATTTTTTAAAAAATAATATTATCTTGAAGTTCAATTTTGCAGTTGTAGTAGCAGATGTAATTTTTAATTAAAATAATATACGAGAGAGAGATAGAGAGAGTTAGCGATGAATATAACATCTATGGAGAATGGTTGTTGCTATAAATTTGTTGTTGGTGTTGTTGTTGTTGCTCTATAGTTGCTGTTGTTGTTGTTTGTAACTATTTATAGCTGATCTGGTCTATCACACATTCTGGCGAGGAATGCTGTGGAAAAGAGAGCAAACAGAGCAAGATTAGCACAGGATCGTAGGCGTTTTTGGGGGACAAGACACGTAGACATCATCCGGACATCGGGTGGCACATGTTGGGAGGCCAGCTCCAACCCTACTTACTGTTTAGTCGAAGACGACTGGATCGCTCATCAAGCGCTGGATGAACTCTGTGTGGAGCGACGACAAACGGCGGGAGAACGCAGGATACAGGAGCACACAGTCACCGGGCAGAGAGACCATTCGAGTGGCATTCAGGATTTGTTGTGTGTTGTTTTGGAGTGATTCGTGGTGTTTGTGACATTCGAGTGTGTGTGCAGTTTCGGTGCAGGGCAGTGACAGTGACACATAAACATAGACACGCAAACAGAGAACACATTCGTTGGGGTTTCAGGCCGAGACGGTACAAAGTGCACAGTGCAGGTGCAGAGTGGTTGGTGGGGAGATTTGGTTTGTGCGCAGACAAAGAGTGACATGTGGAATAGACAAACGGCGTTTACAACATGTGCATTTGCTGAGAAATGCGGCAATCCAGACAGATCGCTCGACTGGCGAATACTTACGGGAGTAGGGGATCATGCCTTCATCATCCTCGGGGTCCATGCAGTCGGCGAACAGAGTCTCCACCTGCTCGTCATCCAAGTTCTCACCTGAAGAGTTTAATATGCTATTATTTTATCTGACTAGCAGGTTCACTAAGGAGTCACTCACCGAGCGACAGCAGGGCGTGTTGCAGCTCAGCCAGCATCATGTGGCCGTTCTCCTCCTTGTCGTAGAGCTTCAAGCACTCAATGAAGTCCTCGTAGCAACCCTGCTCCTTCTCCTTCTTCACCTGTGAGTAGATGGGCAGGAACTCATCCATCTTGATCTTCTTCTCGTTGCGCTTCTTGGTGCCGCCCATCTTCTCGACCAGCGCCAAGGTGGGGTTCAAGTTCAGAGCGCGGAGGGCATCTCCTAGGTCGACGGCATCAATGCCCTCGCCGGGGGAACCCATGACTTCGAAAACGAATTCGACATCTGCACGAAAGACAGTCGGTTAGCATGCATTGATCGTTATATTCGCACGAAAATCTCATCAAATTCTTGTTTATTTTGTTATTGACTTAATCGATTGATTTGTTTAAAAATAATCCGGACCCTACCCCTACTATCCCGCTGACACCCTTTGGAAACGGGGTCGATGTGGTAACCCTGAAATTTCTGGTACGCACATTTTTGGTCATCATGAAAATCTTGACACGACTGCCCATTAGTTACTGTCACTGTCGAGTGTATGTGTGCGTGAGTGGCGATCTGGGAGCGTTGCCAACCCGAAGAGCACACTGCGTATACGTAATCCGACACCCGAAGCGAACGCCTTCGCTATATACATGCACAGCACATATACATATACGTGTATGCACTCTCTTTCTCTGTCGCTCTCGGTGCGTTCGAACGAAAATAAATCTCGAGAAATAACTTGGCCAAAATTAGATCACTGAACGATCAGCGTTCGCGGGTTCGCGCGCTCGGGATCCCGACCATCCCATCGAATATACACAAGTTCTCCACACTGTCATTTTCCCCGCGAGCTTTTCCCCAAGTCCAACTTGACTTCGCACTAGTTTTTCCCGGGGGAAAGAATGGGGTTGTTGGCTTGGCCCGTTGGAAACTTTTCTGGTTCATCCCAACGGTCGGTCAAGTGTCGATCGATCGGGGCGAGGGCAATGAAAATAGATCGGCGGCGATGCATATAGACATTCCGTAATGAAAATTTTCCGCAACAAATGATATATATAGGCGCGAGTATATGTAGGATTCGTGGTGTGTGTATATATATGGGGTATATTCCAAGTGATTACGAAATATGTTCACTGGCTTTTTGTGTACTTTTCGTTGTATCTACATATATATTATGTGTATCTCACACGCGCACATTATGTAATCAAGTTTTTCGAAGGCAGCCACAGAGAGATTTACAGCAAGAAGCGAGTTTTTTTTATCCTTTGCCAATGTTTTCCCGACTTTCCTCGATTTAAACTGGTTGTTATACGTTTTAATTTGTCGTTTAACTTTGATGGATTTCGTTTGCGTTTGAGGTTAAAGATAATCCTGTTCTTTGCGGTTCAACTTACTTTCAACTTCACGCTTTGGAACATCAGCCTGTCAACGGAATCGGAAAAGATTTGAGAGTTTTGCATTATTTTTTTGAATTATTCGATGTACTGCCATATGTCTATATATCACTGGATATTCGAGGAGGAGGAAGTGTAGAGATTCCTTGGCCACTGGGAGCACTCACCATTTTGTCTGTTAGATGCGAAAATCAACTGTATCGCGGATGAGCTCGGTCTCGACTGAACGTTATTCGTCGGCGGCACCACGGCAAGGTAATTCTGAGGTGATAGCCAGCGGCGGATCGCCGAGCGCACACAGATACCCATACAGATACAGAGGCAGCCGAGTGACCGAGCGAGTGATGAAACACTCGCTCTTCTCCTGCGCAAGGCTGCTGCACACACACTCACACCCGTACATCGCTGGGGTGCCTAGTTCGATGCCAAGAATTTACTTTCATCTTGGGAACTTTTTCGCCTTCGAACGCCGTCTCTCTGGCCGAAGCTCTCCCATGGAGCCGTTTGTTGTGCTCTCCTCCTAACAGGGCGGCTATTTTTAAACCATTATTTTTTTTTCGGCAATTCTGTGTGTATTTTCTTTTTATTTCGTGTTTGGTTCGTGAAGGCAAAATAATAATCGCTTGTGGCATTCCCAGCCGGATAGTGTTGAATATCATTCGATGTTACAGATGATTTTGCAGATAATATTTTAGGCAAGATAGTTGGCAGGAGACGCTGCGGGGCTTTATTGTTATGGGGCTGCGCAATAGATTAGTAGTGGGGAGGAGACTCCATGGAGGGACCGAGCGGGGAGATGCCACGACACGCACACCCACACATACCCCCCTTGCTCAGCGGCATTTATGTATATGTGGCGGACCATGTACTGGCCACATACACGTACATATGTATATTTATACACTCATCGACCCTGATCGTTATTTTGGCAAGCCCCGAGTATTTTCAACGATTTGCTCAGGTCTTGCGTGTTATCATTCGGGATCGAAATGTTTTGTCAGCCGGTCGGTGGGTCGGTTTGTCGATCGTGGGTGTTAAATGGCCGATTTTCGCCCCCGATTGTTTGACGGCAACACCGCAACACCTGAAAAGCTGAAAGCCATTTCAATATTTATACATTTTCCAAAAGTTCTTCTATTCCCATGCGTCTTGGGCTTTGGCTTTCCCGCCCGATCCGCTGGCGGATCTCATCTACATAGAAGGCGGCACCACCAACACCACCAGCACCACCACTGCTGGCCCCTCGGGCGCCTCTACAACAATTTAATGCGTGCTATTTATAAAAACTATGACACAGATACACAGCGCGTATTCAGAGCAAAAATGTACAGCAACAAATATTCGTTTGAAATGCTTCGCTTAGGTACATAACACATAACGCCCGCCCGGCCAGGCCTGAAGGGTGAAAAGGTGCTTAAGAGCCGGAAAATCCGCCCCGAGCAATTAAGCCATCCATAGCCCGACAGATTCACAGGCCATTACACTTGCGAGGGTTGGCCTGGACTCGATGCCATCGATGTGTCCTTGTCCTTGACATTCATGTGTACGTGCCTTCAGAGACAGAGGCCCGTCTTTGACCCAGTTTAGAGCCCAGCTGAGTGGCCAACTTCCGGAGAACTGTGCTTCTCTGCCGCTCAGTCCATTGATGGTTCGACTCGGCTTTTTGGCTGCGCAGCCTCCCTGGCTTTGTTATTGTTTACGCCACTGTTCGGGGGACACCTGTTGTTGTCCCAGGAGTAGATGTGCTGTTTGGGAATTTGGGCCGAGTGGGTCCTTAATCGAACAGCTGTTATCAGCCGCCGATAGCTGCATCGAAGAAGCTGCGCAGTTTTGGGTGCGCAAGTCATTGATAAACCGGTCTAGGTGGAATGGGAGGAAATAATATGTATTTATAAATAAGTGTGTATACCCTGATTTTTCCCAACATCAAAACAGGGCCATCCAAAAGATGTGCTTGGGTATTAGGTGGATATTTTTGGGAAGCTAAAATTTCGTATTACGATTAGCAATAATTATAAGATCTTCCCTTTATACATCTATTTGACCTTGAAAATAAACGAGATAAATAGACCATTTTAATTATTGATTTATATTCTATGCAATATTTTATAGAAGGTATGTATGTATGCTATTTCAAATTTTGTGTAGAAATTTAAAGGTAATTTTCTTTATGGATATTCCCATAAAAGTACGTTAAAACAAAGCAAAGTCCAAATGTTTCAAACAAATTATGAAAAGTTTCCATCTTCAATCAATAGATTAAGTGTGGGACAGACACTAACAAATCACTTTTATTTCCCCCTAAAAGACAATACCATTTATTTGCAGACGCACCCCTAAGAGGCACAGACAATGGAATTTAATGGCGAACGAACATAAATATGTCTGGCGGACAGCGTATACGCAATATCCACCCTCAGGCATTTGTTATCATTGATAAGTGTGCTCCACAAACAGGGTGTCCTGATCATGAATCACCCTGCTTCAAGAGTTAATAAGCGCAAAGACACCCATTTCATAAATGCCGAGCGCAGCCCTTTTGGCATGCCAGTGCGTATACTTGATATGGAGTGCGGGTGCTTGTGGTCCTGTGTGGGAGCCTCTCTGTGTGTGTATGTGTGTGTATCCTGTATACGCACTGCTGGCCTGCTGCTGTCGGCATTGGAAACGATGGCGAACGGAGGACGACGGCGGCAGCGAGGATAACAACGACAGGGAGCTCAGAGCTCGTCAGTTAACGACGCTTGTCTCAGTTGCATCCGAACGCTCCAGCAGTAAACGTTATCGAAACTGGCCAAGCGCAAATCAAGGTAAGGTTAGAAGCCATTTTGCAAACTGGGCTGCAGGAAAAAAAAATTGTTAAAATACACAAATTGAAATCAAACAATAAGTGCTAAACGGCAGCGTCAAATAAAGGGTCGGCAATTAGTGAAAGTCCGCGGCCCAGCCCAGCTAGGAGGTGCGATGGCCAGGAGCCATTGCCAGCAGGTTTCGCTGGGTGCGGCCCCAATCAAGCTAAATGTTGGCAGAAACGGCGACGTTTGATTTGAGTGTGTGCTAAGTGCTAAACAATTGCCGCTGCGACGGCGATTAATTGTGCAAAACTCGAAATTTTCCACAATCCCAGTCGGGGTTATATAAGCCAGTGAAAATTTTTGCCCCAAATTAGCATGTATACCAGAAACCCAGTTCTGTATCTATAACCCAGTCGCCTCGTTCTCGGCGCTGCTGCGGAGTCTGCGTTCTGCGCAGCGTCCCAGGACCAGCTGGACCCGTCACTGGGCTGGCGTCGGGGGGGTGGCATCGCCACACACACACAGTCACAAGGATGTGGTGGCACTGACCTAGTCGAGGAAATACCAGAGCAACAGGAGCCGAGGCAGGCCTGCGCACGCAAACACCTGTTGCGGGACATGCTAATGGCTCGGTTTTATGAATGACTCGACATCACAGCTGTTGCACAAGCCCCTTGATTTGTGTCCTTGCCATTACAGCTGGCCACCATGGTGACCAATGCCGCCGCAACGGGGGCAGCTGCAGGAGCAGCAGCAACAAGCACCACCACCGCCACAAACAACAACAACCTGCAGACGAACAACAACAGTCATGCGGCGAACAACAACAACGATGACTTTGACTTTGACCAGGACAACGGACTGCAGGACCTGGGCTTGCCAGTGTCCGTGCAGACTTTCCTTTGGCGCCAAATAGCCCCCTTCATCCGGCCCAAGCTGGGCAAGCTGCACGAGTCTACCTGTCTGGTAAGTGTGGCCCAGGTGGGCAGGCCAAAAAAAAAAAAATTAAGGAAAAAAGCTACAAAGGTCGAACATGAAGCCAAATGGGAACGCTCCCAAGTGAAACTGTGAACTGTGCTGTACATTCGCTATGCGTGTTTGTTGTAAGGATGGACTGTGTAACATGCCGAAACCAAAAAAGAAAGAGAAACTGAATTGGCATTCAGATTGGCACTACCAATTCGACACCAAAGAAAATTGTGTTCAATGTTTTGATTTCTCTCAGCTAAATTCAAGGAAAATGGAAATTCAAAAAGCCATCTTGACATTGATGTTTGATGTTTTTATATTTTTCTGCATTTAATTTACTTTTCTTTAACCAATACTAACACGGTCACCTTCCACGAACTAAGCCACAGACTATTCTATCATATACAGAACCAGGGAATGTCTCTAATTTTATAGAATATTTTTTTTTTATCATGCCCACCCCAAAAAGTATGCTCTACTTTTTGCCGCTTTGAGCCATGTTTTAGAGACATTTCCTGGGGATGTTACATTCAGTATGCTTTCCACACGAAACCAACTAAAACCACAATAACAATAACAAACTGTACAAATAACATTGTAAAATCTTTCGCAATTTGTCTAAATCTGAATGTAGTTTTGTCAACATGCACCGGGACACCATGTAAGTTATAAATGTTTGTGGTAGTTCTAGCCTCTTTCTAACCCCAAATGCTTGTTTACTCAATTTACAACATTGGAGTTATTTCTCCAAATTTTTTGTATATTGAGGAAACTTCCTATATTCCCTTTCGGTTTTATATTGTAGATGTTACGTGTTTCATGTGCCTATGTTTAAGATTTGTTTTGTCTTAAATTATTTATTTTTTCGCTTTACTAGTAGCTTTGACTCTATATATTATTTTATAACTATAACTTTACTATACATTTCTCACCCCTTTTTTGGTGTCCAGGAATCGAAGGAAGCCTGCAAGGTAAGAATCATCATACATATATTTTAGAGAAGATCAAATATCTAATGTTCCCGTTGCAGTCCTTCGAAAAAGTTTTGGTTCAAAACATCCAGTTTGGTCTCTCGCCGCCGCTTACCAAGGCTCTGGGTGCCATTCCCCGATGGCGCCTACTCCAAGGAGCCCTACCACATGTTATGCATGCCTGTGCTGCCCTGCTTCATAACCGCGTCAAGGATATGCAGGCCATTGGACCTGTGGAAACCAAGCTGCTCTACACCATGCAGTGGATCCTACTGTATGCCGCCGAGGAATGCGCCGATGATGAAGGCGGCGAGGATCTGGGACTGGGCGAAACGGCTGAGCCCAAATCCAAGTCCATAGATCAGTACTTGTTTTCGGTGCCAACGATTACGGTGAGTGAACGGAGTGCTCCTCTCATTCTTGACAACTCACACAATTTTCTTTCTCCTCCAGCTCTTTGTGTACCTCTTTGCACCCATCATACATCATCTAAAGGAGTCGGATTTTCAGAACTTTCGTCTGGAGAATGGCATTAAGCTCTGGCAGGGTATGTGGGACAACCGTGCACCGGGAGCGCCTTGCTTTACGGCTTCGGTAAAGCCCAAGGCCCGGAACCTGTTGTGTGCTCCCACTCCAAAGGGATCTACGGATGTGTTTCCCGCCCGTAAGCACTCCCTTAGCGCAGATGCCATGTCCCCCAAAGCGGACTCGCCGCAGAGCGGCATTTCTGATTACGGCAGGCAGGATGAGGAGGTTTGATTTCCGAAATTTCAAGGTCGTTAAAACATTGATTCTTTTGATTAATATCACAGGGTTCCTGGGTATCCTCACCCAAGGAGTTTGCCTTTCCCGAAACCATACCAGAGGAGGCTTCCAGCGTGGAGGATGAACGCGTTGTCATATTTAGACTGCCTTCGGCGCCACAACTAATGGATAACTCTTTCTTTACGGTAAGTTTAAGATTGAATACATTTTGAAGATATACAATGTTTAATTTTTTGCTTTACCAGGCCGATGCCAGTCTGCTCCAGCAACAGCAGTCCCAGAGTCGTCGCGGCAGTCGCCAGTCTATGAACTCCCGCGACAAGGACAAGGTGCCTTCCACCAAGTTCGAGTTCGATCAGCAGGAGCTGATGCGCGGCGCCTCGATGAAGGAGAAGCGTAGTGCCTCCATCGAAAAAGAGACCGACTCGGACAAGTCAGACAGCATCAAGGCGGATGTATCTGCGGCCACCTTCCTCGATGTGGCGGTGCTTCGTTGCCTCTTCATCTCCCACTGGCAGGAGGAGGGAATCTTTTGGAGCCTACAGTACCTGTACAATCGGTAAGTTCTTATGGAATAAGACCAACTTATTCCATGAGATGATTGACACAATTCCTTTTGCAGTCTCAGCGACATTGGGGAAGAGGCAGCCATCACCTTGAACCAGCCTCGCAAGCGATCAAACTCCTTGCCCATACCCCAAATAGAGATATCACTCTACCAAGGACCCGGCAGCAATAGTCGCGACAGTCCAGGGAGCTCTGTGGTCAAGGACTACATCGAGATACCCGAGCCATCGCCCACGGTGACTGCCTGTGTTGTGGGTAAGAGAGATCTCCACAAGATTTTAGGGATGGAATCATTACAACTGAACTTTTTGCAGAGGAACCCCAAAGCGCACCGAGCACCAGTGAAAGGCGTGGCAGCGAGAAGAAGAAACGGGTCAAAATGGCGGATCTGCGGGCCTTCGTGGAGACCAAAATGTTCTCAAAGTCGGAGAAGAATTTGGAAAAAGTAGGGCTAGATACAAACTCTGCCAATGGCAAGACACCAACACCACTGCAACATGCAGTAAGCGGAGTGAAAACTTATGTTTACTGTTCTTAAGTGTTTCTGCTTGGCATCCCGCTTATAATCCCCACATAAATATTCCATAGTCAATGGTGTTTGTTTGGCTTGAGAGTTTAATGTTGATATATGTCCCAGGACATTTTTTTTATTTACTGACTGTAACTATATATTTACTTTGTTTTGCTAGGAGTACCACCGCAGCCTGGACACTGGTGAAAAGAAGCTATCGCGTTCGGCTTCCATGATCAGCCGAGAGCCGGCCAGCAACTTGATCAAGGGAAAATCCATGCCCAGCCTCAGGTAAGCGAAGATCCTCTGACCACCTCGTCTCAACCACCGAATGCATTCGACTGACTCTAAATCAGGCCTCTGACACCAGAACCAAAAACATGAACACTTCCAATCGTCTCTCGACTCATTCTATGCTCTCCAGCTAATGCTATATATTCTATACCTTGTATACGACTTGTACTTTGACTTTCTCCTTTATGAACAACCAGCTGTCTGCTTGATAGCGGGTGAGTTTTGGTCTGCCAAGCAACTAAATACGATTTTTCCCAATCTCCAAGCACACTATATCTATGTCTATATGCTCTTTGCCTGTCTTTAAACGTGCTTCAGTCACAGTTTTCTCCCTCTTTTCCCGTCTACCGCCTCGCCTGTTTACCTTTGGCACCTGTCCTTGCCGTTTCTTTGGCACCTCTCCCCGGCTTTTCCCCTATGTACCCTCAACCAATACCCCCAAGCTTGCTGCACTCCGTTTTGACTAATGCCACACACGCTTTCTCGCACGTCTCCTACAAAATACAAGATTTTACAGATACGTAGAGCCACCCAGGGCGCCGAGGCCATCGCAGGCCACCTGTCCGCGCTCCACGGCGTTTTACCCGCGAAATCCCATCATTACCGTCACAGAGCACACGCCCACACCCTCGCCAGACTACATTAAGCGACAGGTGAGCACCTATATTGGGTCAGAGTTAAGGTCGAGATAACCCTGAGTTTAATTGTGAAAAAAAACCCTCTACATTTCCACAGGGATCCATTGACTCCCAGCTGGATGCCCTAAGTAATGGCGGAAGCATTGCCGGCGGCAATGGAGGAGGCAATGGCAGCACCGGCATGGGCAGCACGACCACCCGTTACCGTGGCCAAATGCTGCGCTCCCACACGGACTCCCATATCGATTATACAGGCGTGGACGAGTCCGAGGCGCCTGGCTCGTCCTTCTACATTACCCGCGATGGCGGCATTGACTACGAGATAATCCTGCTGGCCATCAGCAATGTGTTCAAGCGGGACCCGGCCCAAGTGTGTTCGCTTCGTGTCTTGGAGGCGGGACTAAACATATGCGAGCTCCTGATCGAAATGGGTGTCCTCAAGTTGGGTGAACATGCCCACGAGATATCCATGAGCATAACTAGGCGAGCTCTGCAGGTCCTGGGTTGTCCACACGGCTGCAATGACGGTAATTTACTTTACACTTCATTGAAGATGATCTCTTAGTGTTTCCCTTTTGCCACAGGTGTTCGAGGTCCTCCCGCTGACTTCCTGCGCAACCAGTGCCAGAAGATCCTGTCCCGAATGCTGCGACAGGCCGGCCAGCGGACCAAGCGATACATGCAGGAGATGGTCCGAACGTCACCGCTGCCAGAGCTCATCGACTACTTTCACGCCTTCCTGGCCTTCTGCGTGGACCCCAGCTCGCTGCTGTCGCCCCTGAGTAAGTGTTGACCCACCGAGATCCGATGGCAAACCGCAAATGCTGGGCTTGGATGCCAACCCAAAGTAGGCGCACCGAATCCCCATTTAACGCTCGTTCCAACCAGTCTTTTGAGTTCCATTGGCCGTTTTGTGTTGGGCTTCCTATCTGGCTTTTGATTTGCTCATCCGTCATCCTTCATTTGGATCCCGGATCCCGTCTCCCGCCTACAGTATCCCGCATCCCCCATGCTGTTTGTGGTTCTATTCTTGCATGCCGAGACCTTTGCTAATGCTTTTGAGTTGTCCCTCCCGATTCTTTACTGTCACCACCAATACGTTGTATATATGTGTATGTATAAAATGATGCAATAGCTCATAAACGTCAGAGTGGATATAAAAATGCTAACACCGATCTTGGCGGCGTACCAGGTCAGGGCGGCTATTCGACCAATTTTAGCGGCGGCATGAGTGGCGGCGCCGAGGCTCAAGTGGTTGGGGCAGTCTTCAAGCCCCTGGTCAGTCGCTTTGTGGAGGCCAGCAAGGACCTGAAGGGCCCCGAGAACATAGCCCTTTACGGCGACATCCGGCAGCTGGTTACCTATGTCAAGGGCGCCCATGGCGGACCCTTCCGTCTGGTGGCCCTCAGCGGCATCCTGGCTGTGACCCCAAGGCCCCACAAGAAGGGACCGACCTCGCAGACCACGCGAGTAATCAGGTGAGTGTCCGTGGTATATCCTATTACCAAGCTTCAGGATCTTAAGTTTTATATCCATTTTGCAGACACATTCCCCAGGCCAATGTCCCGCAGAGTTCGCAGAACGACGACAATCGCTCCCAGCGTCGCCTGCTGCTAAAGAAGCGCAGCACCTCGTCCGCCTGCGCCGTGGTGAGTCACGACTTTGAATCATCCACGTGAGACTTATCCCCTTTCCTGCTTTCATTTCTTGCCTTGCAGAGCCTGCTGGAGACGGAGGCGTGCGAGGAGCACTACAAGACCAGCCAATCACCGCTGAGCAACTTCCGGAGGCGCACAACCGGCGTAAGGCCCACGCTGACACCGCGACATAGCGAGAGAGCCCTGCTCTCCGATTCCACGTCCAGCTCCGAACGCAATTCGCTGGGACGGCTCAGCGGCTTGGTGCGCTGGTTCCGCGGCACGCCCAAGGAGGCATCGTCCATTGACCTGGAGATCGGGTCCCTCAACCCGGAGATCTCCTCCACATTCATGCGGCACGCCTCGCTAAAGATCCAGCGCGGCCGGTCGAGCGATGGCATTGGGCGGTCCATTCAGCGTGCCAAGCGACGCGTCGAGCGGCGGCTGAACCGTTTCGGTGGCATTGTGAAGGGCAAAAAGAAGGTTGGTGGCATCGAGGAAACGGCCGACTTCAGCCGGCGCAGCTCCTCGGACATGTGCGACGGGCCACGCGAATCGGAGGTTGTCATCCTCAAGGAACGGAAGCTGGTGCCCACAGAGCCGGTGCGGGTGGGCATGCTACGGCTCTCCTTCCTGCTGGAGACCTGTGCCCCTGGCTCCTTTCCGGATCCCCAACTGGTGGCTGCCGTTCTGGATCTGGTCAGTAAAAGCCAGCAGCTTTTTATTTGCGCCTTAGATCCTTCTCAGATTAATCTAACTTGTTAAACTCTTTATGTCTGCAGCCCCAAGCTCCTCTTGTGGCCCGGGCCACTTTTCTGCTGGAGTGCGCCCACTTCGTTCATTTGTGCAACAAGGGTCAGTGGCCCGCCTGGATGAAGCAGAACGTGGGCAGCTACCGGACCTCCGGGGCCAACATCAACATTAACCAGATGAAGCATCAGGTGAGCCAAACGAGCGCCAGACGCACTCACATCCTGCAACGAGCTGCCGGGAAGATGTTCCACCAGTGGGCGGAAATGGTGGGTGCCCGTCTGGAGGAGATCCTGTTCACCGAACGTCTGCAGTACGAGGCGGTAAATGCTAGCCTCACCGATCCCGAGAAGCAGCGCGAGCTGCTGCAGCAGGACGAGGAGGAGGATTTCCTAGACGAGACATCGGTCAATCCGCATGGCAACGATTGCCCGCACTCCCTGAAGCTGATTGCCTGCGTCCTGCTCTTTGAGATCACCGCATTCTTGAGGGACACGTACCTGATGCTTCCCAAGACATCCAAGCTAATCCACCGGGACAAGCCGGCGCCGTGGGAGAAGGTTTACCGCGAAGCCAATCGTCGTTGGTCAATGGCCCTGAGTTCTATGGGTCATTCACAGACCTCGGCTCAGAGTCTGCAGTCGATAGCAGCGGGCAACGATGTTGCTGGTCAGTCAGAGCGAAAGATATCCTTTGTCCTCCACGAACCGGATAATGAGTCCGAGAACAGCAGCAACACAACGCTGACAAAGGAGGGAGGCGAAGAGGGTGGGCTTTACTATTAAAAGTTTCTGTCTTAAAGACTTTATTAAATGTTTTATTCCATAGCTCGTCGTCCCACAGCCTCTGCTGTTCGTCCATTCTTGTTAAGACGCGGCACTGCCACCACCACAGGCGGATCTTTCAAGCGTCGCTCTCTGAAGCTTCGTCGCAATACCAAGGACAGCAAGGATATAGAAACAGATTGTGAGTGCAATCAAGTATACAACTTCCTGGACATAATAATTGTTCCTATAAATCCATCCAGTTAACATGCAATCGCGACGAAAGGTTTCGTCTCTATCAGATCGCAGCGACACCTCGGAGCAGGGCATGATTAGTGGAGGCGAGGAGTCACCGGGAATCCTTAGTGACGATCAGCAACCAGAATCGCCCACTGACTCAAACGAAAACGATGACACGGCCAAGAATATGCCCTGGCTGAAGGCAGTCATCGACATGATGTCCAGCTACAACTACTACTGCACCCACAAAGGATACTGCCATCCTTTCTGCTATAAGCGTCACATGCGCTCCTGCACCCGGCTAGTTAAGGCCACACGGAAGGTGAGATCCATCTATTAAATTAAATTAATTTTTAACACTTCGCCTCAAAAGGTCTATGGCGAGGAATTTGGGTTTACCTTCGATGCCGATCATCCCAATGTCGAGCCAACGGTAATCAGCTCCAGCAAACCCCACACTTCAAGATCCCGCTCCACGCGGAAAGTATCAGAGCAGAGCTCCACCCAGACTTCTCCTTCCAAGCGCAAGGATAGTTTGTCACGCAAGGATCGGTAAGTAAACTAAATTACACACTCCAGAAACAGAGACTAATTTTACATAACCAGCATAAGTGATGACCCTGACCTGGAAATGGCTGAGAAACTGGCCAAAGCCTTCCGCCAGGAGAAGGAAAAGAAGCTGCAGGAGGAGCCACCAATTCTCAAGTTTATTCGCATCCATATTCGCAATCTGTTTCACTTTCCGCTGGCCACCTTGCTCAAGGGCGCCGTTGTGCTTACCGAGGAGATGGTCATCGAGGCTATGCCAGCTGCATGGGAGCTCCTGCTGGAGACGAACCATGATACGGCCACTTCCAGCGCCGCTGTCTTTTTGATGGGCTCCGTAAAGGCCCAAAACTTTGCCTTCGATATCATGCAGAGGGCCCTAAAGCACAAGGATCCGGACATAAGGATTGGGGCCATCCAGCGGTATTTGGTGCTCTGGAAGTGCCGCTTCCACGTCTGGCCGCGAATGGAGGAGAACGCCCACGACGTTACGTTTAAGGTGCCGCCAGGCGGCATTGAATTCACTCTACCCTCACCCAAGATTGGTATCGAAAGTCTTCCTGTGGTGGATCCGCCGTGGATGCCAGTTCAACAAACGAAGGACATGGACGTCACACTGAACCAAGATAGACATGTGAGTGAGAAGGCTGCAGAGACTCTGGGTTATGTACTGGTCAGGAGGTGATCTTGGGCGACCAACCAATAACTGTTTCCATTTTCTAGCGATCCCTGGTCACCGCCACCAAGAGCCGTAAGATGCAACAGACGGAGGCCATCCGGAACGCTCTGCGCCAGCAGCGGGACAAGCAGAGGGCGGAGCGGCACAGCTTCCTTATTACCATGATACCCATTAGCCAGCAGGCCTCTCACGAGCCAGGTATGGAGAAGCTGGAGGACCACGAGATCGAAGAGGATCTGGACGGAACCCGCATGTCCTCGCACCTGCACCACTCCCACTCGCTGTTCCCCTCCGTGCTCTGCTCGTCCGTGATGCAGATCGTTGGCTGCCTGGATGACGCCGCCATCGGTTCAGACGGCAATGCGGTGTACGAGATCGCCTACCAGGTGATCTGGGTGTGTCTGGTCGAGGAGTCCGCTCTGTTCCTGCGCTACGTGTTCGAGCGTTTGACTCGCGACCGACAGGATCAAATGTTTAAGCTGCTGCGCCACCTCATCCGATTCGTGCCCCGTCTGCCGCAGCAGGCGGCCTTTGCTCTCTACAACTCGATCATTGGGTACATCATGTTCTATGTGAGATCTTCCAATGAGCTCAAACAAGAGGTAATCCTTGGAAGTTTCCTTGTTGCGTCAGTTTACGAATACCCTTCTTTCAGCTTGTGGGGTCTGCCCTTTCGGTTCTGTGGATGGTGGTGCACTCAGTGCACGGCATCATGTTCAAGGACTTGAAACAGATCCTTCGAAAGGAGCAGTGCGATGCCTCCATCCTGCTAACGGCCAATGTGCCTGCAGCCAAGAAGATCGTGGTGCACGGACCGGCTGATGACGACTACAACATACCCTCGCAATTTCCCGTGCAGGAGGACACACTCTTCTGTCAGCTGCTGAAGGAGGCCCTGGATTACTATCCCATAGATGAGAAGAACACCAGTCACTACTGCCTGGTGGACTACAAGAGCAGTAAGTGGAAGATGTGTTCTATTAAGCCAAGTTATTCACATGGTTTTCCATTTAGGTAAAATTCTCAATCCGAATTGGTACATTCGCGATCTGTACTTCTTCAAACGCTCCCAGTACCCGGAGGTGCGTCTCATGCTGATGCGTCCGGAAGAGTCCTTCCTGGCCCTGCAGAAGCAGGAGCTAACCAAGAAATTTGTCGAGATTGGAAAAGTTCATCTGACCTGGGCGATCCTCAAGAACGTCGACATGGTAGTGCAGCGGGTGGTGTTTCTGCACGAAGAGCTGATGAAGCTGCCCTCGTTTCCGCGCAAGGCTCTCGAAGTGGATCTGGATCTGCACCATGGCGGCGAGTACGGAAAGGTGCTGCTCGGGTTGGACGTCCTGCACAAGTTCATGTGGGTGCGACTGATCGCCCGCATGTTCGAGGCCATGGCTGGTAATTTCGCCTACTCCGCAGACATCCAACTCTTCCTGAACGTCCTTTCCGGCGCCTCCATTCTGCACGCCGAAGATTCCTGCATCATGCGCTATGTGATGGCCACCTTCATCAACGCCGCCTTCAACTTTAAGAACATCTTCTCCACGAACGGTTACTTTATGATTATGCCCACGCTGCTACAGGTCTACTCCCTGCATCAGACCAACAAGCTGATCACCACCACCATTGAGTACGCGGTCAAGCAGTTCTATCTGCTCAACCGGAAGCCCTTCATCCTGCAGATGTTCGGCTCCGTTTCCGCCATTCTGGACACCGACGAAGACGGCACCTATGGAGAGGCCCACAAGGTGCAGTCCAGCTGTCTCTTCAATCTCCTGCTAAGTTTGGAGGACCCCTCGCCGGATCCGCTAAACATTGCGGAATTGGTCAAGGAGCCAAAGCCTCTCAAGGCCATTGACTTTTGCTATCACGACGAGGACGACGACGTGACCGTGCTGGACTGCATCACACTCTGCGTAATGGTGGTTTCCTACTCCGCGGAGAGCACCCGAGGATACCAGATGCTGGTGAGTTGCATCTTATCACCAATTATTACAAATTGATTATTAATACTACACTTTCCAATTTCAGATTATTTTGGAGGCCATTCTGCCGTGCTACTTGCAGCAGATCCAATCGCCCAGCTACATTCCGCTGCAGGGAAAGTCCGAGCGCGACATTATCCTCCAGCTCGCAGTGGCAATTCGCACCATGGTGCACAACTGCGAGGGCCTGGCCAAGAGCTACAACGGACCGTATCGGAACAGTCCAGAGCACAAGGGCTCCTCGCAGCGCAACTGCAGTCGCGGCCCGCCCTGTTCGCCTGGCCTGGACTTTGAGGAGGAGTCACACCCCAAGTACTTGACGGATGCACGCACTAAGAACATGATGGACTCTGCCGAGGATTCGGAAATGATTCGCACTGAGTACCGGAGACCCCGAGACGTACTGCTCTCCGTGGTGGCGGATTTCCTCACAAAATCCACGGCTCGACTGGCGGAGCTGGCCAAGAAGATGCCCAGTGACACCAAGCCAACCGAGGTCCTGGACGCTAAATGCCACATCCGCCTGGCGGATATTGCGCACTCGCTTCTGAAGGTGTCGCCTTACGACCCTGAGTCCATGGCGTGCCGGGGTTTGCAGCGCTATATGCAGGCTGTTCTGCCACGGGCAGAGTGGTCTAACGACACTCTTCGCAACGCCTTGGTCACCATTCTGCGGCGCATCGACAAGGTGTTCCTTAAGATTTCAAAAAAACCCTCAATTCGGCGCAACACCGACTGGGAGGCGGCCGCCGGCCTACTGAAGGGCATCCACGAGACAATAATCCGGCACTCATACGTCCTCCACTGGCAGCAAATGAAGGTCCTTATCAGCACTGTGCAAAATCTGATCGTCAATGAGCCCGGATCCGGCATTCCCGAGGGTGTCTCCAGCGCAGGGGCGGCCCTCATGTCTCAGAATCCACCGGCCTTTTTCTGCTCAGCCGTGGTGCGCCTGGTGGCCCTCCAAGTGGTCAGCCCCGTGGACTGCTTCTCCCTCGTCCACATTTGCGGGGGCAGCGCAGAGTTTGCCACGCAGGAAAAGGCCGAAGGCTTTCTAATGCATCTGATCATGCCGCTGTGTCTGAAGGTCTGCTCGGGACGCGGTGTATCCGACGTGGGTGAGCTCAAAATGACGGACGTGACCTTTTTGCTGACCGCCGTTCTCAACGCAATGAGCCCGCCGGCAGGTCGCACCGGTCAGGCTGTGTCGCAGATTAACCGTGTCACCGGGGACCTCCGTGCCGGGTCCCTCACTTTCACGGGCAGTCGGGACGCCAAGCGTCCGGCTCGCATCTCCGGTTCCCTCTATCAGGCCGCCTTTCTGGCCCTACGCATCGTTTGCATCTGCTTCGAGAATCGGCTGTCCAACGAGTGGCCACGCATCGTCCGGGTGATGAGGGATTTGGGCAGGCGGAATGAAGCTGCTCCAGACTTGTGGAGCTTCATGGAGTTTGTGGTCACCCACCGAACGCCCCTCTATATTGTCCTGCTGCCCTTCATTTTGCACAAGGTAATAAGCGATGTCTAAATTGTATGACAGGAAGTAACCATCTTCTCAAGGGGTGTCACTTGGTGATCCCAAGGAACTGAAAAAGATTCTTTATGTGACTTAATTTATACTCTTTATTATTTGTCTTTAAACCGGGGAAATCTGAGCATCGCTAACCCATAACTCTTTCCAGATCTCGCAGCCACCCATTGGAGACCACGAACGGCACATGCAGTTCATCATCAGGGAGAGACTTCGCGGAACGCCGCCTCAGGGCGGAATCAAGTCGAAGGGAGCCCTGCTGCTGGAGTTGGCCCGGGAGCTGCGCGACCTGCGCGACGAGCTGGAGGAGAAGCGATACGGTAAGACCGGGTTAAGGGAATCATTACCCATTCTTGCATCCACACACACGCACTCATTTCTCAGTCTCCACAGATCGCGAGAGCTCCGAGCAGAAGAAGAGCGACACCCCGGCGGCAACCAGTGCGGCAGACGCTCACAAGTCGCAGCAAAGACCTTCACTCATATCTATATTCACAGGGACCACCACCGGCCAGGCCACCCACTCGCACGTCTCCGCCGTGCCGATCGACTCGCGCAGCGGATCGGGGGGCATCTGCACACCCAGCGACACGCTGTCGCAGCAGACGCTGCACCCGCCGCGGGAGTCGTTGTCGAGCAGCTCCACGGGCCGCGATCCGCACACGACGACCAGCGAGAGCCAGAGCGGCGAGGCGGACGCAGGCTCGGCGCCGACGCTGGTGGGGCCCACGCCTAGCGGATCGGGTCACGGCTCCGGCTCCGGTTGCGGCACCGCCTCTGCCGTGCCCTCGCACCTCTCGCACTCGCAGTCGCTCCAGCAGGCTCCCTTCAAGGCGCAGCCCCCGAAACTGCGCTTCGTCTCGTCCGTGGAGTTCCGGCACTCCTCCGGAGAGACCTCAACCACGCCGCTATCGCCGGAAAGTCCGGCCGAGGACAGCTCCGGGGATCACACCCGCTCACGTCTACAGCGCTCGAAGGCAGCCAGCCGGAAGACCTTCCGGCTAAAGCGCAGCCGTCTAACGCCCATGGAACCACCCAGCATTGTAAGCAGCTCCTAAAATCCTTCTTTCCCAGTAAATTACAGATCAACTCACTATTTAAAGGTCACCTCGCACTCCCAGGAGGAGCAGCCACAGCCGCCCCAGCCCAAAACACTCGGCGAGATATCCTGGGACTCCGTTTCGCAGACATCCTCGACGTCGGGCTATCGGGATAACAACAGCTTGCAGACGGGCCTGCTCTCACCGGACGGATCCCTGGGAGGACTGACCCTGGGCCGGTCGCCCTCGCAGCACTCGCTCCTCATGGTGTTCGAGGGCCAGGACGAGGACACGCTCATTTAACAATCACAGAACGGCGACCGCGCCTACGAACTCTAGAGGCAAGAACTCTAGAAAGATTGACTAGTTAACAGGAATTTGGAATGACGGTAGTAATTGGATGTTACGTTTTATAGACAAGTAGTTGTTTTCCATTGTGTGCCCATTTTGTATTCGATAGGTAAAACTAGAAACTAATAAACGAACTTGGTAGCCGTTCTAAATTGGGCAGGTTTTTATCTGTTACGAATGAACCCTATTTTAAACCGATTGCAAGATGAATCAGATAGTTTTAGGTTTAGATAAAACTTAATTTTGATCTTAAATTGTTCCAGAAATACAGAAGAAAGGTGCTTTGCAATTCAAAAGAGCGCCAAGCTTTATAATATGGCCAGGCATTATTCTAAAGAATAAGATAAGAGGCTAGCGTTCCAAGCTTTCGTTGATAGCAATCTACCCCACTGGGTTATACTCTTCCAGGGTACTATAATTTTAGTCAGAGGTTTGGAAGGCAAGGTAAACCGCTTGTCCGCCTTTAACTATAACATATATTTTTAAAAGAGACTTCCCCGTTAATTCTGATCAAGAATATATATAATTTATAAGGTCGGAAAAGACTCCTTCACTGCGTTTCATACTTTTGACTAAAATTATAATACCCTTGTAGGGTATAATAATATAAATTTTTTTTCAAATTTATATCTATTTAAAAATATTTTTTTAGATAAGTAAAAAGAAATCCCTTATTCATTTTATTGCTGCAATCGGAAAATTTACATAAAAAAGAAGGTTTCAAATTCAATCGATTCTATAGGAAGGGTATACAAACCTTGGTTTCGTAAAGTTAGTTTCGTTTCGTGTTTATGTTGATTGTTGATTGTTCAGTGTTGCCATAGATCAGTGATTGCCCTTTGGACTTACACTATGAATCTTTGGATCCAAAGGTGTTTGCTGCATACTAACGGTGACAGTTGAATTTTGTTTCTCCCTGCAAAACGGTTTGCTGTGCGCTTAAGTCTACAGTCGAAATTTGTCTCTTACTGCGAACGGTCGATACAACTGAAGCTCCAAGATGATCAATTCAGGAAAGTTAGCCGGTCGAACGCTTTTCATCACAGGCGCCTCTCGGGGAATAGGCAAGGAGATTGCCCTGAAAGCGGCCAGAGATGGAGCCAACATCGTTGTCGCAGCCAAGACGGCCGAGCCACATCCCAAGCTGCCTGGAACTATTTTCTCAGCGGCGGAGGAGATAGAGAAGGCCGGCGGAAAGGCGTTTCCCTGCGTAGTGGACGTGCGGGACGAGAATCAAGTGCGCAGTGCCGTTGAGGCCGCAGTGGCCAAGTTTGGCGGCATCGATATTGTGGTGAACAACGCCAGTGCCATCTCCTTGACCAACACGCCCGACACGGACATGAAGCGCTACGATTTGATGCACAACATCAATACACGCGGCACTTTCCTGGTGTCCAAAGTGTGCCTGCCGTATCTCCAAAAGAGCAACCACGCACATATCCTGAACCTCTCGCCGCCGCTGAGTATGCTGCCCAAGTGGTTCGGCCCCAATGTGGCCTACACCATGGCCAAGTACGGCATGTCCATGTGCGTGCTGGGCATGGCTGAGGAGTTCCGGGACCAGGGAATCGCCGTCAACGCCCTCTGGCCTCGCACAGCCATCCACACGGCTGCCATCGAGATGCTGACCGGTCCCGACTCTGCCAAGTGGTCTCGCAAGCCTGAGATCATGGCAGATGCCGCCTACGCCATTCTGAGCAGGGATCCCAAGGAGGCCACTGGTCAGTTCTTTATAGACGACGAGGTGCTGGAATCGGTGGGTGTAACGGATCTCACCGACTACGCCTGCTTCCGGGAGAATGCCGACGCTCTGATGGTTGACTTTTTTGTGGAGGAGAAGGGAGCTCCTGCTGGCGGTGCCGCTGTTGCATCCAATGCCAAAGCTAGTGTCTCAGGCGGCGATGGGATTCCTCAGCTGTTCCAGAAGATCGAAGCTCTACTCTCTCCCGAAATCGTATCGAAGACGCAGGCCGTGTACCAGTTCAACGTCAGCGGCGCCGAGCAAGGAACTTGGTTCCTGGACCTGAAAAACGGTTCCGGATCCTGCGGTGCTGGAGCACCGCCCACAGCTGCAGATGCCACCATGGACATGAACTCGGAGCACTTCTTGGACATGTTTTCCGGAAAGCTCAAGGCCACTCCTGCCTACATGTCCGGAAAACTGAAGATCAGCGGAGACTTCCAGAAGTCCCTCAGGCTGGAGAAGGTGATGAAGGCGCTGCAATCCAAGCTGTAGATGCCTATGCTTTGTAGATGCCTCTTTTGTGTTATGTATTTCCTAATAAAACGTTATTCTGTAGCCATTAGATTTAAAACAAAACATAAATATTGGGCGGCTATTAGTGTGACCAGATCTTGCTTCTTCAAAATACCTTTCGCTCTTCTGGTATTTGTTCTGCTTCTCTGCCCGGTCACATTATTGTTGATAGGTAAAATTTTGGGTAAATAATTTTTGCAATTAGTAAAAGTATGTGTGCAGCTGGACGTGAATAAATAACTAGTTCTGACAAAGAAGCCAGCATAGACCGTCGCCATGGCCTCCGGTTCCTACAAGGTACGTCCACATTCAGAAAATGCAAACCGGAAGTTGACTAACCATTGTTCGTTGCAACCGCCAGGACAAGACCCTCAAGCTGATCAAGTGCTTCTGCGGCTGCAGCGACATGACCGTTACTGAGGTGCGAAGGATCTACACGCTGTCGAACAGCGTCCACGAGACCCTGCTGGATGCGGATGCCAGTCGGCTGCTGCACCGCTTCATGGAGAGTCGACGTTCCGGCGACAAGAACGAGGCGGAGCAGTACCTGGAGATCTATGAGAAGTGCGCCGAGCTGTTGCAGGAGACCCAGCGTGCCTTTACCCAGGACGAGGTGGACGAACTCGTCGATCTGGGGCTACCCTACGATCTGGAGCAGGATCTGAGCAGACGCATGCTGAGCGGCCAGCAAACTGACATCAATCTCGGTCTTTATCGCATTCAGGGCAGATGTCGCACCGAGATCGAGGGCAGCGGGGACTTTCGAGATTTCAGAGACTCTATCGCCGACAAGCTGCGTCGGGTGCCGAAATGATACAGCCCGGTGCATCTGGTGCTTTTTGTGTTTATTCTACAACGCATACCAAAGTCAAGTTGGTACTACAACCTCGCTGCCCTCACCGTTCCCAGTGCCTTTGTGGCCTCCACAATCTTCACCCAGCTCCTGGGGCCGCAGATCAATAGTCATCGTACAACGAACAAATGGAAACCGTCCGCCCTCATCTCACTGGCTTCCCAAACGTGCTAGAGCCCATGCTCACGGAACAATCGCATTCTACTAAACCCTCAGACACGTAACAGACAACTTTTTACTTAAAACATATAGCTTTTTTATATTATATGCTTTATAACTTTGTTATGCACTAGATGTAGAAAAATATTGACAGTTCAGAAATTAAATAAAATTACCTCAAAATGTCTTTTAAAGGGTTTTCGTATTCAGGCGAACTACTTTTTTAGTTATTTATATTTAAACGACTGGCAAAATTTCATAAAAATTGACGCAGTGTCAGAAAATATAATGCTTAAGAAACCTAAAGTGGTTATTATATCCAAATTTTACGCAGAATTTATTTACACTATTAATTTATACAATTATCATCGCTTCTCTGCTATTTTCATTTTATGTTTAAACTCTTTTATTGTTATTCAATTCGAGGTCATCGTTATTTTGATCAATAGTTAACACACGTGATAAAAGAAAATCAAAGTTCATCATACAATATTAATAAAATCGATAGTCTTTAAAAATATATATTATTACTTTTTGAGGCAACTTTGTTAATTTATTCAACATCTAATCGATAAACTTAATAAATTTAACTTAGATTTGCTCTTCTGAAGATAATTTTTTTTTTAATGTACATGCGTTTAAAAAGCCCGCCTTCACAGCTAATCGGAGGCAGTGCTGCCAACTCGAAATCTTCTATCTATTTATCTCGCTCCCACGCCGTCTTACTCTCTCAAGATCTTGACCAAGAGAGTTCCCTAACCAGTGGCGTAGCAAGTTTGTTTTGAGAGGGGGTTTTGAATATCATTGTTCGAAATATTAAATGAACTGTAAAAGCAGTATAAAATTATAAAAATGTAATTTTATTTTAGTTTTGTTTTTATTTTTTTATTTATTTATTTTTATTATTAAATTCTTAAATTTTTTTTTCTTTCTCCCTAGAATCGACAACGGTGTGACAAACCCCTCCTCTTTACAATAGATTGCTACGGGTCTGCAATAAACCTGCTCTATCCTCTCCCTGTTTTTCACATCCTAAGAGTTGATATATTTATTTACTAATTAATTACTAATTTCCTTAAAAAAAATATAACATTTATGAAAGAAAATGCAGGAATTTAAATAAATTTAAATGATGCATTCAACTCTCCTACCGTAACTACTGACAAAAATGTTTTCCATTTAATATTTTTTTTATTACATCTTAAATTAATAAATATTAAATACAAATTAAGAATATTTAATTATATAATTATCTAATTCCAAATTAGTTATTAGTTTTCTTCTGCTATCAACCCTAAACTTTTTAGACTTTTCTAGCTATTTTCCAAAAGCTTTTAAAGCTTTTATGCGATCCGAAGAGTTGGCGGCACTGTTGTTTGCACTTTGGACTTTCTCTTGGAATCTTCGGACCAAGGTCTATAAACTCAGAACTCCAAGATGATCAACTCGGGAAAGTTAGCTGGACGGACGCTCTTCATCACGGGCGCCTCACGGGGCATAGGCAAGGAGATTGCCCTGAAGGCGGCCAGAGATGGAGCCAACATCGTTGTGGCAGCCAAGACGGCCGAGCCGCATCCCAAGCTGCCCGGCACCATTTTCTCAGCGGCGGAGGAGATAGAGAAGGCCGGTGGTAAGGCGTTTCCCTGCGTAGTGGACGTGCGGGACGAGAAGCAGGTGCGCACTGCCGTCCAGGAGGCGGTGGCCAAGTTCGGAGGCATAGACATTGTGGTGAACAACGCCAGTGCCATCTCCCTAACCAATACGCCCAACACGGACATGAAGCGCTACGATTTGATGCACAACATCAACACACGCGGCACCTTCCTGGTCTCCAAGGAGTGCCTGCCTTACCTGCAGAAGAGCAACCACGCCCACATTCTGAACATCTCGCCGCCGTTGAGCATGTTGCCCAAGTGGTTCGGTCCTCATGTGGCCTACACCATGGCCAAGTACGGCATGTCCATGTGCGTGCTGGGCATGGCTGAGGAGTTCCGGGACCAGGGAATCGCCGTCAACGCCCTCTGGCCTCGCACAGCCATCCTTACGGCCGCCATCGAGATGCTCACCGGCTCCGAGTCGGCCAAGTGGTCTCGCAAGCCTGAGATCATGGCAGATGCCGCCTACGCCATTCTGAGCAGGGAGCCCAAGCAGGCCACGGGTCAGTTCTTCGTGGACGACGAGGTGCTGGAATCCGTGGGAATCACGGACCTTACTGACTATGCCTGTGTCCGGGAAAATGCCGACGCACTGATGGTTGATTTCTTTGTAGAGGAAAAGGGAGCTCCTACCGGAGGTGCAGCTTCTGCTGGAGCTGCTGCTGCCGCTCCCGCTTCAGGCGATGGAAAGATACCCCAGCTGTTCCAGAAAATCGAATCTCTGCTCTCGCCTGAGATCGTCTCCAAGACGCAGGCCGTCTTCCAGTTCAACATCAGCGGCGCCGAGCAGGGAACCTGGTTCCTGGACCTCAAGAACGGCTCTGGCTCGTGCGGCTCCGGCACCCCATCCGCCGCCCCCGATGCAACGCTGTCCATGAACTCTGAAAATTTCTTTAATATGTTTTCGGGAAAGCTAAAGGCAGCTCCAGCTTATATGTCTGGAAAACTGAAGATCAGCGGTGATTTCCAGAAGGCCCTCAAGCTGGAAAAACTGATGAAGGCATTGAAGTCCAAGCTGTAGGTTAACAACTTTCACAGTCCCAGTTTTATGTTAGATACACAGAGCCCAGCAGGAATCCATATTGTTCGAAAGATTACGAGATTTATATGTTCCAAGCCTCGATATGGGATCCTAAGTTACGTAAAGTTGGAATTTTGAACTGAAGAATTCGAAAATTTTCTAATATTTATGCTAAGAATGGAACTAGAATAAAGATTTTTTCCAAGACATTGTAAACGATTGTTATTTCTATTTGAAGGAAGAATGGAAGCTACTTCTTGCCAAAAAATTGAAATTATTTTACACATTTTAAGCAATTCTTAAAGTTTCTGGAAATCAGAACTACATTGAAGCATAGTTATGTTTCAGAGCTCTATTCTAAAAGCAATAAGAATATCCAAAGCTTTTTATCTACAATACTCATAAGGACAACTACAATCTTTATATACTTTGTCCAAGGACTTAGGACATTGCAAATTCAAAATGATTTAAAAAGAGGAATGAGCATGTTTACTTATAATTTACATATTGGTTTTTATATTGTAAGCTTTGTGTAATTGTGAAGCACTACAGCTAAAGATATTTCCTGGAATTTCCGGAAATACGCCACCTAATACTAATTTAATCCTTAGTACTGCTTAGGTCTTCTTCCACGAGTAATACATTTCCATGGGCTTGTTCACCTGAAAAGAACAGAGTTAAAATCCAGACATAATTTGGCCAGAGTGATGGCTCACCTTCCAGAATTTGTCGTTGACCTGATGCAGCGTCTGATTGCCGTTGAGGATGACCAGTTGCTGGGGCTGGGGAGCGACGTAGATGCAAAAGTTGAGCAGACGGCAGGCCTCCGGCAGATCGGCGCCCAAGTCGAGGGTCAAGCGCATGGCAAGATACTTGCTGAGATGGTCGACTGTGGCATTGGCCGTGGTTTTGATGTAGCGCACACAGTTCTCCTTGAGGGCCCGTATCAGCTGGTTATCCGCAGACATCTCAGTGGGATGCGGCTTGAAAACCAACTCGATTTCGTCATTGATGCCCAGCTCACCGTTGCCCTCGCCCTCGGTGTCTATATTGGAGTCGCCCTCCGTGCGGCAGTCCATCTGAGAGTCTGATTCCGACTCCTCGGACCGCTCCGAGGTCAGCACCGACATGGCGCGCTTCGGCTTAGTGCTGCTCGAATTGGAGGGCACCGGCGAGGGTGTGCTCCGCATCGAGGGCGGGTTGGAGGCATCGTCCACCTGCATCCGAGTGGCGGAGGTACTGGCTCCTGAGGTGACCGACGACGAGGGCGCCGCATTCGAGGTGGTTGTGTTCGCCGATGCCGCCGAAGTGCCAGAGTGTCCCGGATCCCGGTTGTCGCGGTCGATGCTGTTGGTGTTGCTGTTGCTGTCGTTGGAGGCTGTATCGTGGACATGTAATTGATTAGAGGCATTGCGACCCACAGCGGACCCACCACCACCACCACCAGCGCCGCCAGCAGTAGCACCTGCGCCGGCAGCAGTTCCCCCACCAGCAGCTCCACCAGTAGCTCCAGCATTACCATTACCATTGCCGCCGCCTCCGCCGCCCTTGGTGCGGAATCTCTGGGGTCTGTTCTGGGACTGCAGCTTGATGCCCTCGTTGATGGAGTTGACCAGCGCCTGCTGAGACTGTGTCTGGTTGAACTTGGCCATCACCTTCTCCTGGATGGCCTCGTACTCCTCGCGACTGGGGTAGATCTTCGAGATGAGCAGGTCGAAATTTGGGTCAGCACGCAGCGAGCGCTTGGACACCAGTTTCTTGCGGCACGTTGGGCACTCCTTGTTGCCCGACCTCAGCGCTGTCACGATGCAGTCCGAGCAGAAGCGGTGCAGGCACTCCTTCGTCGTCATCGTCTTCTTTAGCATGTCCAGGCAGATAGGACACATCAATTCGCTGTGGAGGCTCCGCGGTGAAACCGCGATCTCGGTGCTGTCCGTGATTATCTCCTGCGGCTTGCGCTGGAGCTCGTACAGCGACAGCTCCCAAGTCTTGTTCGGCGCCGGGTCTAGCGACGTCATTTTCACACCAATTCTGAGGCTTTTCAATACAGTATTTAGCGTTTTCCCGAAAATTTTCCGAAATTTTCGCTGAATTTTCCGATTTTTTGTTTGCAGAGTGACCGTAGTTGTCAGTGTTGTCGTATGCAAAAAACTAAAAAATCTCAACGTTTTTTTTTTCGGAGGATGGTCACTCTAAGTCTTCCGGCTGAGTGGCAACCTTACGACTAAGCAAATTCAAAAACAAATTTTTAACGGTTTACAGTTAAAAAATAAATAACTTTATGTTGTGAAAATTAATTGTAATTGTATCTGAATAAATAATATGTCATTTTACTTGCAATTATAATTGCATTCTTTACATTTTTAAACAGATTTTTGATTTCTATTAATTTTATATTATAATTTTCGTTTATTTTCTTGTAAATATGTTTTTAGTTTGGGGTTGTCTATTATTCATTTTATTTTATTGGATTGCAACATATTCAAATTTGTTTTTTTGGCTGAGACACGTACGATTTAAGGTTTTTGAGATGATAGTTTTTTAATTTTCCACAGAAACCCATTACTAGAAACTATTTTTAAATAAATAAGCCAACGTGTCACGTTCCGTAACTAAAAACAAGTATTGTTCAATCACATAACAAATTAGGATAAACTAAGCAAATAGGCAAATATATTTTTTGGCTCTCCATTTTCTAAGATAACCTACGGTGTTAAATTCCAACGCCAATCCAGTGGACCCCTGTGCTGGCCACCGATCTGCCAGATCCTTTTCGGTTGACACTCCGTCAACACCTCAATTTCAACGAGTTTCTCGCGGCTGTCAATCAAGGTGGCTGGAAAGCATTTACCGGATCCCGCCAAATATGGCTTAAATGCAGAACCGCCGTTACCTAAATTGCGCCTCAAAGAAATTCTGCAGTTGGTGACGCCGTGTGGGGCCGGCAGCTACAGCGGCGGTGGCAAGGGAATGGGAATGTGAATGCTGCCGCCCGACTCTTAATTGAATTAGAGGCTCGCCGCCACATGGGACACTTAATATCCGACTGGGGGCTCCTCCAGTCTGCATGCGATGACAATGACCCTTGAGCATTCCATTAGTTTCGGTTAGGAAGGAGCGGGGCATATCGGATCGGATCGCGTGCTCCGAGATTCCCAAGCCAAAGGTTTTCCCCGACGCGACGTCCCACTCACTCACCTGTCACATTTACTGCGCATTGCACATGCGCGGCGGGAGTGACGTGGCATAAACCTTAGGCAAATGTGCCGCCGTCGCAGTCACCGGCAATGGAACAAGCGGTGAAATTGCTGGACATGCCTGGCATGGCCAACACAAACTGCTAGGAAAACAGAGGGGAGCAAAAAATATATATATATACATTTGTCATATCCCACGGGGCCAAGCCATGCGCAGGCGTTGCCACTTTCGAATTCCTCTCCTCATTAGATCGCCCAGCTAATTATCGTGGCCGGGAGGCGTGCCCGATTTTCGCCCGCTCCGAATTGCTGCCTCATGGCGGCGGTAATTGCAGCATCTATGCGATCCCGGCAATTTTCAACTTATCGAGGTTATCCACCGCACCTGACTGGCAGCCAGCAGCAACCACTTGAACCTCTGCTCCCACACGACGACGCCGACAGATCGCGGCTGTCCTCGATTCTTTGCGGCAACCACAGCCTCGGTACGCGCAGGTTCACGACCCACATGGACGTCGGTAACTTTCTTGAATGATCCCAGCGTTTTCCATCGGCCAACGTTTATTGACATTAATCATTTGCGGCCGCTTGCGGAAATTTGCAAGTACCAGCCCAGGTACTTCTGGGAAATGATTGCCTCTCAGCACACTGTTTTTTTTTTTTTATGGCAGCTTTATGAACGGTGGTTTACGGCCAAGGTGCCAGAGGATGCTAGTACGCGACCGACTGCCAAACAAGAACCAAAGTTTCTCTATGTTATTCCCAATTCTTTTCCCTGCAGTTCGATTTTCCTATCATCTTTTTTTTTGGGGAATTTTCCCTTGGACACACAAAGCATTGAATCATTCGGCGCTAGACCGGAAGGAAGCCGACGCCATTTTCCTGTTGCTTTTGTTGTCGTCCGCTGTCTGCGCCATTTTGTTGTAGTTGTAATTGTAGTTCATGTCTGCGAATTTGTAGCCATTGTTCGCAGTTAAAGTGAAAGTTTTGCTCCGCTTTAGAACGAGCGAGCCATGCCATCGAGAAATTGCGAATACCTAATTGGGCATAACGAGCTTAACTCCGAGGTGGGCGTTGACTTTGATGTGTGTGCTACACGGAAGCAAAAGTATATTAACGTTTAATCGGAGATAATTCTGTTATAATGGGAATTTTATTTAAAATACTGATAATGATAAGGATTGACAGCTTTTAATTGGATTAGAAGATGCAAAAGATTCATAATTAATTGAGTAATTTTAATAATTTCAGACCCTTGAATTCAAACTTTTTACATATTTATATTTTTCATATATAAAAATGTCTAAAATATACAACTTTTCTGCAAGCGTAGCAGTTAAAGTGAGCTGGCCCAAAATTGCTGTATGAGTAAACCGCAACATGCCACTTAGCCCCGAACTCCAAATCAATGATGGCTTTGGGTATATGGGCTTGGGAATGGGAGTTACGAATTCCAGGCCAGATTCAGACAGTTAGAATGTCACCCACACACACACACACACACACACTCCTCACCTGGTATTGCAATCTGTTAACTTGTCCAACAAAGACTGCCACTGGCACTGCCAATGCCACTCATAGCCAACAATTGACAATAACAAGCGGGCGGCGTCCGCCCAATTTTCAACCCAAACCGTTGGCTTGCTCACTCTTTGAGCACCACTTGGTTGCAGCAGCAACATCGGGGGCAGGAGCAACATCATCGATAACAACCACTGCAAAAGCAGCCACACAATTGGAGTTCTTCAATTGCCCACTGTCCAAATATTGCCAGCATTGTTTGCTCGTTATTATGGCCGTGGCTCCTGATGGGAACTTGACCTGGGACTTGGGCTGGGACCAGGCTCTTTTGTCTTTCTGGCCACACATACCATAAATAAATCTCAATTAAAATTCAACCCCTTTTCGAGGGGCGTTTCCCATGGCCAGGATGGTAATCAATCAGCGGACAAGGCTACTCCCAGGCTTATCCCGGCTTTTTGGCCCCCTGCTCCTGTGTCCCAGTCCACTGTCTACTGTCACAGATGTCTCCGCATTCACACCCCGACACGGCTCGGCTCGGCTTTTCGGCTGCCACTCTTTATTCTTTTCTATGCCACGCCATGCGGCACTTGCATGTTTATTATTTGGCTTGGCTCTTAGAAGCCGGTCCCGATCTGGAGACTGGACACAGTCAAACCTGGTGTGGAGTGGTTGAGGTGGCAGGGGAGCTGGGGCACAGAGCTGGCCAAGTCGCGACGACGTCACAGTCGTTAAGCGTGACTTTTGTTATTGTTGTTTGTTGCTTTTTGCATACCGTCGGAGCGGGGTGGAGGTGGTCACAGTTGGGGAAGGGCAGCGGAAGCGGGCACAGGAATGGGAACGTAAACAAAAAGCCGAACTCTAAACTCGAAGTCGAAGCCACTCCACGAACAACCAAAGGCGGAGAAGAAAGAAGTCAGAATTATTCTGTACATATCGCACTGTGAATACCCTTAGAATATTTAATCCTTGTCAAATAAAAAAATAAGATTGAAGGGATATAGTATGATAGATGGAAGGAATATAGTATGATAGAAAAATAGTCAATAGTTTTAATTGTATCATGTCGGGTATTCATTTAATACGAACTTCCCTCAATAATTGGAAATTCTCATTACTCTAAGTAAAGAACATAATCTTATGTTTATAGTACAATATTTTATGTATATGCAATATTTTAAGTAAGCTCTATTAAATTTATTTTTCCTATAACAATATAGGTAATTAAAATTTTCAACTATAATTAGAAAAATATTAAAACCTTAGATAGCTTATTCAAAAAACTTTCCCAAATGGGTATTTAATTCCCAGAACCCGAGTAAGTGTAATCGGAGGGTTAGTCATGGCCTAGTGCAGCACCTAGCTGAAATACCCAGAGTCCAGCTGCGGTGGCTTCGTTCTGTGGCATAAACGGCAACGACGACCGGCCCCGTTCATTCAGTCTTTGGCGAGATTTTATCGAGTGCGGACGTGTCTGCGGCTGACTGGCGAACTTGAATACGAATCCGAATCCGAAATCGAGCACCAAGCCCCGAATTCCGAGACCAAGTACGCTCGATACTCACGCGAATCTCTAGATGCATTTGGTATCCAACGTTTGGCGCCACAAACGAAAGACTTTCGAGACTCTGATTCGATTCACTTGTATTTCGCTAAAAGTGACAACTACAAAAGCATAAAACAATATGAGTGCCACCTGGATGGGAGCCCGGACCATGGCCTGGCTGCTTGGGTAAGTTGCAAGGACGCGTCGACTGAGGGTTCGGTCCTCTAGATGCGCTTTAGGGTCCAGCGACTGCGCTCCTTCTCCAACTTCTCCGTCTGCGTGGCCATCTCCACGCTGACCTTCGCCATCTTCTGGTTCTTGTCCACCTTCTCCTCCTCCTTCTCGGTCTGCGTGCTCTGGCTGCTGTGGAGGGAGAGGAAAAAAGGAGACAAAGGTAAGGCGTTGAGTAGGGGTCGGGAACACTGAGTCACCAACTCGATGGGCAAAAGGATTCGGATGCAGGCCGCAGTGCTTGCAATTTATAGTGATGTTCCAACAGTGGTCAGTAGAAGAGTTGGCTGGAGGCTAAATCAGCCAGGTGACAAATTATTGTTATAGTTTAGTTAACTTCAAAAAGAAGTCAAAAAGCTATAATTTATATTGTAAAATTGTCTAAATTAAGTTAATCCTTCAGCGTGTATTTGAAATATTTTTACTTAATTGGGGAATAGTTTATCCTACTTATTAACCCCTAAAAATGGCAACAACCTTTTATTTATCGTAGAAAATCCTTACCTCTTGAGAGTCGTCGTTGATAAAAGACCTCTTATGCCAGCCAAGGTTATGAATTTCTCCGAAGACAATTTGTCACCGATCCGGTCGACTGGCAGAGGTGTTAGCGGCTCTAGGGCTCCCTCCCTGGGCAGGTCCTGCTTCTTTGTAGTTTTTTTTATTTCAAGTCCCCTGACATCAAGCACCTGGCTGACGGCACTAATCACTTCGTTGCTGATGATATTGCTCATGTTCGTCATGGACTCGAGCATCAGTGCCTGCAGATAGGGCCTGATCAGCTCATCTTCGACCTCGTCGGTCTGAGTAGTCTCGTGCTTGTCATCTATGTTTCTCTGAACACCCACGTTGTTGCAGCAGACTTCGGTCTGGGAGCCCAGGGTGGCGTTTCGTATCCTGGTCTGGGTGGCCCAGCTTTTGGCGGAAATCTTCGCCTGGGTGGTGCGACTCTGCAGGACCTGCTCCTCCGTCTGGCTGCCGGAAGACTGAATCTCGCAACTAGTGGTCTGCTGATCCTTCGAAAAGGTGGGAAAAAGGTCCGAAGTATCCAGCTGGATGCTGCTGCACTCCCGACTTGACGTTTGGCTGGCAGTGGTCACCAGAACAACACTCTCGGTGTTCACGGCAATGGAGCTTTGAAGCAGCGAGATCGGACTGCTGGATTTCACGCTAGCATTCGCAGTCTTCAGCTTCTGCTGTTGACGACGCTGGCGCTTCTTCGGCCGGCTGGCCGGCGTGGAGCCAACTCGGGCCTTCTTTATATGGCGGATGATCAGCTCACCCTTCCGCAGCTCGTAGCGAACCATGAAACTTGGATTAAGAGCAGTCACTGGGGTGATGGGAAGAGATGAGCGAACCTTGACCCCGCACTCACCTGGCTTTCCCCACCTGAAATCGCTTGCTCATGCGGATCACGCTGTCCGAAGCGGCGGACGTGGAGATCAACAGCAGGGCCTTCAGATCGATGCGCATGATGGTGTATATTGTTCCTATGTTTTCGTTCGAGTTTGTTTCTATTCACAATTCGTATATAACAAACAATTTGGAAAAAGAAGGATCTGTAAGACTACTTTCTCAGAGTGTGATTTACTAACTGACTGGAGGCGCACTACCTACTTGCTTCATTTGCCGAATTTTCACACGAAACCCTTTTCCTAAATTTGTCTTAAAACCAGCAACACGCAACCTCATGTCGCTGCGATGTTGTTTGCCTGTTGCTGTGTCTGTGTTTGGTGTATAGCTGCGGGCTCCTTTGTGCTGGCAATTCATTAATAATTCAAAAATGCCGCATATGTTCAGGGCCCAGGACGAGGACAACAACAGCGGCAGCAGTGGCGGCGGCGGCGGCTACAGAACAAAAAAAAAAAGGCATTCACTTATTCTGCAATTTATCAATACAAAGTTAACATGAAAATGGCCACAAAAACCACAGCACAGACAGAGAGGACACCAAGTAGGAGTAGGAGCAGCAGCAGCAGGAGCAGGACAGGCCCAGCCTGGGGTGTTCGTTTGACTGGAATTGGGTGGATGGGGTACGATGGCAGCAGCATGTGGTGGCCACTGCTAAGTACGTGTTGATTTGGGCGCTTTCGATTGGGCTGAGGCTCTCATGGATTTGCAATCCAGCGAATCGATTGGCCCCATACCATCCATCAGCTCCCGATGGAGCTGGCCTCTAATCCCGCCCGGAGGCACAGTTTCCTTGCTGTCTTGCACTCGCAATTTATGCAGCTTCTTGGCAGACTTCTAAGGCCTGGCTATGTGCAGTTTCTTGCATGCATTATCTCCGTGGAGCTCCGTGGGGCCTAAGACTTGGCTCGGGATGCCGGGCACGTCGCTTGGCCTTCGGTTACATTTATTGCATAAAACCCAGCCAATTTCCATTATAATTTGTAACGAGCGGAGACCGCCAAGGGGCCGGAGTCGGACTCGTACTCGTATGCTTAGTCGGCCAATAGCATTTGGCTTGACAAAGTCGCCGATAGGGACCTCAAGACCTGCTGAAAGTCCACGAATATAATCACATAATGTGGCATTTAAAGCCGCCTTTGTGGGTATCGGTATCGCTATGGGTGATGGCATTGCATCTTTAGCTGCTTCTAATGGGAGTCGATGCCTCGCGGAGTTCCCACCTCCGGAGCCTCGCTTTTCACTGGTGTACACTGGTGTAATTGTACGTGCCTATTTGCATTTTTATCTGCTTCGTTTTCCGCTTTCTTCCTTATTATTACTTGACACTCCAGCGCAGAAGAAGAACAGCAACATCAGCAACAACAGCAAGTAGTGGTTTTCAGTTTCAGGCGGGGAAGGGGGCGATACATCTATTTAAAGTTGAGCACCAGGGTTGGTTACCCCTTCGACCCAGCAAACAAACAGCTACAACGATTCGAAATTAAGACCTTGCCGGCCGACTCACCTGTCAAAGTGACTGCCGCCGCCAGAACGACCCTGAACCCTGGCCGAAGGGTCCAATCAAACCGCAGGCCGGCAGGCTAATCCCTTACAGAATTTCGCACATAAAATGAGCTATGCCAGCGCATAAAACGATGGTCATAAAAGCTGTTTCATTCTACTCTATTCCCGCAGGTTCTGCTGCCTTTTGTGCCTAGCTGCCATGGCTTCAGGAGCGGGATCGGCGGCGGGAGCATCGCCAACTCTGGCCAAGGATGTGGCACATGTGCACAAGATCAAGAGGCAGGAGAGGCGCCACGGAACGAGTCCTCTGACGGCCATCAAGAAGCCCAAGCAGCTGGTCAGAAGTGCTCACGGCCTGAACAAGAAGCTGCTCAGGTGAGTAACCACACAGGGAGAAAAGTCCACCCAACTGTAAGGCTTAACCTTCGCTTTAAGTCCTACCATCTAGTATAAACACTATAATTATATATTAACTTCTCAAAGAACCACTTCATAGAACATTAAAGTAACAAGGTAATAAAGCAAATGCAAGCCTCATCAAGCCATCATTTCAAGAACCAACTCTTGATATTATGACTTTATTTTTTCCACTGCAAAGGGGAGGGGAGCCAGCAAGTGCACGCCTCTTATTTTGGGCTTAATTAAAGCAGCATGTCCAGTACGGCTCATCCCCCTTGCCAGCCATAAATTAAATAATGAAATATTCATGGAAAACGCTTACCACGTTGGCCAGACAGTCCACTCGGCACCTTCACTCCCTCTCCCTGCCCTGCCCCGACTAACCTCTATTACACACTGGCCTTACACCAAACCAATCCGAACCTCTTGGTCGTTGCAGCCAGATGGGCTTCATGAAGGTGAAGGCGCCCAACAGCCACAACAGGAAGCGCCTGGCGGTTGAGTCACGCCGCCACGCCTCGCGCGATGATTCACACATGTTCATCATCAAATTGCCGCCAAATATGCACTACTATGCAGGACCCGCTGCGAAGAATGCGCTGACGGATCACCCGGCCAGCGACAAGTCGGGTGATGTTGCTGGTGCTGGTGGCAACGCACCCAACAAGATGGCAGCAGCAGCAACATCGGCCACACGAGCAACATCAACCACATCGGTCGCTGAGGCGTCGGCGTTGAAAGCTAACGGGAAAAAGGTAAACGGGATTCCATTAGGTTACACCATAGACACACACACACACCCGATTCTCTCCCCTTAGCCAGAACTGGCTCTGCTCTCGGCTCAGCTCGGCTCGGCTCACCTCCAGGCTGTCAGCAATCCAGCCAGGTCCAAACCTAGCCGAGACCGCGATAAACATCGCCGCGCATGCGCATAAAACAAATTGCAAAACGGAGAACAGAGAACAGAGCCGAGCAGCAGAAGTGGATTACCCATTTGGGCCGATGGCAGAGGCAGACATGGGAGAAGACCCAGACCAAGACCAAGACCAAGACCGTTGCCTGAGCCAGAGCTTTTGGACATGCGACTGGGCCTGCAGTTGCAGCTATTTTTATGCGTGTGCGTGTATCCCAATGCCCAAAATGGGTATCTTGGGCATGGCCCGCTGTCCTATAAATAACTAACAGATAGGGTCAGCCAGGCACGGGGTATCGCTTAGTCCATAGAGCTCCCATTCCATGTCAACTGCAGCATTTCAAGTCGCAAATACATGGCCTTTGTTGCTTCTGCAGAATTAATGCAGCAAGTGTCAATGTCAGGGAATGTCGGACAGGCAGCCAGGAGACAGAGACAGTAACAGTGGCACTGGCACGAAAATTATTACGCTCTCACGACTCCTAGTGGAGTGATGCCGCCTGAACCAGAAATTAATATGCAGGCCATTAACCAAGTCCGAGCCTCAATTAAAAATGCAATTTGTTTGAGCCACTCCGCCGGCTAGTGTGCCTGATTTAGACGCCAGAGCACGGCTGATTTATGGGACGCCAGTCCAGATCCACTGCCAGTGCCAGTGCCGGTCTAGTCTCCAGTTCCCCGTCCAAGAGCCATTCCCCGGGTAATGTTGTCTAATCAGTGCGCTTTCAATTGCAGGTCTCGTTTCCCTTCAGCTCCAACGGTCGGCCGGGCCGCATCTACCACTGGAACCTGCCGGTCCTGAAGCAGGCTCTGGCTAAGAAGCCGCACTTTGCCCACGTCTCCGCAGCGGATCGCAACAGGCTGCTGGACATCGAGAGCGTGCCCACCTGGCGCCAGCCCTGGGAGAACGAGACCGCTGAAAAAGGTTTCAGTGCGGGCAGCGGCAAGTCCAAGTACCGCAAATCCCTGAAGCCCAAGTCACCCACATACTACGCTCCCTCGCAGGCGGTCAGTAAGCAGAGTTTCCACAAGTACTTTGCGGGGAACGGCAAGCCAAAGGGCTTCTACGTCATCAAGGAGCATCAGAGCAAGCCGCAGTTCTACCAGAACATCATCTCGTAATTCGGTTAGGTCGCCATTCGAAATACCTTCAAAAGACTGCGCGGTGCAGGGAGTTCTATTTCTACAACATTTTTCAGGGGCCATCTGTCCCCTCTTCCGTCCAGTTTCGGCTTGGAACAATTTCCGAGCTATAACCGACCACTTGTAAGGACTGTGAAACAGTTTTGGGGTCAAGTCTATTTTTATAAAACGGCAATGAATACAATAACAGAGTTGGGCTGGTTCAAGGAGGATCATATCGACACGGAAAATAAGTAAAGGTTAATCGGATTAAATTAATAACAAAAATATCTTTGATAAAATATTTTTATATAAAGTTAAAATTTTAACCCAAATGACAATAGCTAAAATCAATCTTTAAAGATTTCACATTAATAATCTTAAAATACACTTCAATCAAGACATATCCTGTGAATCGAATCCGCTGGCAATGAGAATAATCCCTCTGGAAGACCAGCCCAAACTGCATTTTAGCTAAGCATCTACGGCATGGCAATAAATTATGGCAAATATCGAGCTAGGTTTAAGTGCATGAACGATTTTGTTTTGATAAATAAATATTGACTGATTTTTAAATGCAATCCTCCTCAGACAAAGGCAAAACTGTCTGCCTCGAGTTTATTGACTTGAACAAAGGTAAATCGCTATCAGAGCAAGGTGAGTGGCTGGCAATTTTCGGCTGCTGTCACGACAGAGACACAAGCCCAGGCAGCGGAACAACAGTCTGGGAAAGCCGGGCTAATTACATAAGCAGCTTTAAGCCTGGCTGTGTTCTGAGACTGAGCCCTATGGGAGACTGGTGTGGCAGCAGCGGAAGCGGGGCGAGCGTGCGCATGCGCAGTTTCTCATTCGGCAGATAAAGCGGCAGACAGATATGCGGATACAGATACAGATACATATTTATAAGCCAGCGCCAGGTCGCAATAAGTAACAGCGATAATGATAATAACGACGACAAAAAGTCGGGTAGACAGACGGCACACCTCCAAAAGTCGGCATAAATAATGTTGTTCTTCCCTTGCCATTTTCTTGATTTTTTTTGTTTTTGGCGACTTCGGGCGCATAATTGTTTTTGCGGCTTATGCCTTCCTGCTCCAACACGGGCTCCGCTGACTCACGTGCGTTGAACTTTTCACCCGTATCCGTGGCCGGCAGAGTCTGTGGCATATTGAGTGCGCGGCTTAAGTAGATTTAATGACTTGTAGTTTCGCAGGCAGCGAGCCAACGAATGAGACATAAATCACTTTTATGACAAATGCCATCACTGGGACTACGGCTGGATTGGAGGATAAAGGATGGAGGACGGAGGACGGAGGATGGGCATGGGTGGCGTGGCTCATTGATTTTTTATGGCCGTCATCAGGTGAAATGGCTGCGCGAAGCTCCTATGCAGATAACCGTCCTGGCAATCAAATGTCGGATAACTAGTGCCACAGTCACAGAGCTATCGCAGTCGCAGTCCCAGTCGGATCCAGAGCCAGAAGTTGCTACTTGTTAACGCCATTTCCGCTTGTCATATCAAAATAATTATCTAAAAGTGTTGCCCAGTCCTAAGAACCCAAACGAACCGATCTCGAAACAAGACCACGGTATACGACGACTCGACTCTCTCGTTTGCGTGAGGGGCGGTTCGGCGGTCTGACTGCAACACCACTGGACAACTTGATCTGCAGAACGAGTTCCTCACGCAATCTTGATTGCAATTATGTAATTCCGAAATTCTTACTAATTAAACTAACATTTTACCTAATCGTATTTGCATTGCGCTCCAGAAACAAGCAGGAATTGCCTACGATTCTCCTCCTGTTGTGCAGAGCAAGAAATTGGTAAGTTGTGATTGATTGGAAGGGGATACAAATATATAAATATATTATATGTATAATTGCTTGACAATAAAATATATACAAATTAATATATGTAGATGTACGAGGTGCTCCGACACGGGGATATTAGTTAATAATTATGAAAATAAATGTTTAAAAATTAAATTAACAGCAGCAACAATTATTTGTATTATTATTCCTAAAATTATTAATTATTAAACCATTCATAAATAAAAACAAGAAAGAAAGCTAACTTTGGCCAGCCAAAGTTTGTATACCCTTGCAGGTAACAATTAAAATTTATCATAACTAAGCCAAAAATGCATTAAATTCGATTCGGAAAGCAGTTTTGTGTTAGTTTTTATTAATTTAAAAAAACTGCATACCAAATTTAAAATTTTAATAAATTAAAATTTTTGGCCATTTTTGCTAATTTTAATGATGAAACCCCTTATCAAATTTCGCAAAAATGGCAAAAAAATCTATTTCTTCCGGACATGTCTAGAAAGATTCCCGTTAATGCTGATCGAGAATATTTGTGGTTTATGGGGTCGGAAATAATTCCTTGACTTAGAAAAATATTATTTTGTATTATAAAATCTGATTTTTTATATTAAAAAACTTTTTGATTTTTTTTTAAATTAAAAATATCATAACTCGGCCAAAAGAGCATTAATTTTAAATCGGAAAACTGTTCTGTGCAAAATTTTCTACAGTTAATAAATCTGCATACTTAATTTAAAAATGTTGAAAATTCAATTTTTTATCAAAATCAAAAATTTTAATGATGTAACCCCTTATAAAATTTTGGAAAAATGGCAAAAAAAATCGATTTCTTCCTGACATATCTAGAATGATTCCCCTGTTGATGCTGATCAAGAATATATATACTTTATAGAGTCGGAAACGTCTCCTTCACTGCGTTGCAAACTTCTGACTGAAATTATAATACCCTGCAAGGGTATAAAAATAATTAATAAATTATATAGGTATAAAAGAATAATTGCATTCGAAATTGTTCATAAGTGAGCCGACAATAGATTAATTTTAATTCGAAAAAAGTTTTTTTATAGTGATAATAGATCTGCATTTATTTATTTTTTAAATACAATTGTTTTCCCTTCGGACTAGCTTCGTTTCAAGCTTCTGACTGAAATAAAAATATCCTCAAAGGGGTATTAAAATTGAAATTTGTATTCATTATTTAATTTTATAATTTTTAAGAAAATTAAAACCTAAAAATATCATAACTTAGCCAAAAATGTAATTTAAATAAAGAAAGCTGATATGTGTTAGTTGTTAATAGATTAATAAATCTGCATCCAACATTTAAAAATTTAGAAAATCAACATTTTTGCAGATTTTTTAAATGTTAATGATGTAACCCCTTACAAAATTTTGAAAAAATTACAACAAAAATTCTTCCGGGCTTTAAAGACGTGGCTGTTGATGTGGATCAAGAATATATCGACGCATTTTCGCGAAAGTATCGTATGTCGCTTTTTTTCGAAATTGAGATTTTAATGCAAAATTGTTGGGCACCTAATGTCTCACTACCCTGTGAAATATTATAACTGAAAACCCTATAGTTCCGATAAAAATTAAGTTTCAATTTTGTCTTTTCTATAGAGCTTCCTAAGAGATTAAAGCACAAAAAAGCTTCTCCTGTAAAATTGGATTTTTCGACATACGATACTTTCGCGAAAATGCGTCGATATATAGTTTATATGATCGGAAATGACCCTTCATTATAAATAAAATAATAATATCCTGCAAGTGTGTTTAAAATAAAATAAATTAAATGTTAATAAGATAAAATAATTATTTAAGTGGCATCTTAAGCCTAAAAATACGATGTTTTTAAAAGGCTAAAATAACGTTAATTTTCCTTGGCTAAACAGCTTGTTTACAATTTAAAACCGGCATATCTAGCGGAAAAAAGCTAAATTGACAACCCTACAAGCACAGCCCTCTTAAAATATAAACAATTTGAACTTTTAAATAACATACAAAAATATAAAATAACCTGGAGAGCGACTCGAGCCTTACCTTGTTGAAATTTCTGTCATGGCGGCAAGCTCGAGACTCAGAGATCTCATCCTTAACACCCGCGTGCCACTGGTCCTCGATCACTTTCCGCTGGAATGGGAGTGCTTCAACGGCTCCCTGCACGACTGGTGCGAGCGATTCGACCAGGAGAGTCCCAATCCGCCGGCCTTTGAACTGATGGCCCTGGCGGACACGAAGACGCCGCAGTGGGAGCGAAAGCGAAGAAGCAGCCCGCTCCACATGCAGCAGTTCCTGCACGAGTACGGCGTTCTGGAGGAGGAACAGACCCATTGGGCGGCGTACCAGTACAAGAGGGCCCACGAGATTCCCGCCAGTTGCGTAAAGGGCATCGACTTCTCCAGCTTCGGCTTCCCGGAGCACGGCAACGATTTCTCCCTGTGGCTGGGATCGGAGCAGGCCAACACTCCCTGCCACTACGACACCTTCGGCGTGAACATAGTGGTGCAAGTGCACGGCTGCAAGTCCTGGCTGCTCTTTCCGCCCGAGACGCCGCTGCAGAGCACCCGGGTTCCCTACGAGGAGTCCAGTGTCTACTGCCTGGAGAACTTCTACGCTCCCGATCCAGAGAGGATGCAGGAGCTTGAGGCCTTGAGCATGCAGGCCTACCACTGCAACTTGCAGGCGGGCGATGTGCTCATCGTTCCGCGCCACTGGTGGCACTACGTGGAAGCAAAGTCCACATCGTTGAGCGTCAACTACTGGGTGCCGCTCAAGGACGACATGGACTTGGCTCTGGACGAGTTTCTGGTCAAGCACATCGTGGAGAGCTTCGTAAAGGGTGAGAGCGATCAGCTAAAGCAGTACCTGTTGAATCCCAACCAGCTGGAGGACGTCTCTGCCACGCCCAGCGAGCTCTATGCCCAGTTCGAGCGGGCTGTGCAGAGTATGGAGAGCGGGCAGAGCGGCCGGAAGCTCTGGGAAACCGATTACCTTACCCAGGCGGACTTTAGCCGGCTGCTCAACACTATCCACTACACTGTGCGTCCCCTCCAGGTAATGTCCTCTGATGAGTTTAAGCTGCTCCTGAAAGAAAATGCCAAAAGGCACCGCGCGGATGCTGCACCGTCCGAGCCCAGTCCCATGAGCTCCACATGGGAGCTTTTGGTGAGCAGCATGTGTGCTCCCCGGGTGATTGCCGGAATGAAGCGCGAGTTCTTCCGCAGACTGCGACAGGGTACAAGTTCATAGGATACACAAAGCAAGTCTAGGAAAGAACGTTTACTGTGATACGGGATAATATTGTTGAATATGTGAGATTAAAATCCATTATGCCATCAACATGTATGATACAATTTTCAAACAGAACCAGAACAAGGAGCATTAAATGCCGAATACCATCCTTCTCGCCTTCCCACCTTCTCCAGATTCTGATCTAAGGCTCTGCCATGCGATAGACCCTTGGGCGGATAAGCTGAGCACATGCATCTGGGCCATTTACCAGCCTGGTGGCTTCTGGTTGGGATAGCCTCCCTGCTGGTTGGCATAGCTGCCAGGGTACGTGCCGTAGTGGCCTGGCGGTGGCCCCTGCGGGAATCCTTGGTACTGATAGTCTGAAAGACGAGTTTTGTGTTATGGGAAACCCACTTTTTTTTCTCGCAAATTACTCACTTCCAGGATAGGGCAATGTGGCGTAAGGATTAAAGCTCTGCGGCATTGGAGCGGGGACATAGGCTGGATATGGCATACCCGGCTGGGCTCCATACGGCACTGGCATGCCGTGAACCTGAGCCGGATACGGAACATTGGCCGCAGCTGTGGCTGGCGGTACACTGGGTGCGCCACCTGCTGGAATATCTAAAGGCACACAAAATACGATTATAATTTTAGTAATTGTAGTTAACGTGAGACAACCCACCGCTGCCACTGCCCGAGGTGGAGGCGTAGTGCGAAGGCAGGGCCGGTGTGGCCGGACAGGCTTGGCGACTCGACTCCGTGGTCAGATCCTTAAGCAGCTCCTCCTTCTCCGTCTTGCGGGCGAACACAAAGTCGCTGATTTTGTTCTGGAATACGACCAGCAGCTGGGTGAGGTCGTTGTAGAACTTGGTGCCCTCCTGCAAATTGCCGGAGAGCTCTATGTAGCTGTCGTAAGCGGTGGCCAGCTCCTGGTACAAGGTGTCCCGCGAGCTACCGCAGCTGCCAGTTTCCGAGACGAAGGCACCGTGGGCGCTCTGGATGTCTGCTACCAAGGACTTCTGGCGCTCCACACTCTCGCGCACCTGCTGCTGCAGCGGATTGAGCACCTGGCCAATGCGGGCCAAGGACAGAGCGGGCTCATCGATAGCCCCATCCTTCTGCAGGGCCAGCAAGAACTCGTCCTTCATGTCGAACGTGGCCCCCTTGAGCTCCGACTCTACAGCCTCGCGCTCCGCCTTGATGGTCTCCACATCCTCCATCAGCTTCTTGAGACGCTGCACGCTGGAGCAGTTGGGATCCACACTGCCGCTAGCCGAGGGCAGTGATTGCTGGATTTGGTCTGGCGGCAGCGACAGCAGCTGGATGCCCTTCTGGTTGGCCTCGAACTTCTGGCGCACGACCTTGTCGGCCTCGATGGCATTGGTGATGACTTCGCGGTACTTCTTGGCATTGGTGCGGAACATCTCGGTCAGCTTATCTGAGCTGATGCGCGTCCAGCGCTCCTTGAACTGCGCCCGCAGCTGGTTGTCAGAGTCCCGTTCCTCGTCCAATAGACGCTCCGTCTCGTCCAGGATCTCGCGGTTGCGATTCAGCAGCTCGGGAAGATCCTTGAGCAGCGTCTGCACATTCTCGATGCCGCCCTTCTCGCGTACCTCTGTGGCCTTATCTTTGAGCGATGGTGGCAGTCCACTGTTGCCATCGGCCGTCTCCACGGCTGCCGGAAGATTCAAGCTGGCCAGCACGGCGTTCAGCGTCTGTGTGGACTCACGCAGCTTCATAATCTCCACGTTGACAATCTCGTTTCGACGCATATCGGAAGCGGTAAGAGCGCGGTGCAGCTCCACGGGCACCAGTGCGGCGAAGATGTCCTTAAAGTTGGCCGCCAGGGGATGTGCGATGGGCAGCGGCTTGGCCAATTGGGCCTTACCCGGCGAAGCCAGCGTGCTCAGCTCGGGGATCATCTCATTGTAAATGAACTCGTTGTCCTTGGTGGACTCGGCCAGGTTGCGCTTGGCGCGGCTGAAGTACTCGTCCAAGTAGGTCTCGTTTCCACCGCGCGATTGAGCAGCCTTGAACAGATCGACCGAGTTGCGCAGGCGGGCGATCTCCTCGCCAATCTTCTTGGAGGCGCGGCACACAAGGCTCTGATACAGCTGGGTGAGGGCATGGAAGCCAGCCTGCTTGCCGGCAATGGTGGGAATCCACTCCTTTTCCCACAGACTGCGCACGGACTCCTTCTGCATGGCGCGCAACACGTCCGCGTAGAACTCCTCAGCCTGGCAGCACAGCTTGGCCACAATCTGCTCCTTCATGTTGTCTGCAAATTAATTTAAACATTAAGTAAAACTGAGGTCTAGTGCCGGAGAGATGACCTCCTTAATAGATAAGAGTTTGGCAGCATGATGACTAAATAAATATACTCGATACGGGGCTTATATAACATAGACTTCAGCATACCTTTGATGGCTTTGAGGATAAACACCTCCTGGGCCTGGGCCACCATCAGCGCCTGCAGAACGATCAGAGTATCCTGGCTAAGATCGGGTGTAGGTTCCGAAGGCACTGCTGCCGGGGTGGCGCCTTTCAAGTACTGGAAGATGCCGGCGCTCTGCTGGAGCAGCTTGATAGCCAACTTAAGGCCCTCATCCGTGTCCAGCTCCTGGTTTGCCGCTATACTGCTCTGCAGGGCGGCGATGTTGAATAGCACGCAGACCTTCTCGTACATCAAAGAGGTGTGCGCTGCGGGGGAAATCGGAAGTTAATGGTGAAATGTCAGGTTTTTTTGGATGAATCACTCACTGAGGCTGATCTTGCCGCCAAAAATGGAGCCCTTGTCAAAGGCATCCTTCCACTTAAAGGGTATCTGGAGTTCGCTAACCGATATTTTGGTCTCCAAAGCGCAGATCTGGTCATAATAGCTGTGAAGACAAAGGCCAGAGGCAACAAAACCAGCCGACAATACCCATTAGTGACGACGTCATCCGAGAGCTTGTTTACGTCCGGCCACTGGCACGCACACAGGTGCCCCACAGAGCTACTGTGTGTGTGATTAGCCCCGACTCCGCTGTGTGGAGGCTGGTGACTCATCCGGAGAGCCCCGGAAAAAGGCCCATGACCCACAAAGACATTCCTGGAATACTCACGCATAAACCACCTCCAGCGACGCCTCGTACTTCTCGAAGAACTTCCAAATCGCCGTATTGCGTTGTTTAGAAAACTCATTCACTGCCTCTGCGTACTTGGCCTTCTCCTCCTCCGACGCCCCATTGTAGGTGCTCTGGATGAGGTTGTTCAGCGGCTTGACCACGTCCACCTCCGAAGGCTTCTTCAGCGGCACGCCCAGAAACTTCGACATCTTGCTGTGTTCTGCGAAGAATTGCTCAGACCCGACTTGGAATCAATTAATTAACCGTCTCTCGCTTTTATTCCAAGTCTTTCTTCGGCTCTCTCTTTCTCCAACAGCTGGCAGAGTGACCGGGCTAACCGGTCTTGGTATAATACGGTAAAGTAATTTTAAGCTTTGGTCACTCTAAAGAAATAATGTACCTTTAACCCGAATCCCATGTTATTTGTGATAGGTACTCGTTATATATAGAAGACGCCGTGCTTTCGCAATTAAATTTTTGTGTTTTCTTTTATTTGGATGCGACGAAAATTTAAAATTTTTGGATTTTCGAGCCCCATATAAGCCAGGCCACGTCCCACGTTATTTTCTTTGATTTGTGAATATAAAATCATTTAAGCTAATTAATCATTACAACCATCTCATAAGATGTCATTAAATTTATCATATGAATGATAATTTTATGATTTTTTTAGTATCTTTAAATATTTTTCGAGCCGAGCAAAGGACATTGTACAATAAATCGTGCTCTACTGGGCAGGGCTGTTCTAGCCGTAGATAACACTATTAAAATAAAGAATTATCTGAAAATAAGAAAATTAAGCGGTAGTAATAAAATGGCAAGCTAATAAGGGCTGGAATACAGCGCAGACTTTTTTAATAATTATCTTAAAACATTTTCAAAACCAGCTATAAAAAAGCCAAATGTACCTAACCAGATCGCATCTCTGAATTCTTGTAACACCAGAGGCTGGTCACACAACACATTAAAAGTGGTAACCCTAGACACTTTCTATTTTCTGATTGCGTTGTTGTCGAGGAAACTCTGCGAAAATTTCGGTAATAGTGCAACCTTTCACTGACCTAAAAGCAGACTTGGCAGAGGACCTAGCCCCAAGCGAGGACTCGCACTAAGAAGCGGAGACGCAGAAGTAGCAGCAGCGAGGAATAAGTAAAAAATATCCACACGATGGCCGAAGTGGAGAAACCGACGGCCACCCCGCCGACCGACATACCCCTGGCTACGCCCCCGAGCACCAGTGATTTGGAATCACCCGCAAAGGACAGCGCGGGAGCGGACGTGGAGCCCGGCACCTCGCCCACGCAGGAACCCAACTCAAACTCGCATCCGCACGACTCCGAATACGACACGGCGAGCGACCTGGAGGGTGGCGAGGACTACGACGACGAGGAGAGCGGCAGCGGAAGTGCCAGTGGCAGCGGCAGCGAGGAGGAGACGGAAACGGACGACGAGGACGAGGACGTGGGCAGCGAGACAGACGATGGCGAGGCGGAGCACGCTCAAGACCGGTCCATCGCTGACAGCGAGGCGCAGAAGAAGGTCGACGAGGACCGAAGTAATCCCCAGTACATCCCCAAGCGGGGCACCTTTTATGAGCACGACGACCGGACGGCAGAAACCGAGGGCGACGTTCTAGTCGAGCCCGAGAACGGCGCCGGGCAGGCTCAGCCAGAGCCGAATGGCGATCTCAATGGACTCGCAGCAGCCGGGGCAACCCCCGCCGGTCAGACGCCACAGATCTCACAGGCCTCCAAGACCATGCGCAAGTGGCAGCCGGCGTCTGGTGGCGATCGCTGGTCCCACGACCGCTTCGAGGCGAGCGAGCAGGCGCCCAAGTCGCGGGCCGAGCTGTTGCAGGCTTACGGCTACGATATTCGAAATGAGGACGCACCGCCTCGAGCACGACGGCGTCGGCGCTATACGCGGGGTCCGAGCAAATACTCAAGGAACTGGGAGGACGAGCAAGCCTATCTTAAGGCCAGCAATAAGGAGCGCAAGCCGCCGCGACCGCAGGACTTCCCGGCCCTAAATGAGCGCAAGCCGCGTGGACCACGCACCTCTTCTTCCCGGGAGGAGAAAGAGAATCGCCGCTCGGGCGGTGCTGGAGGCATGGGTGTAGAAAAGCAGCAAAGCGTGGCCAGCAGCTCGAATCCCAACAGATCCCAGGAGCGAGAGCGCGAAAGGGAGAGGGAAAGGGAAAGAGAGCGTGAGCCCAAGAGCCGCAACTTTGGGCGGATGAACGGCGGTCCAGGTCGCCAGAATGCCATGGAATTCAAGAAATCTGGCCGCGGACAGCCACCGCGCGAGAGGGAGCGCGATCAACTGGACAACCGCAATCAGAAGCAATCGACTCCACGCTCCAACCAGCAGCACCCACAGCAGCAGCCCCAGCATCAGCAGCAGCAGCCGCAGCAACAACGACAGCCGGCACAGCAGGCGCAGGCTCCGCTCTCCACCACGAACCTCTCGCAGCGGTTGCAGCAAGTGCAGCAGCGCAACGATCCCAGCCATGTGGGCAGTGTCCAGATGCACTCGCTGGCCAACCAAAGCCCACAGCAACCGCCGCAGCCACTGCACCAGGAGCAGCGTAACGCGCCCAAGCGGTATTCGAGCCTGCGACGCTCCCAGCAGGAGGCATCGCAGCATCTCGCGGAGCAGCAACAGCAGCAGCAAATGCAGCAGCAACTGCACCTCCAGCAGCAGCAGCAGCCTCAACCATCTCAGATCATGATCCAGGACCCTCACGTACTCATGCAAATTGCTTACCAGCAGCAGGAGCTGCAGGCGCAGCTGCAGACAATGCAACTGGGACCAACTGCCCCTGGGGCAGTCCCAGCGCCACCAAAACCTCATGCGCCACCGGCAGCTGCGTATCCGCAGGCGCAGGCGGCGCCCTACTATGTGACCGGTACGGAGCCAGTGCCAGTGCCCGTACCCGTATCCGTACCCGTACCCCAAGCACCATATGTGAATCCGGCCAGTGCCGCCTACTTGCCCACCACTCCCGCTGCCGTGGCCTATGCGCAGGCAGCGCCGCCTGTGGTGCCACAGCCAACTCCGGCGCCCACCCAGGCGCCACCCGCAGCCCAGCCTGCACAACCTTACCAAAACTACAACACTGTCGGTGGCACCACCTACTTTGTGCCACCGGCCCAGACAGCTAGCCGACCAGCTGCTTTGCCTCAGCGTCGCCCAACCAATGCTATTCCCATCCTGCCGCCATCAGAGAAGCACAAGACGAAGGGCGGCGGAGGCAAGGAGGAGGGCAACTCGGACAACATCGATCACATCATTGACAACATGTTCGTTGCGCGACCCTCGGCTTTCCAGCCTACCGGAGAGGGTGCTGCGGCTGGAGGAGGTGCATCCAAGGAAGATGCAGCCACTCCCCCGGCTGCCGAGCAGAACCTTCAGCCGGTGGCGGCCACTGGGAAGGAATGAGTGCAGGTGTATGCTGGCATGTCGACGCCGCAGCAGCAGAGGCGAGGTCAGAGAATGGCTCCTTCTTCCCCCTCGTCCACCTACGGCATGCTGCCGCCGCAGCCGCACGCCGGCTATTACCGCGCTCCGCCGCACTAGCTCCAACCAGCTTTGGCCAAGCTCTGGCTCAGCTCATCTAAAGATTTTTTTTCCCCCATTCTGTCCTCGGGTCTGGGATCCGACGAACCCCAGAAATGAATTATCGCAGTAAGAACCATTTGTAATTAGCATTTAGCTCCCAGATAATCGATCTTACTAACGTCGAATCCACGTATATAGGACGAGAATATATAAATATATATAATCAGGCGCAAGCTCCCATTAAACTGTATGTAGTATCTAGGACCAGCTGCGGATTCGTTTATTAAGTCGAAAGTGAAAACGTGCTGGCGGCGAGGCGCTTAGCTTATTTAGCCGCATTTTAGAGTTGAAACAAGAGATTTATCGTGTGAATTGTATTTGTGAAAACTAATAGAACTTGAATTTGAATAAACGTTTAACACGAAGCCACTAACTGTGCACGCTAACTTACAGACTATTTATGAATATATATATCTATATTTCTATATCAAATAGAAATACTATACACCCTAATAATGACTTTAGGAACAAGGGGAATCCCAAAAACTCTTCCTATTAATTGAAATCAAGAAAAGTCCTTTGGATGATAAAATGTTTTCAGATTTAATTCTGCCTTAATACTAGGTAAATCTCTACAGCTTTGACTCCTTGGCCAGCTGCTCCAAGAGAACGCTAATGCGTCGGAATGAATCCTTGAACATATGATTGAATTTGCGGGCGCTTGTCTTGATGCTATCCCGATATGCGGTGGTATTGATGTACACGCTGGCCCGAGGAAAAACATAAAAATTATTTATGATTAAAAGGATATAACTTCAAGTATTCTATACTTACGCATCAGAGGTTATTGAGTAGAAGACGCCGTATCCGTCGAACAGCATGGGCGCCACATAGCCCACGTTGGCCGTGAAGCCCAGGGTGCTGGTGGAGAGCACAAAGTTGCCTCCGCCGCCACTCTTCGCGTACATGGGATCGTCGTAGAAGGCGGGAATGTCCATTTTGTTCTCGTATGCCGCACACCAGAGTCCAAAGAGGTGTCTATCGATGCCATTTCCCTTTCGCGCCTCGTTCATGAAGTGCTTGTGGTCATCTACGGCGGCCCGGAAGGCCCTGGCTAGGGCCATGTCTCCCATCTGCTTGTTGGACGAAGCCCGCAAGAAGTTCGCCACAGCGCCAGTGCAGGAACGCAACGTCTCCGTTCGTCCATTGTAGTACTGACGCATAAGTGCGGTCTCATAGGTGGGAGCAATTCTGAAAGGCAGCTCATTAGCTCCCAGTGGGGATCTCAAGTCAGGCAGACTACTTACTCCTGATGCAACTGATAGTAGGTCCACTGCATGACGACTTGCACAAAGGAGTCCGGGTGCAGGCGGTGTTTTTTCATGAACTCCTTGCCGTAATCATCGAACACAGTGAAGGTGACTGTTACATCAATGCCCTAAGGAATGAAATATATTTTCAAAATTAATTGAGGATATTAAAGATATAGGGGGAAACATGAAAAATGCCAAAATTCTGGCAGTTTTCATGTATTCCCCCCTCTTGAAGTTAATCAAATTTCGGGAGCCATTAAAAGTGATTCCTTCAGTCGCTTTATGCTTCACTTACCCTATCCTCGACCTCCTGGCGGACTCGTTTAATCTCGCTCTTCAGTGAGTCATCCAGCTGGAAGTGGAGCTCCTTGATCTCAGCCACGCTCGAGTGCTCGGCCTCCGTCCAGTCCGGCTCAGGCACCTCCATGAAGCTCAGCTGCATAAAAGTGGCAAAGCTAATGCTGACAGTGCCGTCGTAGCAACTGTGCTCACCCGTCCAGTTGAAGCGTCCGTTGCGGAAGGCGATAATGCTGCTGCTGCGATCCGCCCACCGGGAATGCAGGTCACCGAAGAGGCCCAGCTGCGAGGACTCCTCGTAGTCCTTGGGCGACTGTTCGTACCAGCAAATCTCCATGCTGGCGCTCTCCACCAGCAGCAGTGTCTCCTTGTTGGCCTCGGATACCTCCATCAGGCGATTGCGATTGTTGGCCCAAGTGGTGCGATCATCGTGGCTCAGCATAGGGACACAATCGCCTTCGGGTTCATAGTCCAAGATGCTGCGCAACCGTTGCAGGGCCACCAGGATTTCGGGTGCCGTGAGGATAGTGTCGTCCTCGTGCACACAGTTCAGGATAAACTGCCTGCCCTTACCGGAGATGAGGATGTGCGAGGGCGTCTTTCCCTCATCTTTGGTTAGGAAATGCTTTTCGATGTGATCCTGCTCTACCCCCGGAACGCGACAGGTGGAGAAGAAGTGCTTGTACAGCGCGGAAGAGTATTTGATCTTCCCACCGTTCGAGGAGAGCGGCTTGATACTGGACGTGCGAGTGAGGTCCCAGAACTCCAGACAGTGATGGATGTGACGGGCGAGGCTCTGCGCAAATAAATAAACATAAAACGAGTTCCAAAGTCTATCGGTGAATGCACTCCAATCGGCTCACCTTGAGCATGTACTCCGGGGTCTCGGGCACGCCCACCATCTCCAGCTGCGCGGGCATGGACATTAGCTGATAGGGCAGCAGCGGCATGCGGATCAAATGGTACCCGTAGTCCTCCCACCATGTGCCCAGCCAGTTCTTCATGCTGGCCTCCCGCTTCTTGAGCTGCTCATGCAGTTTAATGCCCACGCCGTTTTGGAACTCATCAATGGCCCGACGAGCCTGGGCCAGTTCCTCCTTGGTGCCGAAGGGCTGGATGCAAGCGTAGTATCGCTCCATGGTGTCCTTCAGCTCGGGCAGAGGCAGCGGGGGCAGCGTCTCATCGAAATCGAAGGTATTCTTGTCATCCTTGCCCTGAAAGTATAGACTGGTCCGATCCATCGTGGTGGCTTATCTGCGGGGGTAAACAGGCGTGTGTCGAGATTAGACTTCCAGTTTGCTTGTGGTGGCCACCAATAGAGGTCTATGTCGAGATTAGAAGCCAATCATATCGGGTATCACTTTTGCGGTCAGCGGGTCCAAAGTTCTGCACGCAAATTATGGTGAAATTTCCATAAAGACAATAATCCCTTACGCAGGAAGATATAACAAAAACTATAGAATAATTGTGGCAATCGGATATGCAATTCTGAGGTGTGCATGGCAAAATTCAAAGCGATCTTTTCCTCGGTGGATTATCGTCACCCTCGAATATCAGACGTACAAAGTCCGTTCTTCTCAGCCGGATTTATATGCTTCATAAATATTTATATTCCCAAGACGCTCGTAAACCACTGGGCAACTGACCTTTGGACTCGTTGGAATAATTACGTTTGCCGGAGACACCCGTAGCGCCAGACTGCCGTTGCTCGACTAACCGCCTACCGGGAGTCCATACCCCAGCACACCTCCGCTTGGGATCGCCTCCCACGCCCACCTGACTCAGTTCGATAAGGGCGTCGGCGGCGGCGGCATATTGACCCAATCATCAGTACCTCCAGCGCGCAGACATAGCCGGCGTCTGATAAGCCCCTTGATAATTGTTATTTAGATTCTGGTGAATTCATACCAATCCAATATGGAGATAAACAATGAATTTTGTACCTGAGCTGTACTTTCGCCGGCGGCATGCAGTTCCCAATCTGGCGAACCCAATGCGCTTCTGCAGCTATCGTGGATAACTTTGCCACTTGATAAATGTTTTAATTAAAGATTTTATCATTTAATCCCAAGGCCATTGTTTACAGACAACAGACCCAATGGGAACTTTGCCAGGCCAATTAAAGGTAACAATGTGTTGTGCTTCTAATAACACTAAGTGATAAATAAGCTCAACAATAGTGCTTAATAATAATTGTTGACACAAATTCTTTTTTATAAACAAAGCCACAATGTGACCGCAGATAGGTCGCTAAAATATACCCAAGTTGGCAGCGCTGGAAAAACAGCTGACTGGGAACAGCTGCTAACTGTTCTCAGCTAGCTCCAGCTAGGCAAATCGCAGTGTGGCCAGCCGCTGCAATTCATGTTTCCCTACTAGGGAATCCCTACTGCGTCCGAGAATAAATAAATAGAGTTTGGACGCTGTTTATAGAGCGGCCTCGATTTGTTGCAAACCCGGCGATTTCCGGAATGCTGCCGTCTACTGGGCTGTTCAAGGACTTCCTCTGCCCGTACTTTGATGGCAAGGACGGCCCCGACGACGCGGTGGCCTGCCGTCGTCCCTTCTGCCACTTCAAGCACGCCCGCAAAGGTGAGAGCTAGCCGCTAATTTCATCATTACTTACCGCCTCCGGTTTACAGACGATGTGGAGACTGCTCCGCTTGCGGAACCCGCTCCCGTTCCGGAGTACAAGCCGGCGCCCAAGCTGCTCTCCCTGCCCCTGCCCCACATCCCGCTGTGCGCCCCGAAGAAGAAGAATAACCTGGAGTACCATCCGGAGAAGCCGGCTCTGGACGCCTCTCCGGCGAAGAAGAAGCCGGATGTGGCCGTGGACAGTGCCCCGACGTATGTGCCCGCCCAGCCGGGCGGCAAAAATGGAGACGGTGGTGGCAACGACGACGACTGGCAGGCGGTTCTCGAGAAGGAGATCGACGAGCAGATCCAGATTGAGATCGAGGAAGCGCCATTGGCTTTGGAGATAGAAAAAGAAAAGGAGAAGAAAGTGGATCATAGGGACAGGCATGGCCGTGAGCACAAGTCTAGCAAGGATCGGGATAATGACAAGTTAAGGGAAAGGGACAAAGAGAAAGCCAAAGACAAAGACAAGAACAAGGAGATGGGAAGGAAGGAGAAAAGGGACAAGGACCTGGACAAGGACAAGGAAAGAAAGGACAAGGCAAAGCACAAGAGCAAGTCATCGCACAGTGACAAAGATCGCTCGAAGGAGCGCCATACCTCCAGTTCTAGTTCCTCCCGACACAAATCGTCGTCCTCCTCCTCCTCGTCCACCCATAAAAAATCCTCTAGCAGCGACAAGCAGCGCGATGAGAAGACCTCAGAGAGCAGACACAAGAGCAGCTCCTCGTCATCTGATTCGAAGAGTCGCCCAGACAACTCCAGTTCCTCGAGCTCCCGCTCCAAGTCGAAGAGCAGCTCCAGCTCAACCAGCAAGAGCTCCAACACCGGCAATGGCCCCTCCAAGAGGGAGCCGGAAGCCGAAAAGGAAGACAAAGCTGCTGATGACCTTGATGAACTGGACTTCGACTTTGAAGTGGACACCTCCGAGGGAGAGATCGTGCGCCAGTGTGAGATGATTTTCGACGAGCTGGAGACCAAGTTTGCCCAAATGCACAAATCCGAAGCCGACGGTGAGAGCGGAGACGCTCCCAGTAGCTCCCGCAAACGTAAAGCTCCATCCCCAGACATTGATACCTACACAGAGGCGGTAACGGCGGCGCTGCAGAAGAGGCGGGTGGCCCATGAGAACGCGGACAAAAGCAGGCCGGTAGCGGCGCCAGCACCGGCAGTGGGCAAACCGAATCATATCCGCAATGCGATGCAGGCGATTTTCGATCGCCGAGCGGAAATTCGCCGCCAGGAGAGGCTGCAGGCGGCGGCAGCTAGCGAGCAACTGCGTCAGGCCCAGGAGCGGGTGCGAAAGGCGCAGGAAGAGCTCCGTCAGGCCCAGGTCAACTCAAATCTCACACCGCTAATCTCGCGCAGCGCCCTGACTCCGCCCGTTCGTACAGGTGAGTAAAAAAAACTTTCTACAATTTAAGTATTTCATTTTTTAATACTTTCAGCTCGAAGCATTGCTCCTGTGGCCAACATTGTGGCCATAGCTCGAGCCAAGAAGAAGATCGAGGAGCTGCAAGCCGAAAAGAAACCCGCCTTCACACCTGCCCAGTCCTTTAAAGGCACCGGTCGGGTGGCCCACAAGTCAACGGTTGCCCTAGACAAGAGTGCCCCGGCAGCCAATGGCGTCAATGCCGAGAAGCCGACCGTGCTGGAGCCGCGCAGCTCCAAAATATCGTACAACGTGCGCACACAGTATTACGAGATGATGGTGAAGCATTGCACCGTTATCTATCCGAATCTGACCGATGCCTGGGAGCGGGCGCAGGTGGAGGAGCTGGCCGTGTTCAAGAAATGCAACACGGCAGCCATCTACAAGAACAGCTGCATGCTGGCGATCAACAAGCTGCGCAAGGAGGCTGTCGAGGCTGGTAACCGGCCAAGTGCGGCCTGCAAGACGGTCTCCCACGAGATGATGCTGGGCGGCAAGCGGGCCCTTACCACATCCTGGAGCGTCGAGAAGAAGGAGTAGGTTATTGCACTTAGGTTTTCCTCAGTTAATATTATAATTTCTTGCAGAAAACTCGGGTTCTCGGGCAGCGGTGAACCTTTCGACGCTTTAGATCCCCAGAAAGCCTACGAAATGGTGTTTGATTTGCGCCTCACGGACGAGCAACTGGTGGAGAACGGATATCCCCGCCCGGGGGCTAAGCGCGGCTCGGCAGTGATACGCGCCTGCCGTCCCAACCGGCGACCCAACGAGAGCGAACGGTATTGCTCCCGCTGCGGCAAGGTGTTCAGCCTGGACATCTACGATCGGCACGGAGCCGACATGTGTAACTATCATCCCAAGAGCACTGGGTATCGACGAGGATTCACCGACAATCAGCACCGATGCTGCCAGCAGCCGGCGGGCACTCCGGGCTGCACCTACGCCAACTACCACGTCAGCGACTACTACGACCCGGACAAGCTCACCTGTTTTGTGAAGACGATCGAACGAGAGGAGGAATACGTTCCCACCAAGAAGGATATCTTCGCCTTGGACTGCGAGATGTGCTATACCACGCACGGCATAGAGTTGACCCGCGTCACAGTGGTGGACATCACCGGGCGCAGCGTCTACGATGCTCTGGTCAAGCCGGACAACCAGATTGTGGACTATAATACCACGTAGGTAGCTGATGGCTCGGAATGCGAATTTGATACTTAGCGAAATAATCTATTGCAGCTACTCTGGTATCACGGAGGCCATGCTCTCCACTCAGACGCGCACTCTAAGAGATGTACAGGCCGTTCTGATGTCCATGTTTCATGCCAGAACCGTGCTGGTGGGCCACAGCCTGGAGAGCGATCTGAAGGCTTTGAAGATCATCCACGACGTAGTTGTGGACACCTCGGTGCTCTTCCCCCACAAGATGGGGCCGCCCAAGAAGCGCGCTCTGAAGACGCTGTGCATTGAGCACCTGAAGCGCATCATACAGGAGAATGGTGAGTGCTCCACAGGGTTCTGAATTCACCCAAATAATACTTACTTCGTTTCCACAGAGGCCGGCCACGATAGTGCCGAGGATGCGGAGGTGTGCATTCAACTGATCAAGTTCTATCTGCGCAACAAAATAAGCTGAGCTGCTCCCGCTGGTCGCCTCCTCTGCCAGAAGCAATCGGTTCAAAAGCATTACATACATCTGTTAATATGTATACTGCGTTCATCCCGTAATCAAAGTCTTAGACCCCCAAATAAACGAACAGTGTGTAAAATGTTTCTCTATTATCAAGTTTAATGCTTGATAAAAGCACAGTTATTCCAGATGTAGTGAAACTCCTGTTCCAGGCTCTTGCAGATGCGCGGGGCGCTGGTGATGAAGATGTCGTCACAGCTGTCGAGGTAGTTGACCCAGTTAAAGGATCCGGTCACACAAACTGTTACTGGCTCCTTGGCGCCTTTTGGCAGAAGCTCACGCAGGCTCAGATAGCCGTCGATAACGGAGAATTTGTTGTGCATCAGTGTGTTTATCAGCGTTGGCAATCGACGCACAGAAATGTCGGGGAACTTTTCGTTCATATTCTTCCTGTTTGTCTGCGTGGCTAAACGGACCCGTACTCCGCGTCTGGCGGCCGCGATCAAGGCATTCAAAATCTCAGTCGAACCAATTGCATACATGGCAAGGTCAATCGAGTACTTGGCATTGTTTAAATGCCAGAAGATGCGCGCAACATGGCCGGGGACGAGGATAATCTGATTGCCCTCAAGCTCAAGTGGCTGTGGCGGGCAGTGGTCGATCGGCACACCAGAGGGGACCACATACAGTACTTCATTCACCAGCTGGCCTCGGTGGTCCTCACTCCACTCCGCGTACAGGCTCCGGAAGTGGCCGAAAATCTGCAGCGGCTCCTGTTTAAACAGATGGAAGAACTTGATTAAGTAATACAACATCGTGCTAGCTCCAGGAAGAGGAAATGTGAAATAAGTATTTTGGCTGCAGGGTTACCTTTTGACGTTTAGAACAATTGTCAGAGTAATCACTATTTAAAGCTTTTTTGCGATAGTTGCCGACATTAAAATATATTACTAGATTTTTTTGTGAAAGGTAAACTATTTTTTTTATAATTCAAATTTTAGGCTGCAACAAATATGAACTTTGTTGATAAATAAAATAAAATCAAAGGTTCTTTTGATTTAAATTTTCCATTATTAATTTGTTTTGAAAAATTTCCTTTGATTTTTCCCCCATTTCGCTATCAATAACAATTCAATAAAAGCAATTCGAAAGTTTTGTAAAGTTTTTTACCTGGCCGAACCGCGTTACAAACTGTAATTGCAAGTTTCGTGCTTGACGCACGTCACAGAGTATTCCTTGTGGCCGTGGCCCGGTGTTGCCAACAGTTTCCAGTTTCCCCTCCTGTTCTTGTTGTTATTATTTAAATGTAATTTTAATCAGATTGCGGCGATACTTTATATTTTTCAATTACACTCGGCCATGTCGGCTGGCCGTGGGCAACATCTGGATGTTCGCTTCTTGTTGCTCTCCGTGGCGGCGGCATGATTTTTCAATTTTAACGTTTTATAATTCTCTGTTTTCCTCGGTCCCGGAAAAGTTTGGCTTATTGAACGGCGCTAAAAGAATGCCGGCAAAGTTCCGGCACTTAATTTGGCGTAATTTTTGCCATCGGCAGGACTCGGGCAAATGACAGGAGGGATGTCAGTGAATGGCAGTGGGAAGGGTTCTCGGCTAGACCCCTTACCCATTCTCCGAAGAAATGGCTGATGGCGACACGTGTTTATCTATTGAGCTGGCACAACAACACACAACCTAACGAAAAGTAAATAATATTAGTGGTACTTGGCAATGACAATGTGCATATGTGGCCCAGTATGAGGAGCAGACCCAATGGCCACAGCAGAGCACACACAAACAAGGATGCGGAAGTGCTGCTTGAGGCTTAGCAACCAGAGTAGCAGCAGGCTGGAATCTCAGCTACAGGCGAAACAATTTTAAAGAAATATAATAGGTATTAGAAAAACCATTTTTAGAATTATTTCCTAATATATTTTCTTACCTTGAATTTATGCTATTTTTAATATGAAAAACATGATCATTGATTACTGATCATTGGTGATCCTGTTGCTGAACGCAACGAAACACAAAGCATAAACAAATTCCTCTATCCCGGAGCCCAGAGCCCGGGCCCAATATCTAAGGTAAATAAATGCACATTTCTCTCAGTGCAGATTCCACAGAAGCAGAAGGCGGCATGAGTGGAGCCAGTGGGCAAAACAAACACTGGGCCAAATACAAACACAAATAAAAAGCCAAAAACCAAGGGGTACTATGTTGTGGGAACGAAGCTGGGCTAGGGAGGCGGAAAAGAAGGAGGAGGAGGATTGAGGAAACGGTTCGGTGCTGCTTGACTTGTCACACATTGTTGTTGGGGCTCGGCTCGGCCTGGTCGGAAGTTTACTTAAGACCGTCGAAATAGAGGCATTAAGATCTTTACAGTTAATCCCTTGAGTAAATGCTGTGCGGTCGCGACGACAGCAGTGCTGTGCGTGTGTGCTACCTGGTCTAGTTCTACATACATAGTTGGGGCATGGCATTATAAAAAGGCTTAAAAGCTTGCCGGGTGTTTTGTAGGCCCTGGAGCCTGCATATTGGCCCTGCTGTCGTCCATGAATATTTCATTCCGCCTGATGACAACATGCCTGGCGGTTAAGTGCTTTAAACATTTAGCTTAATGCCCGGCCCCTTTTAATTTGCGGAGGGTTCGTCACGTATTTAACCAAATTGCGCATACGCCACCGCGTATGCTCTGTTGCAGAAATATTAAAGCGAGCCTTGGCGAGCGAGTTATGCTGGAATTTATTTTTGCTTTTTTTTTTTTTCTTTTCGGGACTAAGCCTGCAGCGCATCTGGTTTGGGCGAAAACCTTTTTACAACTTTTACACAGACCAAAAAACAGTCTGAAAACGAAAAAAAAAACAAGAAACGGCTAAGCTGCCGTCGCCCTTGCCAATCTAAATAAGGTGGCTAAAGGCAATGGGAAAGGAAAAGTGCGAGCGTGGGAGGAACGAGGGAAAAATAAAGAAAGCTGGCAAAGCAATGCCGGGAGCCAAGAGCCAAAGCTGGCGGTAAACGCAAAATAAAGTCATCACAAACATATTAGCAGCTAAAAACACCTGAGCAAATAGATTTATATGCACGATAAAGCACAGAGTAATTTCCCCTAGATCCTGTCAACCACCGCCCACCAAACAGCACCATGCGCCGAACGCCGAGGACCAACCACCAACCACCAGCCATCTTGCCCATCTTGGCCTACACGACGCCTGTTGCCTAAGCCGCAAAGTAGCTGGCAAGCTCAAGATAACATCACTTTATTGTAAGAAAGTTAAAACACAAAAATGCAAGCTAGAGTCCCAGCTGCGGGCCCGAGTATGTGTGCTTTCGGTGTGGCACTAAAAAAATATCCGAAAAAAGCAAAGTACCATGGCGGATATTCTGGCCGGGAAACAACAAAGCCAAAAAGGTGGCGTAAAACTTCTCAATGCCGTTTGCCGCTGTTTTACGAGCCATTTCCGTTTTGGATGCTGCTCTTCCGCTCACACTCGCACGCCCACTCCCTGTTTTAGGTGTGAAATTATAAAATTTGTAGCATAATTCTAGGCTGCGCAGCCGCCGGTGAAGGCAAGCGGAGCACGCGTGCGTCCACGTTGTAAATACCTAGCCGTACATAAGTTCGCTGGGTCGCAGTCACAGTCATAGTTACGCCCGCGACTCCACGGGGAAGTCGGCCAGTTTACGACTCCGGCAAGTGCACGTCAGAACACACACGTAACGCTTTTATTTCGTACTTAGCAGGACATTTTTGTGCACTTGCCTGGAGTGGAATTACTCTGACTGGGGACTGGCGAAATCAAGGGAAAACTTGACTTGGTTCTATCACACGGCTACAAACTTGGCATTATTTTAAAAGGAATATTGGGAACTACTATTTATTGGTAAAGTTTTCCTTATCATTATAAGAAATAAAACTTAAAACATGTTTCTCTCAAACTGAAATGTAATGCTTCTCTTGACGAAAGTGAACTTGGATACCCGCTTGGAATGATTTCCCCAATGAGTTGTCGAGTGCATGGAAGATTCGTTAGCTGAAAATGGCTGGCCCCTTATATTTTTTTTTGTCCAAAAACTGCGAAGCGGTGGGAGGTGGAAGGTCGGCCCAGGCCATTAGCAGAATGCTTGACAAATAATTAGGGCAAAAACTATTAAGTTGTCGCTCGTGCACCCACACACACGCGCACATGACTGATGACGTCCAGTGAAGGATGAAGCGGAGGACTCGAATTGACATTGCTCAACATGCCAGTCAAGTTGGCGACCAAAGTTCAGGCAAAAACGGCAAAGATTTGTCGCGGCTGGCAACTAAAAAAGTTAATTGCAGTTAATGACGACATTAATCACAAGAAAATGAAGCCGGGCGCAATGACAATAAGCACAAAGCGACAAATGAAGAGCCAACTTGAAGGCTCCGCTGCTGAGGATGAGGCACTGTACAAAATAAGTGGGGTAATTATGCATCTTTACTTTAAAAAAAAAGTAATTAAACATTGAAAGCTTTTAACAAACACAATGTTGCAAGGTAATTATGGAAATTGTAATAGTAAGCATAAGGATTAATATCTATCTACTAGTCTATAGTATTTCCCTCAGTGTGTCTATGCTGACGCAGTTCCTGCTGTTATTTTCTGTTGCTGATGCTGATGCTTGTTGCAGGCGAGTCCGGCGTGCCAGGCGTCTATTAACACCGATACCCAGGACTTGGCCACTCCTCGCCCTCACAAAGGCGCCAAGACAATGGGAAAGTTGCGTCAGCTCCAGCTCTCAAGCTCTCCAGCTCTGCAGAGCCGGAGCGCAACAAGCGGCAACAGGAACTGAGCGCGTAGTAGGAAAAGCAATTTTACTGCGAGTTTCCTCAAGACAAATAAGTCTGCTGGATCAAAAAGGACTTTCAGCCGGGACACAATAGAAATGAATTATAAGCGACAGGCGGGGCTAGGGTGTCTGCAGGGCTGGGAGAAGGGATAGGTGGCGGTGTCAGCGATAATAATGAAGTAGCATGACTGATGATGCCGCCTTAGTGCAGCCTGGAAAAAGAACAACTTCGGCGAGGTCCATTGCGATTAGGCGGCAATAAAGGCAGCGACAAGCCAGTAAAATGTTTTTCTTTGTTTTCCCTGCTCGCCGCCTTTGTTTTTCGCTGCTT